ATTTTGGCTGCAGACACTGTTAAGTGCAAGTCCGGGCAGACAACTAAGGGTGTTAGCGCTTGTTAAGCGCAGAAGCATGATGACTGGTGCTATCTTGACATTGGGGATCTTGTAGCAACGCGTGCAGAGATTGTAAAGTGGCTGCGTAAGTTTGGTCTGGAGTCAGACTTTTGGTGTTGTTAGGTTTGGGTTTCTCCAGTTTGAGGGTTTAGGATGGAGCCTTCAGCACGCAATTTCCTTTCTTTTGGGTTTCTTGGGGGTTTCGGGTTGGTTGTGTGTGGGATTTGGAGGGTATTTGGAGTCGAGACATTTTGGGAGGTTGTTTTGCGAATTTTTTTCATATGAGGTTTGGGTTTCTCCAGTTTGAGGGTTTAGGATGGAGCCTTCAGCACGCAATTTCCTTTCTTTTGGGTTTCTTGGGGGTTTCGGGTTGGTTGTGTGTGGGATTTGGAGGGTATTTGGAGTCGAGACATTTTGCGAGGTTGTTTTGCGAATTTTTTTTCATATGAGGTTTGGGTTTCTCCAGTTTGAAGGTTTAGGATGGAGCCTTCAGCACGCAATTTCCTTTCTTTTGGGTTTCTTGGGGGTTTCGGGTTGGTTGTGTGTGGGATTTGGAGGGTATTTGGAGTCGAGACATTTTGCGAGGTTGTTTTGCGAATTTTTTTTCATATGAGGTTTGGGTTTCTCCAGTTTGAGGGGGAAGGATGGAGCCTTCAGCACGCAATTTCCTTTCTTTTGGGTTTCTTGGGGGTTTCGGGTTGGTTGTGTGTGGGATTTGGAGGGTGTTTGGAGGGCCGGAGGCTTGGGGCTTGGGGCTTGGGGCTTAGGGCTTAGGGCTTACGGCTTAGGGCATAGGCCTTAGGGCTTAGGGCTTAGGGCTTGGGGCTCAGGGGGCTTAGGGGGCTTAAGGGGCTGTTTCCAGCCAGGGGCTGTTTCCAGCCAGGGGCTGTTTCCAGCCAGGGGCTGTTTCCAGCCAGGGGCTGTTTCCAGCCCAGGGCCGTTTTCCAGCCAGGGACTGTTTCCAGCCAGGGGCTGCTTCCAGCCAGGGGAGGCACATTTTTTTTGGGGTTTGTTCCACCCCGGAGCAAGTTCCAGCCCGGGGTTTGTTCCATTCAGGGGTTTGTTCCCGCCAGGGGTTCGTTCCAGGCAGGGGTTCATCACCCACGCAAAGTTGGGGCAGTTTCCTGCATGGATTTTTTTGGTTTCTTGCACTGTCTACTGCGTAGAACTGTTTTGCATGTTGCAGCGTTCTTCAAAGAATCTGCCGCGTAGACTTGTTTTCTGTCCTTCTGGAACGACCTAATTGCTCGATGGATTTACTTGGTGGGGCGACTACTACAGCGTCGGCTGCATAGAACTTTGCGTATTGGATTGTCTGCGCGACGAGCCATACTTGGGAGTTTGTGTTTTCTCTGCATACCCCGGCAGACCAAACAGCTGTATGTAGCGGAACGTCCCAGCACGCAACACATTTCTGGGTGTCGTACATTCTATGTAGTACGTGCCCCAACAAGTAAAACAAATAGAGGGGGGAGGTCGCCCCAGAAGGAAATCAAACCTATGTAGTAGACGACTAGGAGATGACCGAAATAGCAAAACCGCATGTAGTAGAGGCCCCAAAGCGCAAAACAATTCCGGGTAGGCTTCGGGCGCCTTGGCTACGATATGTGTTGTCAGGTCACATATTTTAAACACGGCCGTCACAAGTTGGTCGTTTGCTTTTCGTGGACGTATTCCAAAGTCGTTTTGCCCAACAAGAGCTTGCCGCGAAATATTGGGTGTTTGCCCTGAAAGAACTTGTTCATACATTATTGTGTATCAGTGGGAACCTGCTGAAACAATTTGGGCATTGAAGCAAGAGGGCCGCACATTAGGGTGCTCACCTTGCGTGGACTTATCCAAAAGTCACGAAAGCTAGCTCCTTGGAGCTCGCGAGAGTTGTCGTTTACAAGAATTCTCTCTAGTGTTCAGCCCCCCCTCCCCCCCCTTATAGGATTGACAAAATCAATCTTAAGGTGTCCCCCCCCCCCCCCCCCCCGTCCTTTCAGGGTCGCCTTAATTGATTTCTGGGGAGGGGAGGGGGGGGCCCCCCCCCCCCCCCCCCCCGACTCGAAAAAAGCTTGCTTGTCAGCCGCGTTTCTAGCTTTCGTGGCCCCGATCTCAAGTTGTCTGACCCAAACAGACGGCAACAAAGTGAGCTGCTTACTTTACTGCCTGGAAGGCAGCAACGGACCAACATCTTTTCTGGCTTCCCACTGCTTTCTTCTGGTCTCCTTCAGAGTACATGAGACTTAAGGGGAACCACCTACCCCCCCTACTTTTGGTTTCTTTGTTTTTCCGTCTTTCAAGACAGGAGGCAGGGTGTCACACATCAGCCTCCTTCCCTTTCTTCTTGTTTCAATCGAGGTTGCTTTATCTTTTCGTCCTTAGCTTTTTCTTTCCAGACAAAGGGGAAGAGATGAAAGCAGAGAGGGGCAGGAACAGCTTTGGCATCCTTGATCTCTTCTGTTCCCCTCCTTCTCAAAGCAAATCGTCAAGAAGAAAGATGGAGAGAAAGAGAGAGAGAGAGAGAGACAGAGAGAAGGAGAGAGAGAAACAAAAAGTGGAGGCGGACTGACAGACAGGACCTGGGACGCGCGCGTCCTTCGGGACGCGTGTACAGAGAGAGTGAGATAAAGAGACTCCTTGTCGCAGTGACTGCCCACCCCCACACACCACCGTGAACGTTGCGGAGGGAGTATCCCAAAACTTTGACAGCCCTAGAGGCGGCACTCGTGGAGGCATCACCCCCGGCACGAACATTGAGGTACTCAGGTAGGCCTGCTGTGATGTGGTTCGTCGGGTGCCTCGCGAGTGTGTCTTTGTTTCGTTCAAACAGACCGTGGACTGGACGCGCCCTTCGGGGCGACCCTCCTCTGCCCGGGGAGGGGGGCGGGCGGGCGCATGCGTGCGGGAGAGAAATAGAGAGATAAAGAGAGAGAGAGCGACAGAAAGGGTCGAATAGAAAATTCTTCTATTCAGTGCGATCACTTCTGATCTCGGCATGTGCTGCTTATAACAACAAAAACCCTCCGTATGTTCAAAGTGCCTCCTCAGTACCGATACCAAGTGCGGCTCAGCAAAAGTTTCTTGCAGTGTCTACTAGATACGAACTGTTGTGAGTGTATCCCATCTTTGCATCGAAACAGCCTGGTGCGAAGATCTTTTGCTGGACCACGCTTTGCTTCGAAAGTATAAGAAGACAGCCTACAACACCTGCACATTTCTTCGAAGCTTGTTCCTGAGCTGTTGCTAGAGCATTTTGAAAACAACTTGACTGACAAAAAGAGACTGAGAGTGCAATCGTGGCCTGTTGTGGCCCCTACGCTCCTCTTGCACACGGAGAGCCGGCAGGAGCCTAAGGTGACAACAGTGCGCGGTCAAAGACGTGCAGCAGCTCGCTTTCGGAGCACGCAAAACCATAAACTTGCCTGAACATCGCCAATCTTCATGTAGCTCTTGTGCTTAGGAAATCAGCATTTAACTTGGCGGCGCGGTCTGGAGATGGCTCTGCTCGTGTCTTAGTATGCGAGTTTTCAACGATGGTCACTTGTGTTACAACCGTAGCCGTAGCCAGCAAATTTCAATTCCGACCAGAATCATCGTCAAGACCGTCAAGAGTTCTCAAAAAGGGGCACTGATTTGCGGCATTCACTCATTGGATCATGACATGCCCGCCAACACTGCATGGATCTCTGTTTTCATCTTGGGCTTCTCAAGAAGGTTTAAAGGCTCAAGAGCTCCGGGTGTGAATCCCAAGTTCTTCCTGTTGTCCTCGTAGTGGCGCCATGCAGATCTTACTTTGCTTGATGTTCCCTCACGCAGTTCCGACCAGCGGCAGCGCTTTCGCCAGCAAGTCGGAGCTGCGAGGGGCACTGGAGAGTTGGGTGACTCCAGGCATGGGGGTGGCTGGCTGAGGTGTACTGCCCAAATGGCTTGTGAGAATGTGCCCATGAGGCATCATGAGGCCATATGGCTTTCACGTCTGTTGCCGTACAGGTTCCGAAAGCGTTACATTCACAAACGGCTGAAGTCCAACGTGGATGCACATAGCGATTGAAGCAAGGCATGGTGTTGATAAGCCTCTTGCGTCTGTCCAAATGGGAATGTTGCTTTCATCTAGCCCTCAAGCAGCTTCAAAAAACGGGGGGGGGGGGTTGCTCTCTTTGTTTCCTGTGGGGAGGGGGGTATTTGGCGCTGCTTCAGAACCCCCAAGATGCCCCGTGACACTGCAAAAAAGTACCTTCGCTTGTGGTCTCTGCTCGGGTGCCTATTTTCGTTTTTCGGGCCTTGGGGATCCTTGGGGTGCTGTCCCAGAGCTTCCTTGAGGCACCCTGAGCCGAGTTTGAGAGAATTGCAGCTCCTCATTTGGCGATTTTGGCAGTGTGGGGGCGGTGGACGCGGTGTTCGGGGTGTGGGCGGGGAAGGGTTGTGAAGGGGGGGGGGAAGGAGACCAGAACCTTGGTGTGCTTGTTCTGGAGGAACTTTTTCAATCTGAAACAACTGAACTGGTCCGGTTGTTCGTGACACACGATGACCAGCTCTACCAATCAAGATCCCAAGTTCCAGCAGACCAGAACCTCAAGTATTGTACTCAGTAATCGGCAGCAAGTTTAGAATAGCTGGTGAGTATACTCGGCCCCGAAAAAACAAAACCCCAAAAGCCCTAAACCCGACGAAACCGCTTTTGCCGGAATAAGCCCGACAAAGCCTTGAGCCAGGCAACCGCCCCGGCCTCATCGCTATGTACGGGGAGATCGGCGACTGGGAATGTGTCCGCGGTGACCGACTTCTCTGAGCTGTGCCGGGATTTAGATTTCAAATGAGGATATCAGCGGCTGGGAAACCTCCCAGGTGACGACCACGAGACGGCTCTTCAAGGGCGCTGTGAACTTCAACCAACCGATCGGCTCCTGGGATACCTCGAGTGTGACCGACATGTCACAAATGTTTAGCCTCAAATGTTGTTTAACCAGCCGCTCGGCGATTGGAACACCTCCAGTGTGACCGACATGTCCTTCATGTTCGATGGCACGTTGGCTTTCAATCAGCCAATCGGCTCCTGGGACACTTCCCAGGTGACCACCATGCAAAATATGTTCGCGGATTCCGACAGCTTCAACTCCCCAATCGGCAATTCGACTACGTCAAGCCGGACAAATGCACGAGGCATGTTTAATACCGCGTTGAGCTTCAACCAGCCCATCGGCTCTTGGGACACCTCGAACGTGGTGGAGATGAGATTCATGTTTGAAGGCGCTCAGAGCTTCAATCAGGCCATCGGCTCTTGGGACACCTCGAAGGTGGAGATGACCGGCATGTTCCGGGGAGCTGTGGCTTTCAACCAGCCCCTTGACTCATGGGATACCTCTTCCGTGACAGACATGTCCGCCATGTTCGAAGGTGCATCGTCCTTCGACCAGCCCATTGGCTCTTGGGACACCTCGGAAGTGAAGTTTCTGTCCAGGATTTTCGTGAATGCTGTGGCTTTCAACCAGTTCATTGGATGCTGGGATGTGTCCTCGGTGCTGTTTATGGAAGACATGTTCATCGGGGCCTCGAGTTTTCCGGTACCCCCATGTCCTGGTGGAAGTATCAGCGCGAGCAACGGCCTGGGCTGTGCTCCTGAACCAGACTGCACCAATGGAACGCCCACCGATGTCGCGACATGCCCACCAGTCAATGAGTCCTGTGGGGCCTGCGATGCAGGGTTTGTGTTGACAAAGGACCAGCTTTGTGTCGAAGCAACCGGCTGTGGAGATCTTTCGTTGCTGGACCACGCTTTGCTTCGAAAGGATAAGAAGAAAGCCTACAATAAATGTCTCAAGCACTCCCTCATTGGCTACAGCCAGCTCCCGGACAACGACGAGCTGGAATCGATGTATGGGCTCACGTCTCGATCGCCAGGGCTCGCGCTGCTCAACATTGCCGGCGCCACGGCCGTATTGGTGGCTGCCGTGTTTCTCTGCCGGGGCTTCCGGAGGAACTGGTTCTCATCCTATGATGAGGTGCCAGAAGAAGCATTGCCTTAACGAGGCCATTAGAGCTGCACCTGCAACTCTCGTTGAGATTTTTGTGTTCAGTACAGTACATGCTCGCTCAGTTAACAACTGTGGGCGTGTACATGCATGAGCTGTAGACCCTTTCTGACCAGCTGTCGTTTTTGTGACAGACACTGGGGAGTCAGAGATTGTACCATGCACCCGTGAGGAGGTGTTTCCCGAAACCCTGTCGAATCCCGCAGTGCACAAAAAGAGCACCTTGTTGCAGTTTTTCGACACTTGATGTGAGCACCGCTCCGGATCATCCCAGGCTTTCGTGCTCGGAGGAGACGCCCGCACACACACGCACGGTAGTCTCAGCCACCGTGCTAGTCGCCCTCGAGACTGTCAGCTGCTGTCGTTGAGCATTCATGTTCCAAACGCATCAACGCTCAAAAGATCGTGGGGGTCGATGTCGATGTCGCCGTCCGCGCAGCTGCTTCGTTTCGTGCTCGCATGTCGAGAGTGTCTAAATTCACAGGGATCAGGGCGTCTCCGGGATTGGGCAGCTTCGTCAAGCCGGCGCTTGATTTATGATGCATGGTAGTGTTGTGATGAGGATTGGTAGTTCGCCTTGCGGCCATCCATGGCTTAGCTTTCTCTACTGGCACCATCCCTGGCACATGTAGTACTGTAGCACTAATGCATGTTGTTCCGTCGGCATTTTTAGGGTCTGCAGCTCCGAAACGTGCAGAGCCGTTCCTGCAAGAGCACTGTCCGTACGAAAGGAGAGCGAGAGAAACTGAGCCGAGCACAACTCCCGAGCAGCTCCTGGGTGAGCTGGCGAGCCATGTACCTCTTCCACCGGCTTCTGAGCCTTCTGACCATGATGTGCAAGACCTCAGCAAATTCCCCACACGAAGAACCCTTCCCAAGCCTCCCCCCTCACTCTGAGATCGTACTGAGGTACAATGAGCACGACCAGTTGACCCTGTGCATCTGACTCGGTGACTCAGGAAAACAAGGGGCTCATGGATTTGTTGCTCATGTCGTTGTGAAATGCAGAGGTGACTTCGTCAGACCGAAGCAGCGCCGGCAGATTCAGCGAAGCTGGGGCTGCATAGATTTCACCTACACGAGCCGCAGACTCGCGCACGGTGCCGTTTGCATCTGGTCGCCTCGTGCTATCTCGTAGCTCTACTGGGAGTCATGCATTCATCATTTGTGAAGTCGATGTGCTCAGGCGATCGCTCTGCCCGAGGCGATGGCGAGGCCTGTGCAATGTGGGTTTCGGAGAAAAAGCCTTGGAGAAAGCTCTGAGAAAGCTCTGACCCCTCCCGCTTTCAGAATCGACTTCTGTGTGGTTTTGTGCGGTTCTGCTCGGAACCTCCTCAGGAGGAAGGCGAGGCCTCGCCTCGGTCCCCAGCAGAGACTCCGAAAGCAAAGCCCAAGGCGAAGGCGTGGGCGTGCTGTTTGCTGCTCGTGTTTTTTCTTTTTCTTCTTGCAGCTTCCGTATTAATATCCGGCATCAAAGAGCTCGCTTCTTCAGTTCTTCCCATCGCAATGTTGGTGACACTTTGTGAAGGTTCAGCCCAAGCCCAAGGCCGGATGAAGGTTCGAGATGAGGGACGTGGCGAAGTGGGGGCACCTCAAGCGTGCAAAACTGCCGCAAGATGTGCCGTTGGGGAGAAGGGCAGCTTCGAGGGCAGCTTTGCAAGAGCGGCGCTAGATGCGGTGGCCCAAAGGACTGGCCAGATGTGGTGAGAGGGAAAGACTTGCGGGGCCTTTTTCCAGCTTGCAAGCTGTCAGCCGTGTGAGCTTCGTCTTCTTCAGGGATGCCTATTCGGAATGCATATGACATCTGCGGATCCGCCAGAATCTTACGGCTCAAAGCTGGACAAGCCAGCTTCGTCCGTGGGGGCGGATGCAACGTCCCCACGATGTCTCTAGAGGCCTGGCGTCAGTCCTGGAGGCCACAATTCCTCCCAAATAAATTCTCCTGATCCTGAAGGTGCCAGGAAGTGATTCATGGCGATGGTCCTTTTTGTGAGGCCAGGGGGCCATGTGCTCTTTGCCTCTCCTTTGCTGGTTTATCATCCTGTTGGGGTGGAGTTTCGACCGGGGCAAAAGCTGGCAAAGCCTCTGGCAAGGCTGTTGCTGCTTGCGCTGCTTGCACTGGCCTGAGCCTCAAAATCCGCAGCTGCCCAGCAATCTGCCGTGTGCCCCTCGGGGTTCAGGGATGTCTAGACACACGAATCGGCAATGTTGCCTCTGCCTTCGATCATTCGCGCAAAAATGTGTGCTTCAAGCTGCAAGCTGCAAGCCGCAAGCTGCAGGCCGACGCTTTGCCTTCTTCGGTGGTGGTGCATGGGCGCCGCAGCCCAAGAAGGGGACCGAAAGAATGGCTTGTCAAAAGCCGTCGCAGTTGATTTGTTGTTGAAGATAGATGAGCATTGCTCGCACGCAGGCCAGGGGCGCAACAGCAACATCAACGGCGCTTCAGCTAAGGGTTTTCTTTTTTACATGCTTTGCACTGTGTGACTCATGTGTGACCATTGCCCACCAGGTGTGTACATACGGGACTATGCGTGGCGGAACGGTTGCTGCCTTACTCCGCTCTCTGTCCTGTCTTGTGGATCATGGTTGTTTAATTTCTTCGCTTGCTTGGCCAGGTCTTTGCTGGAGACGAGCTGGTCATGCTGGCAGTGGGCAAGTGTTCCTATACTTCGACGGTTCCTGGGCGGCACATCACACGCTCAAAGTAGTGACAAAGTAGCGACAAAGTAGTGACTAAGTGCACTCGGCGTCAGGAGAGTGGCGCATGGGGCCTTCACCAGAGGATGGCAGCGCCGGCCTCCTAACCCTGAGAGGTCTCGAACGGGCGCTGCGTTGGACTCCGTAGGGCTTAGGGCCATTTAGGGCCTATTTACACCAAACTCCGTTTTTTTGGGCACATTTTTTTCTGAGGTTTGGGCATTTGCTCGCAGCCTTTCCTCGTCGCCCTTGCTCATTGACCAGCCATGGCAGGTGGACTTGGCTGCGGAGTGACATGCAGCATGCAGACGCTTTGACATGTCTTTGCTCTTTGTGAGGTGTGGGATGGCCAGCGGGTTGTTCAAGATCCGCGACTTCAAGTCAGCGACACCTCTCTGGTTCCCCAGGCCCCCTGCCTTCTTCTTGTCTGATTGCGTATGCCGCATTGGTGCAGAGGTTCTCCTCCTATCCTTCGGGGAGGGGAGTCCACTGGCTTGGCCCTCGGCACAGTGAGAAGATATGCGAGGATGTGCGAAGAATTCTCAGAGAGCTCAGTCCTTCAAGGAGCTGGGGCCGCTGCAGGGCATGCTGATGCAGCAGCCTGGCCTGCCAGCTGCTTAGTTTTTGAAGCGCGAAGCGACGATGAAGCGAACACTTTTTCCGAAACTAGGTGGGATGGCCGTCCATACTACAAGCACATGCAGCAGGCTCAACAGTGCAGCAGTGCAGCTTTGAAAACTTTCCAACTGCTACGAACTCTGTTTGAGGAGCTCTTCCTGCTGTGCTCTCCGGCCGAGGGCTGGCGTTTGGGACCGCTGCCTCTTGGGGATCCACCCCCCAGGCGCAGTGGGGGGGCAGTGGCCCGCAGTGGGCTCCCTGACCATTCTGTGGTTCGCTGTGATGCGCCTTTTTTGGCATATTTTGCATCCAGGCCTGTGCTCTTCTCGCGCAGTTGGGCCCCCGTCTCCTGCTCGTGTGCCTCGTGTGTGACTTCGCCATTTCACCCCAAGGTGCCGCCGCGCTGCCTCAGGAGATCGCCGGGGCCTTTGTCGGGCAGCTTCTGCGCTCTTTGAGTGAGGGCGCCCCCCCCGACCCCCCCCCCTCTGCTTGCGTGTGGGTTCTCTCGTGAGGTGGAGCCCTGGATGGTTCCCAGCCTTGGGCCTGGAGGCAGAAAGTGCCAGTAGAAGAGTGTTCGTCTCACGCATTGGAGACTTGGAGCTTGGACTTGTTGGGATGTCTTTGGGCTGTGAAGCTTCCTTGCGCAGGTGCCGATCAGCTCCCCGCTGCGTCCGTGAGGCGCCGAAACGGGGGGGCCTTCGCTCATGTCAGCCTCACGCGTCGAAGAGCAGTCGCGGTCCGCACGAAGTTGGAGAGGGGCAGAGAGAGAGAGAGAGAGAGAACACTCGGAGAGGGCACTCATTGAGTATTCGGAAAGTGTTCAGAAACGTGTTTGCTGGATTGAAGGCTTGCTCCGATGGACTTTGGGCCCCCGCAACGGCGGAACCCGAGGTGGAAGCGTGATCTTCCCACTCGTTGTGTCATGTGCAGTTCCATGTGTGTTTCTAGGTGTTACCCTTCGGCTCGCAATGCGTTTTTTCAGGCATCTCCTCGTTGAGGGTGTGGTGGCTGGAAACGGTTCCGCGAATGGAGTGTGCCTTCCTGGGGCGATGCCCCAAAAGCCCAAAAGCTGCCATTCAAGACTCCGGTAGAAGCCTCCTAAACGACGCTGCATGGAGGTACAGGCTTGCCCCTGACAGCTGGAACTTGAAACCCGTGTCGCAACCTTGGATCGTGCATTACACCTGGCAAAGCATCCTTGGGGCCATGTAGAATGTAGAATGTAATAGTTTTGCTGCTAAGACGTGGAATGTGGAGTGTGGAAGGCACGCGCTCGTGAGCTCTTTGGCGGCCTTGTTGGCCTTTTGTTGGCCTCGTCATGCCTCGTCGGCCCCGTTGGGTCTTGCTTGTTTGGGCTGGTCGCGGGCTCGCCTGGGCTGGCTCGCCTGGGCGAGCAGCACTTGACGGGCGGAAAGCCCCAGCAATGAGCGGACGACAAGATTCAGCTGATCGAGGACCTGTCTCCAGAAGCGCATATCCAAACAAAGAGAAAGTGCTCTCAACGTTTTGCTCGGGGGGAGCACCAGCGACAGATCTCTCCGAAAAAAAAGTGATGAAAACCGACTCCTCCAAGATCCTCCAAGCCTGAGGAAGATGCAGTCAGATGTCCTAGGCGATGCAACAGCATGCCAAGCGAAGACCCTGAGCTGGGGTGGACACGATTTGAGATTTAAATTGATTTCATGACGCGACGAAGAAGGGAGTGTGGATGAGTGTGTGGTGTGTCTCGATCATTCACGCATGTCAAAGGTATCACAAGACAGATGCCATTCGCACTGCATCGTCGCGGCCCCGATGAAGAGAGCAGAATCAGCGCAAACAGTTAACATTGGGCAGCCGTGCTCCAGCCGTGTCATTCCTTCACTTCGCTAAGCAGAGGCTTTGGTTTGCAGCTGGCGATTGGCGCATTGGACCGTCCATCGAAGATGGAAGGGTTTGGGCCGGCTGCCTTAGTGGCCTTCTTGTAAACCGCAGTTGTGGAGACTTTTGGGAGGTGACCCTGAGCGAGGTCTATGCCACTGCGGACATGCCTTCGCATGGCGACGCGAGATGGTTTTCTTTTGCTGGTGTTGTCGAGGACGGCCCAGTTTGTCGTCCATGTATTCAGATGTATTCAGATGTATTCAGATGATGTATTCAGATGTATTCGGTACCTCAATAGCAACTTGAGGATTCGCTTTGTTGCGCTGGGTAGCTGGAAACGCCAGGAGGTCCGCGTGGTGGATGCAGCAACGGTCGTTGCCTTATTGCGTTCCAAAGCCTGGTGCAACCTCGCGCGCAATGGGCAAGCTGGTGTGCAACCTCCTAACCTCCTAGGCGATTCCCACCAGCATCAGCGTTGATGGAACAGAGTTTGTTGCATCCTCAGAGCCGCATCCTTCCGCAAAATCGGGGGGGAAGGGTGGGCGTGGCATGGTGTGGCCTCAAGCGTTTCTTAGGTGCAGGATTCACGTCTTTGCGATGCTCGCCCAGTGTATGCAGCAACGAGCTTCGAGGCACGGCTGCCGTGGTGCAAGGATCTTGAAGGCATCCGTGCTCTGTTAAGTCGTGGGAAGACACCAAGAGGCTGGCAACAGTTCGGGCAGTGCCATGAAGGCGAATCACACGTCTTTGATTTTGCATGGCAGTGGCATAAGTCATTTCGGAGGATCGACAGCAGTGGCAGTGTCAGGTCTACCTGTACTTCCGGGCGCAGGAGTCTGAGTGGTGGCTGGGCCCGGAGGTCACTGAAGGGACACACCATGACACATCAGATCAGATGACACACGTCAGCATCACTTCAGCATCATCACCAGCTCAGCTCTGATCCCCTGACAGGTGGGTGGTCCCGAGTGCTTCGCCCGAGCCGCTGGGTCGGCCGCCAAGCCACGCTCCCCCAGTTCAACCACCGAACGCAGAGAGAGAGAGAGAGAGAGAGCCCAAGCGGGGCAGAGAGAGAGAGACAGAGAGAGAGAGCCCGCTTTTTGGCTCAAGTCGGAACCCACCCCCGGCTTGAGCCAGTGGACAGCTGTTTTCAGTATCAAGGGCACTCAAATAAAGGTGAGCCGAGCGGGGGAGCTGCAATAGAGGGGGTACATCTGTTCCGTCACTGGGGCTTGGCTATGTGATTGGTTTAGGCACCCAGCTCCTGCCTGTGAAGCGATCCGTGCCCAAAGCATACACAGAAGTAAGGGGTGAGGCTTACTGAGTTGGGGGCGCTATTTCGGGGGTGCTCAGGCTTGCAAGTCGTTGCCAGGACACGCAGCGGGTATGTTGCAAGGTTGCCACTTTAGCTGCTAGACTGGAAAAGCTGTAGCCCGGTCATGGACGCTCCTTCAAGACAGGTAGTCGGGCAGCGACAGGGAGGGCACGTTCTTGGCGGAGTGTCGTGTACGGGCGCGCCCTAAAGTCCCAGCCCACCATGACTCCCGCTAACGCGGGGGTGAAGGGGGTTGGGGGCGGCGGGGTTTGCGTAGCCGGCCCACTCCCGGGAACAAAGATGCCATCATACTCCCGGTAGAAGACAGCTCAATTAGGGGTGGGCCCCTGAGTCAGGGCAGAGACCAGGGGGGTGCACGCTACCAGAAAGCCAACCAGAGGTGTGCCACCTGCATGCAACAGATATGCGGGGGCCGTTAATTCAAGCACGTTTTTGTCTGCCACAGAACTTTTCATCAAGCAGATTGGGACATTCACTCAGAAGGTTTACAGCAGCGCAGAACTCATTGGGGGGGCTGGCCCTCCGCAACCAGACGCCTAATCAAACCGAAGAGACCAGTTTTCGCCAGCCGAGCCAATGAGGGTCATGACAAAAACAAGCCAAGCAGGCGCGGAAAGTGCTGCAGAAAGATGAGGGGGTACGACGTGCCGGATGGGCACGCCCATGGGGCCCGGCGCCCTACAACTACCGGAGCCTCCGCTGAGAGAGGAAGATGCTGAGCGCCCCAGCGAAAGTGAGCTTAGGGCCGACTGTACTGTGGACACCACCTCCGGTGATGGGGGACGAGAACGACGCCGGGACTGCGCTGGAGTGGGGGCTACGACGACGGCAAGAAGAACTGAGCCACGAGCAAGCGGATGCGTCTGAGTCCAATGAAGAACACCGTAGACGCAGAGTGCTTGGGGCCCTGGGTGACTGATGAGGATTTAGGTTAGGGGGGTCTTGTGGTAGATTGGGGAGGTTGCAGTTGGGGCATTGGGGAGGTTGCAGCCTGTGTGAGCCACGCTTAGAGCACCCTTGAGCACCCTCCGCCGGTAGGCCCCGTTTTTCACCGAAGGTCCGTGGGGGCTCTCAACCAGTAGGGTAGGGGTAGTAGGTTTAGCCGACTAGGGGACCGAGCCCACATGTAGACCAGTCCTGACTCGAAAGGTTGTTAAGGGGATGATGGGGGGCTAGGTTAGGCGCGGGGCTAGGATAGGTGTCTGCTCTGTTCGCAAAGATGGCCATGCACAGCCGAGTCAGTGACGTAGCAACCAGCGGGGAGGGGGAAGAGCACCGGCCGGAGTGATGTCAGCCTCAGGCGCAGGGGGAGTGGGGAACAGTCACGCCGGTGACCTTCTCCCGAACTGTCCAACCTGGAGGTGCCCTGAATACCGGGGCGGGCGCGTACGCCCGGGGGCTTGCCCCCATGCCCCCAAGAAAGAAAGAAAGCCCAAGCGGGGCAGAGAGAGAGAGAGAGAGAGAGAGAGAGAGAGAGAGAGAAAAAGAGACCTTTGGGGGGGGGAGTGACCTGAGTGACCTCGCTCAGGTCACTCCTTTCCGTGCTCCCCGGCTCATTGCACTGGACGCAGCCGCGGTCCTCGGAAGTTTCGGAAGCGGAAGCCGAAGACATCGACACTGGCGGAGGTTTCCGAGGCGAAAGGGAGGGGGCTGAAGGGGGAGGGGAGGAGATGCCATGAAATGCCCATACCTGCCCATCTGTTCTTGTCCCACGGCTGTGCCGATTACATGATAGCTCTCATGGCGTACGGCGTACAAGGTGTACAGGTCACATTGAGCGGACCCCCCGACACCCCCGATGCCCAGTCCGGGCTCCCGAGCTGGACCTGGGCGACTTTCCCGACTTCGGCGATCCCGCGCCCGGCTCCTAAGAAGGGTGCCCCCAAAATTGCCCCCACATGTGTCTGAGAACCTGCAGAGACTCACAGCGACTCTCAGTTGCGAGGCCCGCGCCGAAGGCCACCGTGCCACCTTGGCTCCCTTTGGCCGCGGGCCGTGAGGGCATTGCGAGGGGTGCTTCCCACAATATTGACAGTGTAGCTAGGGCTTTTCATGGCTTTTCACCCATCTCAACTTCCACAGTTCCTAGCTTTACTGGAGTGGCTCACGTCGCTGAGCGCGTGGCTCGAGGTCTGCTCCGTTGCCACAGCTGCTGCCTGGTTCCTCCTGCTTCGGCCCGTGTCAGGCATCCCGAGCTGTGATCCTGGCCCCCGAAGTTCCCGAAGTTCCGCTGTCGATGCTCGAAGCTGTCTGGAAGCGTCGACAGGCAAAGAAGCCTCGGCTGTTCAGAAGCCCAGCAAGCCGGGGACCCGTTTCGCAGATCTCCATGTTTTTTTTTTTTTTTTTTTTTTTCTCTCTCTCTCTCTCTCTCTCTCTCTCTCCCTCTCTTCACTATTCCAATCTATTCCTACCATTCTGGGCTATTTCGAGGCCAGAGGCTCTTGCTTGCGTCGTCTGCTTGGAGGCGCCGGTTCTTTTGACGAGTTCTCTTGACATGTCGCATCACCTCGCAGTGTGGAAGACGTACAAAGCAATGATAAGCAATGCACAAAACGAAGTTTTTGTTGATGTGGTCTGCGCTGTGCGCTGTCAGGCGCCGAGGAAGATCCTTCTGATGCCCTGCCGGCACGTGTGCTGCTGCAAGGCTCGTGTTCCATCGCTCCCGTGGCTTTCCCTTCTCGACTCCGCCCATGTCCGTCCCAGCCCTCAAAAGCACTAAAAACGAAGAACCACGATGCAGACCCAAAGAAGCCATTGACCACCCGAAGAAACCCTCGCGACATCCCCTCACAGAGCCACAGAAAACACAAAAACGAAGCCCCCTCCCCCTTTTTTTTTTTCTCTCTCTCTCTCTCTCTCTCTCTCTCTCTCTCTCTCTCTCTCTCTCTTTTATAGCCCACTGTTTTCTCAATCTCCGCTCCTTTCTCCTCCTGAGGACTGCGCGGAGCGCTTGGAGCGCTGCCCGGTGTGCCGGGGCCCCAGCAAAGAAGAGAAGCAGGAGGGAAAAGAAGAGCTCCACAAGCAAGTTCAGAGTTCTCTTCCCCTTTGTTCGTAGGTTTTCTTTTTCTTTTCCAGGCCGAACCGAGACAACCAGCTTGGCAGAGGTTTTTCTGTGAGTGCCACGTGACCTCCGCCTTCATTTTCCGATTGACAACTGCAACTCGCAGCGGAAGGGGAAGTCGGGAGTCCCAAAAAGAGCTGCCAGAAGCCATCCCAAGCCCGACGGCGCTCTTCCCCTACACTGGGAGCTTTTTAGGAGTTTCACCCCTCTCTCTGTGCCTCACAGAGATGTGCAAAGGTTTTGAAACATCAGCTCCAGGCAAGGCACAGCTCTGAACCCCCTTCCGCCCTAGAACGTGGGGGGGCCCGAGCTCCAGTTCGCCGTGTCGCCGCACACCCCCCCCCCCCCTGCGAGCCCAAGCTGATATATGACAGCTTTAGGGTTTCTCAGAACGTTTGTGAAACTCTGAGATAAATTTGTTTTGGGGTTCTTACGTGGCTGGATGCGACGGGCTGGTTGACGCCTTGGCCTGTTTGAGCTGATCGCGCTCTTCTCTTGAGCATTATTTCCCATGCTGAGGCAAGTAGAGTTTCACCATTTGAAGCCTTGCCTTTAAGCATAAGCTTGGTGAGGAGTGCCGTGCCACCGAGCAACAAGAAACCTGGATTTGGGTATCTTAGAACCCGAGATTTCGGCGTGCAGCGCCTTGAGACTCTTACATCCCCTTGTGAATGTTTGGCCCCAGACAAGCAAAGAGGGGTGCAGTGCAGACCTTTCAAGCAGCTTTCGAAATGCACCGTGTCGCGCAGTAAAGGGAGCCGGCAAGTAGAGACTAAGTAGAGTTTACATGAATCAGCACTCAGGCTTTACTTGCAACTTCCAATTGGCGGGATTAGGATGTAGAAACGTGATTGCATGGCCATGCCTGCCTGGCAGCCTTTTGGGCACTGCATTGGCAGATGGTCTATCTGCGACCCAGCCGGAGACGGCAGCAGGCAACTGTACAATGACGCGCAATGATTCAATGATTTTGCACGTAGGCTTGTGCATCGCAACTCGCCGACACCGTTCGACACCTTTGGGGCCGTGAGCTCCCACGACCTTTCTGCAGGTTGCCCTTCTCGTGATCCTGGCTTGGGCGAGCTTCAGGTGGCAAAGCAGCTGGAGAAGCAGCTGGCGAAGCAGCTGGCGAAGCAGGGCGGATCCTCAAAGCGGTCCGTGTGCCTTCATCGGTTCGAACGCACGAATCACAGGCGGATCTTAGACCCCAGCAGTGTGCATGCGTGTGCCTTTTTCGCTTTGTGTTCTGGGGAACGCAAAAAGCCGCAAGAAAGCAGCAACTCTTCGTAGCCACTCGCTGGGTGCTACAAAGCCACCGTGCTCGTGTTGCTACCCGTTGCTGCACACGGGACACATGGGCACATCCCAAGTAGGCCTTGTTGTCCGAGAATTCTTTGTGCGCATGTGATGTGTTGATGCGCCGTGGCTTAGTTGCGCGAGTCGCAGGGTCTCGCCGTGTTTTTATTCTCAGTCTGATGCGCGTCAGGAATGCACGCGCACCTTGTTGCGTATAGCCCCTTTTGCATTCGTTCTTTCAAGGAGAGGTGCGTGTCAATGCCATGACCCTCCGAGCCACTAAAATGACGGAATGGGATTGGTGTGTATTGGTGTTAGCCTTTCTTGGAGGCCGCGCTGCTTCGTCCCCTCGCCGTTGTCCAGGGCCTCAGGCCAAAGGTGTCACTCATCTGAGCTGAAGAATGCCATGTGCTTGCGAAATGAAAATGATGGGAACATGCTTCTGAGGGTGTCAAGAAATCTGCCATTGAGGTGACCCGAGAAGGCGAGCTGAATCTCCTGCTGGTCTCACAGTTTCCGGTCTTTGTGGCAGTTGGCGCTTTGATTCCAGTCTTGCCGCTGCTCCGAGACTCAACCGATGGAACATGAGTCCTTTGAGCTGTTTGCAGCTGTCGGCCTTTAATGCGACCGTTGTGCTTGTGCTTGGTCCGAGGTATGGCCAGGAATTCGGTCTCTCACAGAGTTCTGTGGGGTTGCTTGGCAGTGGCCGCACCAGCCTGCAAAGACTCAAGCCTCCGTAATCACCCTATTGGACATGCAACGGAGACAAGTGCGATTGACCGGATATGAGGCTTCTCGTTTCGTCACCATCTCTTGCAAAGCTTCTCTTGAACCTTGGAAAGAGATGGGAAGAGATGGGAAGAGACGGGAAGAGATGTGAAGAGATGGGAAGAGATGGGAAGAGATGGGAAGAGATGGGAAGAGATGGGAAGCGATGGGAAGCGATGGGCAGACATGAAAGAAACTGACACCGTGCTTGGACAGACTTGGGAGAACCCATTCAGGAACCTACCATTCGGCAAGCTCGCTGATTCTGTTGGTCGCCGGTCTCTGAGAGCATTTTCGCGATGCTGCCCCCGATCGGCTCCGTACGGTTCGTTGCACCTTTATACGTTTGCCGAGGCCGATCTCTAATGGTCGGCGGGATGATCCTGTGTGCCGCTGCCGACATCGGCACCGGTTTCGCACCATGTCCGAGACAAGACGAGCACGTCTTTCTTTGTCGGCTTTAAGTCTTTGAATAACGCTGTCATGTTTGTCGCTAACAGTTTCAGACCACCAAGGGGCATTCCCAAGACCACGTAAGAGCTGCCCGCGGCAAGGCAATTCTCCATGAGAAGTCCCGAACCGCCCTGAAAAAACACTCCAAGAGCTCATCCATGACCATTCAAAGAAAGCACACGAAGCAAGGAGAGCACTCCCCAAAGCACTCCGAACTTGACGAGCATGCGCATGGAGTCGAGGCATTTGCGGCGAGAACGCGCCGCCCATCCAACCGTCCAAACTAGCAAAGTATGCGCCCACGTTTCCGCGGCAGCGACGCACGGGTGCACGGCACGCCCGTAGAGCAATCTACAGTAATCTACACATCATGGATGGCCAGGGCGCCCCACAGTGTTGGCAACGTGTTTGGGGAATGAGGAGGTGGCCCCCAAATGGCCGAGGCCTCGTCCCTGCCTTTCCTGATCCTGGCGCGGCTCCTGCTGGGCGCCGGGCTGTCCAGCTCGGATGCTGGCGCCTCCGCTTGGGTGGCCGATGCTACGGAGCTGGGGGAGAATACATGAGAATACCAACAACACATGAATTCGGGGAATTTCGATCCCTTGTTGAGATTTCGGATCTTGAGGAAAGTTGAGTTGTGGCGCATCTTGCTGCCTCTTTGACAGCCATGGCCAGCCAGAGCCAGCCAGACTGTGGAATGCAGTGCCAGGAAAGCCAACCCGAGTCGCGGGCGTCGTTCTTGGGGGTGCCTTGTCTGGCCTCCAGCCAGTTTGCCGTACATTGTTCTCTCACTTTAGGCCTTCCTTACACCTCAGGGCGGATTGAGGGAGCATGGAGCATGTGGGGCTCAGGTTCAGAATGCTCTCACGGCTCTTGCCTTCGTTCTTGGGCCAGCAGTTTCCTGGCCGCACTAGCCCCAGCTGTGACCAGATGCAAAGCTCGGCCACCACTGTGTGACATGTTGCACAGGTCGGTGGATGGCTGGTGCAGGCGAGTACCGCATCATTCCCCAGCATACCGCAGCGCAGGAAGGCATCTACGTGAGGCCCGAAAATCTTGCTCCCAGAGAAATGCAGGAGTTTGGCTTGCGGTCCATCTTCTTCGCGGTCGCCGCAGGCACGATCGGTCTGTATGTGGCTTATGAGCGAATGAGGCCATAAGATCATGCCAGAGGAGGCACTTAGACGGTAACAGTAGAAGGCTCCGAGGAGAGGGATGTGGTGATGACGACAGCACGGATGCAACAAAGATGGAGAAAGCCCTATATGCCTGGACCCCCCGAAAGCCGTAGAAACCCCTCTGTAGAAAAAAGGTGATGAAGTGAGGGGGCAGCGGGGCTTCGGGCTCGGGCCCCAGGGGGTTGGAGAGAGCTCCCTGCAGGTGCCGCCGCCTGCGCCGGCGGCTATGCGCTCCTCCCCGAGCTGCGGGGAGCTCCCGAAAGTGCCGTGGAGGAGAAGTCCTTCCAGGAGAGCTTCTTTGAGCCCTTTGCATCAGACAAGAGTTGGCTTCCAAAATGTGTTTCTGCTGTGGTGTCTTTCCTGTTATCTGTGTTGCGGACTTGTCCTTACACCCAGGAGCTCCTTCAGGCGCCGGAGCAGCAAGCCTTGGCCGGGATCTCCGTAGCCTTCTACGCCGGCACGGTGCCCAAGCGGCCAAAAGCAATGCAATAAAACAGCAAGACAATGTTCCAGGTCTGCCTACTCGCCTGTACTCACCGTACTCGCTGAAGAAGCAGCGTCCAACGATGAAGTGGCGGCGTTCTCTCTCTAGCGATATGCGCTCTCTCCAGGCCTGCAAGATCTCGCTGCTCCCCACCGTGGCCGCGGAAGCCTTTGGCGCCGGCCCGGCAGAAGTCGGGCAGATCTTTTCGGCCCTGGCGGCTTTGGCCATCGGAGGACGCCCAAGCTTAAGATCCTAAGCTTTTCCTTACGGGTTTCCACTACTAAGGCTCGAGGGCTCTAGGCTCTCTGTCGTCCCGCTAGGAACTCTTGCCCCTCTGAACTTTCGAGGCACTCTGGCGGGCGGCCGCCTGACTGATGCCATCGGGCCGCGCATCGTTCTCCTCTGCTGTGGCTCCTTGGGGTCATCTTAAGTCACATCTTAAGTGACATCTCAAATCATTTTTTTTTAAGCATCCCGTTTGGCATTCCTTGGCGTCTTGCAATCCTGCGCGCGTGCGTGTATGTGCTTGCGTGGATGGCCTGAGCCTAGGTTCCATCTGCACGCTGGCCTACGTGGGAGCGGCCTTGGCAACGGGGGCACATGCCAAGGCCGCAGCATTCAAACAGAAAGCTGAGAGACCCGACACAAAACGAAGCAACCATCCCCAGAGGAGGCATTCCTCGGCTTCCTTGGCCTTTGGGCAGTGGCGGCGGCCGTGAAGTCTCCAGCACTGCAGGCCTACGCCATCGCGACATCGCCGGAGGAAGCTTGGAAGCTCCGAATGTGAAGCGTGGCACGCTGAAGCCGCTGAAGCCCCACGCCCTTTTGCTCATTTTTGCTCAAAGCCTTGCGGAGGACCAACGCGGCGCGGCCTTGAGCGTTCCGAAGACCGTCGGCCCAGGGTCCCGGATCATCGTTTCTTCTGGCGCTTCTGCGGATCTTCTGCGGATCTTCCTCTGCTCTTTTGCTCCTCCGTGCTTCCACGCGTCTTTCCCACCTCCCGGGTCTTGTCGTTGCGATCCAGCGGAGCCAGCGGAGCAAGGCGACCTTAGCTACCTCATCGCCCCATTCTTGTTGGGGACCTTGGATGACAGCCTTGGGCCAGAGGCCAGCAGAAGATGAGGAAGATCAGGGTATACTGTATACTGGCAGAGCGGGTCCCATGTTTTTTTTTGATTTCAGAGGCCGCGCTGCTGTGCTGCGTAGCCCCCTCAGTGAAGCAGCACAGGTGGTTGAGCACCGTCGGCTCGGGGGTTGTGGGGCGGGTAAGGGCGGAGGGCCGGACCGCTTCGCACCGCCGAGGCTGCAGCTTTCTTTGCGGGAACCGCATGGTTTGCGACTCCCGGCTGAATGCCCACATGAACTCCTGCAAGAGGGAAAGCCAGAGAGAGGAACTTGAAGGGAGGAGTTTGGAGAAGAAGTCTTGGGGCACCCAACCGAGGCTGCGGAGCTGAGGGGGAGAAGCCGCAAGGAGCTCGAGACAAGAGCGAAGAGATGAAAAAACGAGGCGTTGGTGTCTTTGCGCTTCTTCTCTAATTGTAAACGCTTGCGCGCGCCGCCTCGGCAGCCGGGGCCGGCCCCAGGACAGGAAAGGAGAAAGAGGGTTTTGAGCGGGTGGGGGGTGGGGTCGGGGGGGATGAGGGGGGGGGGTGGGGGGGGGGGGGGGGGGGGGGGGGGGGGGGGGGGGGGGGCTCCCCTGTAGGAGCCACCGACAAGCGGGACCCTCCACGGCATCGGTTTGCAGCTCCTCCAAGGGGGGGGGGGGGGTGGCGTCAGAAAATTTGGCATATGGGGGGGAGGGTTGGGTTAGGGGGAAGGAGGCCCGATCCGGGTCTGCTTGTTCCAGACGCTTCTCGGCAGGAAGCCGAGGCGAATTCCACCCCTTCTGCAGATTCTGCAGGGTCCGTCTTGGAGCAGTTGGCTTGTGCTGCGCAATGGTCCTGTGATTCCTCAAGCCTTTGGCATAGGGCGCGGCATGGATTGCGTGAGCGACTCTAGTTCCGACACTGGGGTAGTGTCTCTGGCCAAGCCACATGCGCTCCTCCAGGCCACCAAGAGACATTGTGGAGCGCTGCCATGTTGCATGTCTTTTCCTCTGCCTCAAATTGAGAGCAGGTCGGTGCCTTCCTTCAGGAACAGAGGGCCGCAGGCCTGCCTGGGCGCGAACTCGTCAGCTCCAAGAAGAGTGCTTTTCTTGAGCTGGAGGGTTGCGTATTTTGCGTATGGCGTGGCCCCGAGAACCGTTCACTGCCCTGGCTCAGCAGCGTCTCAGTGGTAGTTGGCCCACGTTGGGCCCTTAGAGGTTGCTTTTGTTATGTCGAAAGTGGCCGAGCGAGTGCGCCGCGAGTGCGGCTTGGCCCCGAGAGAGGCAACAGTCTCTTTCCCCGCTTTTTTTGCTGACTCTCCTCGCTCTTCCCTGTCTTCTCTCTCTTCTCTCTCTATTGTTTCTCTTCTCTCTCTCTCTTCTCTTCCGCTCTTTCACTCTTTCTCCTCTCTTTGTTTCTTTTTTCTCTCTCTTCTCTCTCTTTCATCAAAAGAATGTTTTTAAAAATCATGTTCATCTGACTGAGGCTCCCGGATCCGGGCCACGGGGCCGCGGCTTCCGATCCTCGCAGTGCAGGAGGGATGGTCCCTCTCTCTCTCTCTCTCTCTGTCTCTTTCCCTCTCTTTCTCTATTTCCCAGATTCAGGCCAAATTCAGGGAAGGAAAAGAAAGAGTTTTCGAGCTAGAGAATTGGGTGTTTAAAGTTAGAAGGGCAGGGGACACTCTGGGGAGGGCACTCTCTTCTCTCAACATCTTTGTTTGTTTGTTGTCCATCCTCTTCGTCACTAACTGCACACCTCCCCCTTCGGAGGAGACGGCGGACTGCCGCAGTTTGCGGGCGGAGATCCGTGGTCCCAGCGACAGCCCTTTCGAGGGCCAAAGCTTCGGCGTCGAGCTGCCTGCGCTGCATCTTTGGCTTTCGGGAGCCCGCTTGAAGATGTATGTATGTATGTATGTATGTATGTATGTATGTATGTATGTATGTATGTATGTATGTATGTATGTATGAGCAACAATATCATTGAAGCACGAGCGGCATGATTAGCGCAACCGATCGCAGATGATCCCCGGCCGGATCAAAGGCTGCACTTCGGCGAGGAGTACCCCTTCCGCCCACCTGCAGTCCGCTTTGCGTCCCCCAGGAGACGCGACGGCACTAACAGTCACTAACGGTCACTAACGACGCGACTGGCACATCATCATCAGGGGCAATTCTGTCTTTGCTTTTGGGAAGAGATGTCGAGCGTGTGGCGTGTGGCACGTTTCTGTCTGATCTTGTGTTTTTTGTTGACTCGTTTGTGTTTCCAGCTGACAAAGTTGGGTTGGAAGTCCGAGGCGGATCTTCCATCCCAACGTCAACTCCAAGGGTGGAATTTGCATTGACATTCTGAACGATCCTACGCTCTGGTCTCCCGCCATTGGCACCTCGGCAGCAAATAGCAGTGGGAAGCTGGCCATGGCTCTCAGCGTGCTCTCTGTCTCCTCTTTCATGCCAGAACTCTCGTAACGAGGCTTGGAGAAGCTGCTGCTCAGTGTGGCGTCTTTGCTGAGTGAGCCTCGTGTGGAGCACGGCTTGAATGAGGAGGCCTCTCCACCGCGACTGCACCGTAGTCATCGGCAGCCCCTCAACAACCCAGGCCTCAGGCTGCTACTAAGTTACAACCCATCGCTTGCGAGCGATTCCGAAGAGGTGTCCGGTACCCTCAAAAAGAGCTCGAAGGGCTACAGTGAGAAGCCAAGTAGTGGGATATGCTGACCATGCAAAGGCTGAACACTTGCCAGGCACTGGCACTTCTGCGATCCGATGCGGCGGCCTTCGCTGCGCGGGCGCGTGCGGCGGCTGCGCAGCCCTCTCTGCCCACACTGGCGCCCGTCGACGCTGCGCATGGGGCGCAGGCCCCGCAGGCCGCGCAGGCCCCGCAGGCCGCGCAGGCCGCGCAGGCCGCGCAGGCCGCGCAGGTCGCGCAGGCCGCGCAGGCCGCGCAGCCTGGTGCACGTGCCTCACCTCAAACAGAGACTGGTTTCCGGAGATCCCAAGGAGTGCGTGTTAAACCCAGAGAGGCCCGGAGAAATATTAGGCACGCAACGCGCTGTAACGTTGAGACACTGAGCGTTTAGCAGGTCCAGTGGCCGGCCTGGAAGCAGAGCAGGAGCGCCTCAAGGACGGATCAAACGCCTGCGCTCTCCTCTTGGCCTTCCTGGTGCTCGGCCTTGCTTATGCCATCCGAGCGCAGGCAGATACGTGAAGTGATGTGAAGTGTGGACATGATCTCACCATCTGCCCGAATCTGCCCGTTTCCGCAAGTACAACACCCCGTGCGACACCCCTGGCACTGAGCTCGAGGAGGCTTCTCTTGGCAGAGTTGGGAGGCCATGAGGTCGGATGTGGTCGGATGCTCAAGCGGAGATGGTTGTGAGGACTCCTGGCTGTACAGGATAGGATGGCCACGAAAGCAACGAGAAGGCAACAGGAGGCCCGCCAGGGCAAATGCAGATCGTCCTTTTAGTCAGACGAAGCGTGCTGTTTCTCGACGGAGCCAGCCCAAGGAGGCGTTCTTGCCTGATTCGCGTTGAGCAGAAAGATTCGAGACTTCTCTTTGTTCGGAGCGGAAAAACCATGGTAAAACCTCGGGGACCAAACCTCGATGGACCATCATGGTCGCCCCGAATTTGTCACTGGGCTGTTGTCAGGACCAGCTGGGTGTGTGCGCAGCCCGGCTGTGGGCATATGGTGTGTAGGCTGTGTAGGTGAACAGCTGCAGTTTCAAGCCGCTGGTATTGAAGGACGTCTGAGTGGATCTTGAACAAGGCCAAGAACCACATTGGCGCGCCTGACGGTCTTAATCGGTCTTAAGCTCCTTTTAGCATCGGGTTTCTTTTGGAAAGCCAGGCTACGGCTTTGATGGCCGCGTCAATCCTGGAGAGGCGAGCTGTAGTGAGCGGTGCGTTTCTCTCTCTTCGCTAGAAGCTTGAATGTCTGATTCAAAAGCACGCAAAGACAGCAGAGCGAACGCATGAGTGCATGAAATGACACGTCGAGCGTTTCCTTCCTCCTTTTTGTTGGCGTTTGTCCTCGCAGAGGGGAGGGGAGAGAGGACGTGTCAGTCTTTGTCAGGAGCAGAAGCGTGCGCTTCTTCCGTCGTTACTTTCTCTTTTTGTTTGAGGTCCAGGTCTCCGCCGTGTCCGGCGACACGCCGGACTGGTTCATCGGGCCAAGGCAAGATGTCTCTGTTTCCGTGGCTTCGGCGCTTTCTCAGAAGGTTTCTTTCACCACTCTTCAGGACCTTCGAAGGCCCCTTTCATTGCAAGGCAGTGCCGGTCCGACGGTGCCCGCACCTCACGTAAAGACAGCAAGCTGCTTAGGGGCTCTGAGCTTGTCGCAAGGCCCAGACGTCCACTTTAGACCGGATGGCAAGATGCTCTACACCGTGAAGTGCGCCGTTCGGCACTTTCCTTGTTGACTCTGCCTCTTCTGCGCCCCCTCCCCCCCCCCCTTCTGGATTTTTTTGTCTTTCTTGCAGGACCTACCACCAGGGTGGCTTCCTTGACACCAGCGAGGTGCATCAAGTGGTTGACACCAAAGGCCGACCTTTTGGCGAAAGCACCCGGGCGGGGAGCCTGGAAAGAATGGCTGACTACGTTCATGGCCTCGAGCATATCACGTTGACCCGAGCTTCCGAGATCATTCTCCCTGGCAGCTGCCCACCGCGATCGATCCAAGGGCACAAGGCCACGGCTTCTGTTTGCGATGAGTGCCTTCCACGCCTCTTTCACTATTGCTGCTGTCCGCTTAAGTTTGCAATTTTTTTTGCGAGTTCGTCTTGTGAGGAGCAGACGAGAGCCACACCCCCTTGGTTGCAGAAGGCACTCTGTGTCCCTGCAGCTTCTGATAAGACACGCAACGCTGGCTTGATTGTTTACTGCTCCGGATACGCCTCCAGGCGACGAAAGTATCAGTATCGGAATCATTGTTCACAGTCCAGCAGGAAGTAAGGCTAGGTCCGTTCCAGCGAGCATGGGGTGCAACATGGTTGGGCCGAACCAAACATCAGGGAGAGTACTTTGCATAGCTTTTGTTAGCTGGCACGCCCTCGCAGTCTTGCGTCTCAAGGCCACTGCGAACCGTTCCAAAGTTAGTTTGGAACTCAGCTGTCGCACTGCACATTTCATGGCTGCCGGCATGCTGTCATGCGGTTGCCTCGAGGTCATCTGGCTCACGGAGGCTGCACAGTGCTAAACAGTATGTGAAGCCTCGATCGAAGAGTCCTCATGTTCACAGAATTGAGACGCGTTTCGACACCGTATTTCCAGTCATTTGCATTCCGGGCTTTTTGCCCTCGGCTTCCGCCCGAGGCGGAGGCTCAGAAGAGGTCTCAAGATGTTGCAAAGAGGATGCAAAAAAGAGCCCACTTGAAAGCAAGTTCTCCAGGACATCTTGAAAGAACACAGTTGAGGAATTATTGAAGAGAACCTGCCCGACAGGAGTCTTGTTATTTGCATTACGATATGTTCAAATCTCAGCAGTGTGGCCGGAGGGTTGCAGCAGCTTACGGCGTATTGCTGTGGAGTCAGATGCCCTCAACTTCAACCATTGCCAAATCATGGCTGTTAATGGACAAGCCTTGAACAATCTTGAGGAAGCTTTACACGAACGGCTTTTGCAGCATGAGCCGGCGCATGCATGAGAGCGCTACCAAATGGTGGCAGTCACGCAGGCAGATTCACAGACTGCAGTGACTGCAGCTTGCTTGCGAGCTGATCCTGTGCTTGGGAGGTCTCATCGCAAGCCTTCTTCGAGCTGTCAGCCAGTTCGCTTCGAATCTTCCAAAGGCTCCAAGCTTCGGCAGACAGCATCGGAGTAATTGTGTGACAAATTGTGTGACAAACTGTGCAACGGCATAACGCTCAGGGCTGTGCAGCAGCATCCCCAGCGCCAATCAAGCAAATCCTCGGAGTGCTCTCTGCGCACACGCGGCAGACTTTCTGCGAACTTTGTGAGCTTGCCATGCCTGTTTCCGGACTTGGCCAAGGTGTATCGCAAAACTTGGCCGAGATGCTGCCTTGATCTTTCGCCCGGAAGAGTTGATTCTTCACGGCAATCTCGGCGATGTGTGCAGTCTGATGCTGTAGATTTCTGTAGCGCGCATGATCACACAAGAGATTCCGACTGTGCCAGGTGCCGATGACGGCCACTCAGCAGCGTCCCAATTTGCTTTCCGACGGAGGTTCTTCCGATGCACTCCCACGCAGGCCGCATCTGCATGCTTTACGGATTTGAAGCGAATGTCGCTGCGGCTTCGAGTGTGAGCTTCCACATCTTCCACTGTGCATGCATTGTTGACACATGCCCAGGCAGTGGTCCAGCAGGTGCGGCACTCATTGCGGTGTTTCGGCGGTTGCAGAGGGCGTCGCATGCGCATGAACTGCAGGAGATGCACGTGGTGGTGCTGGCACGTGCCCTTGCAGTTGCCCTGCGCGGTTCACCGCAGCGGACAGCCCCGTGCTGAGACGTTCACCCACGAGGTAGATGCGGCAGATGCGCCAGTCGAAATGTCATCAAATCCCGAGGCGGAGGGCCTGCTCATCGGCCTAGCAGGGCAGCGGCTGGTCCTGGAGTTCACCCGTCACGGCGGCAAGGCCATGTAAAACCAGGTCAACAGCATCCAATGCTTTTGTTTTTGCCCTCAGGTTCGGCACAAAGTTCCTTTGCTCGACACGTCGGTGCATGGCCCCAGAGACGAGCGAAAGCATCGTGCGACGCCGTGTGAAGCCGCTTGCCTGTGTTTTTTGGACTTTGCTGTCCTGCTCTGTCCAGCCCTTTCTCCCCGGCGAGCCCCCGGCCGGCCCGCACGCGGCCGTCTGCGCCCCAGCCATTCGCGACATTTCGCGAGCGGGCTCCCGACTGAGTGACTTAGTGGCTTAGTGAGGCTTAGTGCATATCCGCACTTCAGAGGCCTTGGCCCCGGGTCTGTTGGCAAGGGTGCTGGACCACTGCGCGGCCCAGAGTTCCCTGAGCTCTCTTGTGCTTCTTCTATTTTTTGGTCACATCTGCGCGGCGTGTCCACGCCGGCGTGTCTCACCTGCCTTCTCAGAGGTGTACCCGCTGGGCGCAGCAGCTGTGAGGAGATCATCGCCCGACACTTGGCGATCTTGGAGTCGGTCGAGAACCGCGCTGGGCGCACACCCTGCTGGGCTCTTGCAAGGTGTGTGCGGCTCCTCAAGGCCTCCGCCGACTCCTCAGATCCGGTATGAGCTTTTTGTCGATATGGTCAGTGAGTCACAGGGTTACCGGGTGAGCCCGTGCATCGCAGTTCCAACATGTTCAGGCAGAAACAACAGCATGCTGTAACAGGGATCCGCCTGCCAAAAAAAACCTGCACCTAAGTTGGCGTTGTTCGTTTGAGCAGAATGAGCGGCCGAGAAAATAAATGCCAACAAACAAGGGGATTACATGAGGCACCGCTGCAAGGTATTGCAAGTCATATCAAGTCATGTCGCGCCTCCGTCCTGCCATGCACCTGCTTGCGCTGCACGCGATGCGCACGCTGCTGATGTTGCTGGTTGTGCGGAGTGCTGCGGGCAGCGAGCTCCCCGCGCTGAAGATGTCCACCTTCGATGCCCAGATTGTGGACATCCTCTGGCTTGGGCCTGACCGCAAGAAGGTCTTGCTGAACACCAAGCGAGGCTGCGGGGGAGTGATTGAGCGTTTATCTCATGTTACTTCTCAGCTTCTCCCATGTTCAGAATTGCAACGTGCTGCGCGCCGTGTATGCTTCGACTATCTTCGACTGTATTCGACCGTGCTGTAGTCACCTGAAGTCAGACTCCGCTTGCACGAAGGTACCGTCTACGAGAGCCTGGAAGATGGCAGGGACTGGGAGAAGAAGCCGGTGCACCCCGCACTACAGGTTGCGAGACTCATCATGAGTGCCGCAGACTCTTCCACTGCAGCTTAGCAGCAGCAATTGAGAGCGCCCGGTGCTGTCGCGTGGAATAGGGCGACGCTCAGCGCACCTCAGCGCTGTAGATAAGCCGAGGTGGTGGCCGTGGGCTACCGGCTCGAGGTTTTTGCAAGTTTGGATGCTGGAGAAAACTGGCACGAGGTCGTGCACCCTCCCGGCGTCAGCTGCTTTGCTTCATTGTCTTCACTTTCTTTTTCACCAAGCGAAATTCTCGCTTCAAGGGTGGGAGTCTAATGAACATAGCCATCAGCATGCCTTCGGAATTGCATGAAGCGGATTTCAGCGCTTTCCAACAGTCAGAGATCAGAGCCGGCCCTGACGGGGCATGGTTTTGGGCATAAGATTCCCTTGGTGCCATGCATTGGATAGGGGAAGGTTTTTGCAGCAATCGGTTGTCGGCCGCAGGGCCGCAGATGCCAGCGCCAAATTCCATGAGAATCCGTGCTCCTCTTCATGAGCGTCTTGAGCATCACTAGCCCTTAGAAGTTAGAATCCTTAGAACCCAAACTCATGCTAAGAGGGCGCATGCCCCTGCAGATGTGTAAGCTGAGGACTTTCCTTCATGTTCCATCCGACGCAGCCTTCCTGGGCTCTGCTGTCTGTTTGGACCGATGAGTGCCGGCTGACGGCGCCTGGGAGCCCGTGCTCGCACAAGTTGCTGGTGACGGAGGCCCCTAAGCTTCCTCAAGTAACGAATAGACATTTCTTCGGAAAATCGAGGGCTTGGACAAGGCCCGGATGGTCCCGCAATGCCACTCGTGCGCAACTCCCAAGTTAGAAAGAGTAAGACGCATGACAGCCAGTACAATGCAAACAAAGCATAGACACATTTTCATTCTACTTCATTTAGATTTATGACTTTATGACTTCTTAAGATCCAGTCATGTCTTCGCTTCCCCTCACAAAAACCTAGTTGCAGAACGAGGAATGCGCCATGTCACGGCCCATCGAATTTGGGAGTATGGAAGGTGGAGTACAGCCTCCCACCCCCAAGATTTTAATCGTAAGAAAATATGCTCGGCACATAACCCTGCAAAACACAGGCATGTAGCGTGTCTCTTTCTCTGTTTTTCGGACGGGTGTTGGTGCTGGTTTCGCTTCTGGCTCCAGTGGGCATGGCTGCAGAGAGCGTCCCTTCTGCAGGACCTGGGCAATCGCCCCTTGGTGCCAGTCGCGGAGCACGTGGTGCAGTTCAGCTGGGGTAGAGGTGCCGTCAAGGATCGCATCTTCTTCACCCACATCAGGGACAAGAGCAAGAGGCAGAGCGCCCTCAGCCGCCCGGACATGAGCATAAGCAAGAATCTTCAAAAATCTAGAATCCCAGAAGTAGTCTCAGTCAGTCTCAGTCAGAACATCTACGGAGTGCATCACATTAGCAATGCGAGATATTGACGCTGTCTTGCTGATGTTGCCCAGGCTTTAACGTTACAGCTGAGCCGCAGGCTCCTTCGAAGGTACTCACAAACGAGTTGAATATTGGGGATCTGTAACGCTTGCGGGCGCAACCTCGGCAGCCATGCCGGCCCACGTTCGAAAGCCAAAGTCATGTGTCACTTGGTGGGGGGTGGGGCCAAGGAGGAGGTCTCGAGGGTTTGAGAGGCTTCACGAAATACCGGGTGGCCGGGTTCTTGTGGCCCGCCCGTTGGGAAGGGGGGAAGGAGACCAGATGCTGGTCTGCTGGTTCCACACGGCCGCTAATGCCGAGGCGAATTCTAGCAAGATTGCTTTGCTTAATGAGCTTGAAGAAGATGTATCTGCCATCCCGAAATCTGAGGCAAATGGATGGAGGGAGTGGACTTTGTCTCCGTAGCAGTCTCTGGCGACAAAGCTTCGCAGAGCATCCTGCCTGCATATTGTCGAAACTGTGTCTGACGTCTAGAGAGTGTACATCGAGAGAGGGCAGGATAGGCAATTGGACTCTCCATGACTTTTCCGAGGCCTTCATGTCCAAGGCGGGAACAAGTTCGTGATCTCCGAGCAGTACATCCTAGTTGCACAGGTCAAGGATGTGTCTGCACAGACGGTGAACCTCAAGGTGAGCAAGGACAGCACGACCTTCCAGCAGGCGCGAGGGCCGCATTGTTGGGGCAACGCGAGGGGGGTGCAGCTCTGCAGGAGTGAGTGTGTGTGTGTGTGTGTGTGTGTGTGAGTGTGTGTGTGTGCGCGTCTTCAACTATGTGTCGTTGAGAATTGAACGATTTTTTAGGCGGTGCTTCCCACAGAGCTGGACGAGAAGTCGTACACAGTCCTTGATGCTTCTGAGAGCCCCTTGGCGGAGCCGCAGATCTCAGGATCGCATTGTAGATATGATTGATGACTGTCGTCTCTTCTCGTCCCTCTTGTTGTTGCCGCTGAGTTGTCGTGTTCTTTCATCCTCCGGGTTTTCTTGAGCTGAGGCGAGGTCGTTCTGCACGTGAACCATGGCAATGGCCTTGGAAACATCTACGTTTCGGACGCCTTCACCCCAATTCAGTGTTTCGGGCTGGGGTCGGGGGGGGGGGGGGGGGGGAGGACCCCCCCCCCCCGGCCTCATGACATCGATGTGAAGGGGTCCGAAACCGGCTCCTTGAGTCGGAACAGGGTTGGCTCTGCAGGTTGTTTTGCAGCTGAACTCTTGGCGGCCATGATAAATGAGCTCGGAGCTGTAGGGATCTTGGACTTCGGTCCACGGATTCAGGTCCAGGCATCTTCGACTGCAGTGGGCTTTTAACTTTCAATTGTTGAAATGCCCCCCACCCCCCCCCCCCCCCCACTTCAACGCCCCTCGAACTCCTTCGGAGACTTCTTCAGAGAGCGAGGACGAGTCGGGCACTCGCTACATTCTGTCCTTGGAGCACAACGTGGGCTTGCAGGGTCATGCGGCCTTCGAGAAAGTCACGAACCTGAATGGCATCTACTTTGCCGCTGAGCAGCACATCTCGAGAGCTCAACAGAGCAGGAAAAGAAGCAGGACGCGGATCAGGTCAGTTGCAGCGTTCGACGATCCACGAGCTGAGGCCAATGTTTGGGCAGCCACAGACAAGCCCGCAGGCCTGAAGGGGATTTCGTAGGATCCCCTGTAGGCCCCCCCTGTCGCTCCAAAGATGTGCTCTTCGAGAGGCAAGCACGACCCAGTCTCGCCGACTTGGCTGGATCACGCTTCCCGACTGCACTTCCTATACAGTTTAATTCCCTTACAGTGATTACAGGCCTGAGGATCATCCCAAAGTGCCCTCTCAGCTGCTTCCCACGTGTGAGGCTGATTACCAACTGGGCGAGGACTCCACGCAATCCCAGACGGAGCGCTCCATACGCTACCTCAAGGCTGGCTCGAACTTTACTCTCTATACGCCGCATCCGATAAGCAACAGACGTGACACACAGACACAGACACAGACACAGAGACAGACACAGACACAGACACAGACACAGACACAGACACAGACACAGACAGAGACAGAGACAGAGACAGAGACAGAGACAGACAGAGACGGAGACGGAGACGGAGACGGAGACGGAGACAGAGACAGAGACAGAGACAGAGACAGAGACAGACAGACAGACAGACAGACAGCCGCGCGCGCGCGCGCAAAGTAGAAACCCAGATCCATATTTTGTATGTCAAACGACAGCATTAACCTCTCTAGCCCCACAGCTCCGCTGCTGTCCTGGAAGAGGCACGCACGGAACAGACAGAAGCGCGGCAGCTCCATCGTCGGTTGGAGTCTAGCAATATGCCGCTCGGCGAAGAGTCCGGTAACAAGTTCAGGATCTCTTGCAGAACTCAACCATAGCAGGAGAAGCAGCGGAGGGTCAGCAACCAGTGCGGACATGGACCCGTTGTTGAGGTCGATCCGGAGCCGCATCTCCTTCGATGCCGGCGGCAACTGGGTGCCCCTGCGGCCCCCCAGCAAGGACGGCCAATTTTCTGCGAGGCGGGCGAGAAGCAAAGAGCACATCAGATGGTCTTGCAGGATTCCTTGGGGACCGACATCACCTGCCAGGGCTGTGCCCTACACCTCCATGGTACGCCTCTGGATCATGGGAAGTGCATAGAAGTGCATCGAAGTGCATGGAAGTGCGACAAGAGCAGTTGGCAGTGCACGCATGTTGGCCTTTGATCTGCCGCACCTTTTGACAGATGCAACCTTCCAAGACAAGTTCGTGGCTTGACGGCAAGGAAGTGCCAGTTCTTCATGCTGCTTGCGACATGCTTTGTGCAATGCTGCGATGCTTGCTAGATGCTTGAGATGCAGTCCAGAGGTGCCGTTCTACTCCTACGACAAGGCAATTGGCATCATCATGGGTGTCGGGAACGTTGGGCCGCAGCTCAGCACCTCGCCCGCATCTTTACGCCGCTGCACAAACTGGTCTGACAGGATTCTTGTACAGTGTCGTAAGTGCCATCTTTCCCCCCCCCCCCCCCCCCCCCCAAGGCTCGCTTGTGACATGCACCGGCTTGAATTGTCTTGTGTGTTTTTGGATGTTGGATGAGGCTTCGAGCCCCAGGAAGCCAACACCTACCTGTCTCGTGATGGTGGCTTCAACTGGCTGGAGGTTAAGAAGGGAGCGCCTTTGCAGCGCCATAATGTCGTAGCATCATCATAAGGGCAGGAACCATCCTGGTATGGGAGCTGACCGTGCCAGGTGCACATCTATGAGTTCGGGAATCACGGGGCTGTGCTTGTGATGGCGGACATACTTTCTGAAACCGACGCCATCATTTACTCTATGGATGAGGGTAACTCATGGAAGACGCTGCATCTGAGCAGCAAGATGAACGTGCCTCGTCTTGCTTATGGGCTATGCTCTGTCACTGTCAGCGCCCGTGCAAGTTGCCCAAGCGTCAGGTGACCAACATCCTGATCGAGCCCCGTGCGATCGCCACGAAGTTCCTGGCCTATGGGAGCGTCGGAGGTGGCAACTCTGAGTCCAGGGAGAACAGTGAGAACAGTTGAACGGTTCCCGTAGAGCCGTAGAGCCGTGGAGCCGCAGAGCCGTAGAGCCATCCTGTCTTCGTTTGGATAAAGTTTCAAAGGTGCCGGCGTCGTGCAGTTTCTGGACTTCGACGCTCTTGGCTGGATGCCCTGCCGGAAGCCAAATGCGCCAGGCAGTGATGCCTCCGAGCCCCGGCTCATCTTACCCGGGGGGGGGGGGGGGAATGGAGGGCCTATTTTTTTGGGTCTTTTTTTTTTTGGGGGCATTTTTTTTTTTTTGGTCGATTTCCTTGGTTTTTCCTAAGAAAACCACCATTCCCTCCATATTTTTACAGGATTTGATGCATTTTCGTGGTTTTTCGTACGAAAAACAGTAATTTCTCTGTGGTTTCATAGGAAAGCGTTATTTCTGGTAGGTTTTAGAAGGAAAGAAGGAAAGAAAGGAAGGAAGGAAGGATGAAAGAAAGGAAGAAAACAAGGAAGGAAGGAAGGAAGGAAGGAAGAAAGGAGGGAAGGAAGAAAGGAAGGAAGCAAGGAAGGAAGAAAGGAAGGAAGAAAGGAAGGAAGCAAGGAAGGAAGAAAGGAAGCGTGCTTCGAAGCCCAAGAAACTAGTTGAAAAACATCGTGTGAGCATTGTGTTTGCAAATGGGGGGGGCTGCGCCCCCCCCAACCCCCCCGCTTTTTTTAAGCCGTGCAGAGCGTGCTTCAAAGCCCAAGAAACTTGTTGACACCCATCATAAGCTTCTCGGCTCGGATCACATGTTTTTTTTGGTAGGGGGTCAATCGGGTTCCAGGCCTAACAGGTTCTCTGTTCAACTGGACCCCCTTCCGGACGCTGTAGTTCTTGCCTTTGCACATGGTGTCTCAATACTGAGCCTGGGAAGCCGCACTTCGGCACCCATTCACAGATGCAATGAAGATGGCGATATGTCTGAGACCCGTGCATTCAGGTTGTCCTCGGTGCACTCACTGGCCTTCATGGATCTGGTATGGTATTTGCATGGCATTCTGCTACTGGATGTTTTTGGAGACGCCTTTGCCACCTGATGAGCTGGTTGCGCAAACGCAGTTAGCCCCACGGTTGGGAGATACACGAGTGACACCTTCAAGCATCATCACTGCAGGTCCGCTCTTCTTTATTTTACGAGCCGTGCCGGTCCCAAGTCCGGCAACCAGCATTGGATGGGCCACTGAAGACAGGCCAAATGTATTGCTGGTAGAAGTGAGGGTTGCTGCAGATTCCAGTGCTGCAGCGGGAGCCAATCAGGTTCGTGATCACCTGGGCTTCATGTGTGGGCGAAGATACTGGCCAGGCATTATGTACGCACCAACGCTTCGGGGCGGACTGCAAGGTACAGTGTTTTCACTGCCAGCGAGCTCGCGCCTATGCTCAGTGCTTGGTTTATTTATTTCGTATTTGCTTTTGTTCTTCATGTTGTATGACTATTCATTGCCACTTACGGTTGCCAGGCTTTGCGGCAATCAGGCATTTTGGGATGAATGTATGGCCACTTGCGGTTGTCAGGCTTTACGGCAACCAGGCCTATGGGCAGGGCGCCGTCTTCGGCCCCTACATTGTGCTGCTACAGTTTGTCTCTATGCAGATGAATTCGTTTTTGCTGAGGCGTCGTCTGGGACTGCTCTGATGGCCCACCTCATGGTGCTTTCACTTTCGGTTGCAACGGCTGGAAGGATATGTGACGACATTCGTTGTGGACAGTTCGTTCCTGTTTCCCACCTAGCCCTTCTGGGATTTCGTGGGTCGGCCCATGGCGAGTTTTCGGGCAATGAGGCAACTTGCGCGATGCGACGAGTCACTGTAGTACCAGACTCTCCATGGAGGTCCTCAACTGTCTGCCCTATGAGTTTGGATCATCGTTGAGCTGACCATATTTGACTCAGTTCTTTGCTTGTACAATGCATGTGCTGGAGCAGTACCACACACTCACCCCATACTTGCTTGGTTTTTCTTGGCCACTTGCGATTGCCAGGCTCTACGGCAACCTGGCCTGCGGGCGGGGGCGCCGTGTTATCGGCCCTTCTATTCAATATGCTGCTGCTATTTTATTTTCTTGTCTGGTGGGTGCATTGGGCTTCCTCACCGTGATGGTCCCCTACGCTGTGTACCTGCCGCTGAGGTATTCTTGGGATTGCTCTGATGGTTCTCTTTCCTCGTGGGGTGCTTCTGCCAGCTTTCTCTCATGGAGGCTGCCGCTTTGGCAAAGCTTGCCCTTTGGGCAGGACGACAGAACGATGTGCCAATGTGTCTGTCAGCGGTGGCTACGCTGCCCAAAAGCAGTGATTCCAGGAAAGTTGGCGGTAAGCATAGAGGCTTGTTGTGGACTCCGTTTCGCTTGAAATTGGCCTGTGGAGTGCATTTCGATGCTCTAGTGGACTCTGAGTCCGTCCCTCCATGGAGGTCCTCAACTGACTGCTTTTCATGAGTGAGATCCATCATTGAGCTGACCATTTTGTAGCTCAGTCCTGACGTTGTACAGTGTACAGGGCTTGCGCAGCACTTGTCTCGGGGTTGCCGTTTCCGGCCCCCTGCCCAAGGCAGAGTGGCGTGATGTGTTTTTCATTTCTTCGTTTTGACAATTCATTCACTGTTCAGCTGAGCTGTCACAGTCTACTCCCTAGTTAGTAAGTGCGAGAACGCTAGGTTGAGCGACTGTGAGCGCTGGAGACCCTGTACTGCACAGTTTGTTGAACTTCGGTTCCTGTGCAGTTGCCTTGCATGTCCATACCCGAAGCTGTTAACCGCCGCCACAGAGCGGCCGTGACATATGTCACGAGCTACAGCTAGCTAGTAGGTCAGACCAGACCGCTGCGGAATCGAGTTCGAGTTCGAGTGACACCCATCATGTGAGCATTGTGTTTGCAAATGGGGGGGGGGCTGCCCCCCCCCCAACCCCCCCCGCTTCTTTTAAGCCGTACCAAGCGTGCTTCAAAGCCCAAGAAACTAGTTGATAAACATCGTGTGAGCATTGTGTTTGCAAATGGGGGGGGCTGCGCCCCCCCAACCCCCCCGCTTTTTTTAAGGCGTGCAGAGCGCGCTTCAAAGCCCAAGAAACTTGTTGACACCCATCATGTGAGCAGGGTGTTTGCAAATGGGGGGCGCAGACCCCCCAACCCCCCCGCTTTTTTTAAGCCGTTCAAAGCCCAAGAAACTAGTTGAAAAACATCGTGTGAGCATTGTGTTTGCAAATGGGGGGGGCTGCGCCCCCCCCAACCCCCCCGCTTTTTTTTCAGCCGAAGCCCAAGAAACTGGTTGAAACCCATCATGTGAGCAGGTTTGCAGATGCAGAACCCCGCTTCTTTCAAGCTGTACCAAGCGTGCTTCAAAGCCCAAGAAACTAGTTGAAAAGCATCGTGTGAGCATTGTGTTTGCAAATGGGGGGGGCTGCGCCCCCCCCAACCCCCCCGCTTTTTCTTTTTTTTTAAGCCGTGCAGAGCGCGCTTCAAAGCCCAAGAAACTTGTTGACACCCATCATGTGAGCATTGTGTTTGCAAATGGGGGGGGGCTGCGCCCCCCCCCCCCCCCAACCCCCCCCGCTTCTTTTAAGCCGTACCAAGCGTGCTTCAAAGCCCAAGAAACTAGTTGAAAAAATCGTGTGAGCATTGTGTTTGCAAATGGGGGGGGCTGCGCCCCCCCCAACCCCCCCGCTTTTTTTAAGCCGTGCAGAGCGTGCTTCAAAGCCCAAGAAACTTGTTGACACCCATCATGTGAGCATTGTGTTTGCAAATGGGGGGGGCTGCGCCCCCCCCCCAACCCCCCCCGCTTCTTTTAAGCCGTACCAAGCGTGCTTCAAAGCCCAAGAAACTAGTTGAAAAACATCGTGTGAGCATTGTGTTTGCAAATGGGGGGGGCTGCGCCCCCCCCAACCCCCCCGCTTTTTTTAAGCCGTGCAGAGCGCGCTTCAAAGCCCAAGAAACTTGTTGACACCCATCATGTGAGCAGGGTGTTTGCAAATGGGGGGCGCAGACCCCCCAACCCCCCCCGCTTTTTTTAAGCCGTTCAAAGCCCAAGAAACTAGTTGAAAAACATCGTGTGAGCATTGTGTTTGCAAATGGGGGGGGCTGCGCCCCCCCCAACCCCCCCGCTTTTTTTTCAGCCGAAGCCCAAGAAACTGGTTGAAACCCATCATGTGAGCAGGGTGTTTGCAGAACCCCGCTTCTTTCAAGCTGTACCAAGCGTGCTTCAAAGCCCAAGAAACTAGTTGAAAAGCATCGTGTGAGCATTGTGTTTGCAAATGGGGGGGGCTGCGCCCCCCCCAACCCCCCCGCTTTTTTTTAAGCCGTGCAGAGCGCGCTTCAAAGCCCAAGAAACTTGTTGACACCCATCATGTGAGCAGGGTGTTTGCAAATGGGGGGGGGGCTGCGCCCCTCCCCCAACCCCCCCCGCTTCTTTTAAGCCGTACCAAGCGTGCTTCAAAGCCCAAGAAACTAGTTGAAAAACATCGTGTGAGCATTGCAAATGGGGGGGGCTGCGCCCCCCCCAACCCCCCCGCTTTCTTTCAGCCAAAGCGCAAGAAAGTAGTTGAAACCCATCATGTGAGCAGGGTGTTTGCAAATGGGGGGCACAGCGTCCCCAACCCCCCCGCTTCTTTTAAGCTGTACCAAGCGTGCTTCAAAGCCCAAGAAACTAATTGAAAAACATCGTGTGTGCATTGTGTTTGCAAATGGGGGGGCTGCGCCCCCCCCGCTCTTTTTTTTTTGAAGCCGTGCAGAGCGTGCTTCAAAGCCCAAGAGGTGTTTGCAAGTGGGGGGGCTGCGCCCCCCCCCCACCCCCCAACCCCCCCCGCTTCTTTTAAGCCGTACCAAGCGTGCTTCAAAGCCCAAGAAACGAAGGAAATGACAGGATATCTGTCCAAAATGTAAGGAAAATAGGGTTTTCCCCCTAGGAAAAACCAAGGAAAACCTAAGGGAAATTACAGGAAATCCGTCCAAAATGTAAAAAATAGGTTTTTCCCTATGAAAAACCAACGAAAACCGAAGGGAAATTACAGAAAATCCGTCCAAAATGTAAGGAAAGTAGGGTTTTTCCTAGAGAAAACCAAGAAAATCGACCAAAAAAAAAAAAAAGGCCCAAAAAAAAAAAAAAAAAGACCCAAAAAAAAACTCCACCCGGGGGGAATAGCCTGCTGTCCTCATTTCTGACATGTACACCCTCGAATGAGTGGGGGCAGCAGGGGTGGGCTTTTTCACCCAAATATTCATGTACGTACAACCGTACAACTGCAAGCGCAGAAATGAGAGAAGCAGCAAAGACATGATCCCAGTTGAACTGCAAAGAGCAATCAAAAGCGATCGTGATAGACGTCATCGTCGTGGTGTTCGAAGATCGTCGTCCTTTAGCAGTCATGGCGGTGGCAGCGGTGGCGGAAGGTGGTGGTAGTGATGGTGGTAGTGATGGTGGTAGTGATGGTGGTAGTGATGGTGGTAGTGATGGTGGAAGTGATGGTGGTGGTGGTGGTGGTGGTGGTCGTCGTCGTCGTCGCAGCAGCAGCAGCAGCAGGAGGAGGAGGAGGAGTAGTAGTAGGAGGAGGAGGAGGGGTTATTGTAGTCAGATGACACCTTCCTTCTCTTAGTACAAAACCACAAAGGCCAGTTGCGAGCCCCTCATTGAGACGGCAGGGGCAGCGGGCCAACGGTGCGGGTGGCTAGCCCAGCACCAGAGCGTGCTGCTCCGGCTCGCGACGGCGTCAAGGTGTCAAGGCATATACACATGATTGCCCTCACCTGCTCAAAAAATCATTGCTGCTTACTTTCGGCAGCATACAGTAGGTCCTGTACCTGCCTTTCCAGATTTCCTGGAAGTGTGCTTGACCCACTTTGTCACCGCTCCCCCGCTTCACGAAGCAAAGGCACCAGAAGGGGGTTGAGTTCGGCATGCTGAGGCCCAAATGCAAGAGTGAAGCGGATGGACACCGCAGCGCAGAAGTGAAGGTTTGCCCTGATTCCTCGGGCCACGGCCACGGGCTTGGGGCCATGCAAAAACCTTGCTTTGGAAGCGAGAGGAGGGTAATGATCGAGGCCTGGCTGGATTGCCTTTATTGGCTGGGATGAGCAAGCGTGCCCGTCCTTCAAAAGTTTGGGTTCAGTGTTTCGCTTGGCCTTGTTAGGGCAGGCGGATTGGGAAGCGCAGTCCCAATAGTATCAGTGCAAGTGAGCGTTTCGTGCATGAAAACAGCCTGCTTCGAAGTGAAAGGAAGGCAATGGTTAAACAAAACGAGGCCCGGTTGGGCTGCCTTTGGTTGCCATGAGCTTTGTTGTCGCAGGGGGTTCTGCCCCGCACAACCTTTCGCTTTGCCGAGTGTTTCATGAATTTGTGTATGCAGGTGGTGAAGCGACATGTGGTTATTGGTTACAAACCGCTAGCCTTTCGCCTTTCCGAGTGTTCTTTCATGCACCAAGAAGCTTCTTATGAGTCGAAGGGTTAAAGTAGCCGAAGTCTGACGAAGACAGTTTTGCAAGACTTCGTAGCCTTGAAACCGCAAGCGGCCCAAGCCAGATGTCACTGCTATTTGAGCCCTAAGAACCTCAACCCAAACTTTTGAGTCTTCGAGCCATGAACCCCAATGCTCCGAACTTGTGCCCATAATCAGAAAGCAGAGGGGTGGGGGATCATGTCCATGGGGTCGCGGAGCGAGGATTACGAAGCTTGGTCGCCCTTGTCGGACGAATCCGCTCACACTTGCCTCCTTGGACAGAAGACGACTTACGTCCGCCGACGCTTGCCTGCCAAAGCCGTGCGCTGAAGGGTTTCCAGGAGTTTCCAGGAGTTTTCTGTTTCTGTAGCGCTTTGGGTTTCGGAGCTCGGTTTCAGGGACCGGACGCGTTGTTTCCTTGCGCGTCTTGCCAGCAAATTTCCAAGGCAAGCGCCTTTCGGAATGCTTCAATCGCCGGGAGAGCAAGCTGCCGGTGATCTCAACTCCGTGCCCGTGCACTCGCGACGATTTCGAGTGCAACCTGGGTTTCCAACTTGCTTTGGACTCCAAGAGCTGCGTCAAGTCGGAGCTTCCCCTCATTGGAGACATTGGAGAGGTCCAAGGGGAGCCAGCCCAATGCACCTCTGATCGCACCACAAAGGGGGGCAGAGAGTCAGGGAGGAGGAGAGAAAGACCCGTCACAGCTACAGATACAAGTAAGATGTAAATCGTGTCAGAAGCTACCAGCAAGGCCAACTCCTACCTCTGAGGGTGGCGCTGAACAAAACAAGCCTAATCAGAGGATTCCCTCCAGATCATGCCGGCAATATGCATAGCAGTTGTGGCTGCAGCCTGGGGTCTGTACCCACGACAGGTTTTTGAGACCTCATGACAAGAAACGTGGGGTTTGGGTGTACCCCGGCAGACTTCTTGTGATCACGACAGCACGACAGAGCAGTCGGAGGAAGCTTCAGCAAGGGTTTAGGGTGTATCGGCTCAAGCCATCTTGGCTCCAACTGGCGGTCTAGCCCCAGTCAGAAACCGGATTCCTTCACCGTTTTTCGGTCCATTTGGGCATTCCAGCGATTTCAAGCCCCAAACCAGGCCGGGAATCCGGTTCTTCAAGCCTTAGCTCCAAAAACCGGATTCCCTCACCATTTTTCGGGGGTTTCCGAGGCGGCTTATAACAAGCCCAGAAGAAGAAGAAGAAGAAGAAGAAGAAGAAGAAGAAGAAGAAGAAGAAGAAGAAGAAGAAGAAGAAGAAGAAGAAGAAGAAGAAGAAGAAGAAGAAGAAGAAGAAGAAGAAGAATAATAAGAAGAAGAATAAGAAGAAAAAATAAGAGAAAAGGCTCCCTGGAGACTCCGACAAAGCTCCTAGAGAATCCGTAGTTGGGGAGTCTGGACATTGGACTGAGGCCAGGTGTCAGAGTCCTATGTAGTGGACATGTATCGACGAGTACCTGGTGACCGATGCGGGTGGCCCAGTGTGCCTTGCGCTTTGCATCTTTTGCTGGTGCTCTCTGATGCAGTAGCTGTCAGTAGCTGCACTTTGCAAAAGCCCTCTTCCATTCTCCTTTTGCAGCCTCACCGGGCCGAAGCATCCGAGGTCTCGGAGGATGGGCGCCGCCACAGTTCGAGATGAAGTGTAAGGACTGTAAGGCACTGTAAGGAACGGAAGCTGCGTGCTGGGTACCTTTGATCAGCTTTCTGCTTGGGAGGACCGCCAGAGCGCTGGCAGCTGGTCTGTAACGCGGCTGGTGTTGCTCCTCCTGGCCATTGCGGCCCCTCGACCTCAAAAATGCCCTCAAATGAGTATCCTCAATGAATCTCCCGAAGCCTTCCCCAGTACCGAATTGAGCTCAGGGCCTGGTCTTCGTGGCAAGGTCCGAGCGATTCCAAGACTGGCCACTCCTCATGCACAACCATTCGTTGCACATGTGCATCTTGCTGCATATCGCTCTGCATATCCCTCTGCATATCGCTCTGCATATCGCTCTGCATATCGCTCTGCGTATCGCTCTGCATGTCGCTCTGCATATCGCTCTGCATGTTGCTCTGCATGTTGTTCTGTTCTGCATCTTGCTCTGCATGTTGCTGTGCTCATGGATCTCATGGTTCCACGGCATTCCCATCCTTCGCATTCCTCTGCGAACTTGAGGTGGGAGGCCTTGGCGAACAGAGCCCGAAACATCGATTTCAAGCCCGTCGGCAACACTGCCGCTCGAAGAGCAACGAGGGGGGTCAGGGTGACTTGACTAGGATCCGATAGGATGGAGCACATGGAGCTGATCTGTGGACAGGAGTTGCCTGGCATCCCCCGCTACCGCGCGCCGTCCGTTGCGCGATTCTGAGCTCACGGAGAACGGCCCTGACCCTCTGTGCCCTGGACTTGCGCATTTCCCGGATGGCGCACGGCGAAGTAGCTGCACCTGCGCTCCATCTGCGAGCTCCGGAGCGTTCGAAGTGCGGCTCTCCATGCCCGATGGGCCCGAACAGCAGACAGTCACGTGGAGCGCTCGGCGCCAAAAAGGAGCTGCTCCGGCTATTGCTGCAAACTGCTACTCAGAGAGATGGGAGCTGTGTGCCAAGAGATGACAAGGTGTGCGAGTCCACGACCTCATGAGCTCGGGGGAGCGCGACACCTTCTGCACCGAGGCGCAGCGTCTCCAAAAGCCTTCTCCAAACGCCTCTCCAAGTTCATGTCTGTTCTCTGATTCTACCTTCTCCGATTTTCGAGGTGCTGGTGCAGATGTCCGACATGGAGGCCTGCAGCTTTCGCAACAGCGGGCTGAGCAGCGGCGCCGGCAAGGAGGCCCGGGCTCATGGGGTCTCCCCCTTCGTTCTTTGAGGAAGCCTATTCACTATTCCTGCAGCCTCCGAAAAGTGAATACTAAAGAATGTGATATTTGCACGTGCGGGTTTGCCAGGGTCCTGTGCAACTGCAAGGCATGCCCCAGAAGCTGTTCCAACTTTTGGAGTATCGTTCCCCACAGAGTGCGCGTAAAGGAGGGCCAGGATGGCCACGCGCAGAGCAGCGCGGCTAGCAGGTGCTTTGGGGATTGTGCGAATGCCGCAGGTGACGATTGCTGGCCGCGGGCTCCGGGACTTTGCCAAAGCAGCAGATGCCGGAGCCTGTTGTGGGGACCGGATCTATGATTGACATACATGCAAAGGCGATGTTTCCTGTTTCTTGATGGCGTTAAGGTGATCTCCAAAGACCTCGGGCACATGGGCTTGCTGGATGGGTGCTTTCGCCTAGAGCATTCTCGGGACTCCGCGAGACTTGCTGGGGTATAGGCGGCATTATAGGGCGCAGTGTATCAGAGTGTAGCGGGCATCGTGAGTCTTCGTTGGGGCCTCTTGGGCAGCGCTTGTCAGGTCCGCCCTCCTCGAGCTTCGCTTCGGTGACCAAGGGGGATCCGTTCTGCACAGGGCCCAGAACGCTTCATGAACATTTTGGAGTGGAAGCAATGGTTGCAATAGTTGCCGCAATTTTTGCAGATCTTTGCAATGGGCAGCCGACTCGAGCCGACTGCAGAACCAGGTGCACTCGCACCGAAACATGCAGGTGCTGCATGGCTGCTGGCTGCGATGACACCGCCCGGCCGTTGCAGGCAGCACCCGGGAGCAACAATCCGCCATAGCAGTTTCTTTCTTATCATCGGTATGCAGATGCCCCATATTGCCCCTTCAGTTGCCCTCGTGCACCTGGCAAACCCTCGCTCTTGCAAGTGGGTTAAGCGCTCACGTTTAGTCTTGTGCTTCGGGTGCTTCAAGTTAAAATTTACGCAGGCGTGTAGGGACGTACTTTCCTTTGCCTGTCTTTTGCCTCTTGGGCTCTTGGACGGCTTCGTTTCATTGCTTTCAACAGCTTGCTTTGAGTCGTGACGTCTCGTGTGATTGCCTTCTGTGCGGACGTGCAGACCGTATGCACATTCGGGAAGTCGCTTCGAGACCATGCGTATGGCTCGACAATATGCTCGACTTCGCGCGGCGTGTCCTGATTTCAAGCATAACACTACTCGTACCTGTTGTAGCTGCACCTGGCGGAGTTCAAAATCGCGCTTCTACAAGTCTTGTGGGCATGGGGATCATGCTCCCACTTGCAATCTGACGTCGTGGTCCTAGACTGTCTGGGGTCCGGGCAGGCATAGTTTGTTTGCAGCATTCCCCCTGCACCGACCCCCCAAACGAAGCCGGCGCAGGACTTCTCCGCCGTCTTTATGGTCTCCACTCGGGAGTCCACCGAACCGGGAGGCCCCGTGCTCTCCCCAACACGACACACTTAGAGAGCACCGAAAGAGAGAGCACGGACTGAAAGAGTGCGGAGGAGCTGCCGCCCCGGGCGTGGCCTCGACAGCGTCCGCCGCCGCGTCCGCCGCAACCGACCCGCCCGCCGCGGCGACAGCGCCTTCTTCGGCACGCCGCCCGCAGCGTCAGGACGCGAAGCGATGCTGTGCCCTGATGAGCTGCCATACTGCACTGTACTCGCGTGCAGCCTATTTTTCAGTGAGCTCAAATGTGGGTTCCTTGTGAAGCCTTGCAAGGGCCCCAAGCGTCGTGCCCTGGAAGCGGCCTCCTCCGACGACTTCGGCGCCTTTCCGGAGCCGAGCCCTGGCAAATCGCCACACAGGTATTTAGTGTGGGGCTCTTCAGGAGTGCCGCGTTGTGACTTCTGTCGCTCCGTCTGAGGCAGTCACGTTTGGTGTCATGTAATTTGTCGTCCGAGGAACAGCCAGGCGCCGCGGTCGGAGGCCAGGCTGAATGTGCGCAAAGGCCGCAAAGGCGGCGGCGCTTCAGCAGCTCAAAGCCCTGCGATTCTGATCGGGATTCAAGGCGACCACTCGTCTGCCACCTACGCAGCAGCTCGCCTCACCGACGCAGGAGCGTCACCAAGTAGGGCACTGTGAGACAGCACTTTGACGCTTTGAAGCTCTTGGCTTGTGGCTTCTGCGGGAGGCAACGCCCAGCGAGTCTGTGAGGTGCACCGTATCTTTGTGGGGGGAGGGGGGAGGAAGCCTTTGTGGCCCCCCATTTTACGTGTTGCGAGTTGGGAAGTCGGGAAGGGGTGGGATGGTCAGGGGGGCTGCCCGACCTCTGCTGCAGCTCTTCACGCGGGGTCCCAGGATCGTTTACCATATTCTACCTTCTACACATTCTACCCGAAACATTCTCCCAGAAAGACCTGTTTCGGCTCAGGCCTCAAGAGAAGAGCGAGCTGCTTGCCTCGCAGGCCCAATTGATGCCTCCTCCCGAGATCCTCAGAGTGTGAGAGTGCAAGTGGTGAGGCATGGCATGCCCCCAAGCCGCCGTCAAAGCCAGAGGTGTCTGTGGCTCGGGGGGTGCATCGCAAAGCAAGCGGCAGATTGCACTTATGGTCACTTCAGAGTCACTTCTCTAAGCTATGGTCCCTTCTTGGGTCCCAGGATCATCCGTGACCACCAAAATTGGTTCATCCGTGACCCCCGATTAGGTCCATCAAAGCTTGACCACCCCTCTCGGACTTTTGACTACCACGGGAGGAGGGTCATCCGCGACCACGGGGCTTGAAATTTTAGATACCTCTCGGCGTTTTTGGCCTAAAGCAGGTCCAAAACGGGCCGAAAAAAAACGGATCGATTACCCGTGACCACCGGACAGCAAAAGTCACACGCGTCCTGGGAAAAATGCACATCCCGTCCTGGCTTGAGTTCTGTCTCGCAAAGCAGTTTTCGCCCATCCCTGCAGCGTTTTGGAGTAACATATACTGATACCATTTCGAGCGTGCGCGAGTGGTGAAACATGTGGAGTTCCACGTTATTTGCGGTGTTGCGATACGGGATAAGTCTTCTTGCTCGATGGCCTTCGGCGTGTGCTGGCTCTTCATGTACGCGAAATCGTCGTGATTTGCGGCGTTTTTAGCGCTTTGGCACATTGGATGAGATTATGTAGTTTTTCCCTCGAGCATGCAAAAATGTGTATCTTTATGTGTCTTTTAGCTAAATGCACATCCCGTGCTGGTTGGATACATCCCGTACTGGCCGGACTCCTGTCTCCCAAAGCAGATTTCGCACACCCGTAGAGCGTTTTGGCTTAACGGACCTGCCTGAGCAGTGAAACATGTGGAGTTCCACGTTATTTGCGGTGTTTGCGACACGGAATAAGTCGTTAATTCTTGTTTTAGACCCTTCAGCGTGTGTTGGTTTCTTCAGATACGCGAAATTCTCGTGATTTGCGTTGTTTTTGGTGCTCTGGTTGGCACATCCGATGAGAGCACTTAGTTTTTTCCCTAGAACATGCATGTATATTTTTATGGATACATGCACATCCGGTGCTGGTGTGATTCCCGCCTTGCGAAGCTGTTTCTGCATAGCCCTATAGCGATTCCGCTTAGTTTACTCAACCTGGTCTGAGTCCTGAGTGGTGAAAAGGGTGAAAAGTGGGGAGTTCCATGTAATTTGCAGCGTTTTGCGACACGGGATGTGTTGTATTTCCATCTCTTCCGTATCTTCCGTGCAATGTGGAGTCGGTGAAAAGTGTGGAGTTCCATGCAACTAGCGGCGTTTTGCGACACGGGATGTGTTATATTTCCATCTCTGGCGTGCAATGCGGAGTCTCATGTTTGTATTACTTTCGGCGCGATGGGACCGTTCTGCAATTTGTATGAATTGCATGCAAAATCTATTGTTTTTTTAAAGGAAATCGATGATTTGGAGCGTGTCAGATGGTTTTGGGTTTGATTGCATTGACATGTAATAGAAATGTGATCTATTCTTTGAGAGGTCCTCGTGGGTCCCCGTGGGTCCCCGTTGCGCGTTTTGAGAGGTCCCCGTTGCGCGTTTTGAGAGGTCCCCGTTGTGCGTCTTGAGAAGTCCCTGTTGCGCGTTGCGCGTTTTGAGAGGTCCCCTTGGCGTACGGCGTAGAGCATGCAAAATATGCAGTTTCATGAATGTCAATGTACCCACAACGGTTTAGGGTTCAGGGTTCAGGGTTCAGGGTTAGGATGTAGGATTTAGGACAGCTAAAAAAGACGTCCCGGGTGTGGAGTTCCACACCAGTTGCGGCGTTTTCAGCTCTCTCCCACATCCTATCGTACCCTTCTTGCTCTTGTCCAACAACATGCAAAATGTGGAGTTCCACGACATCTTCGGGGTTTTCGGTGTTTTCAACGCTTCAGCGCAGTAATACACAGCTAAAAAAGCTGTCCCAGGTGTGCATGGAGTTCCACACCAGTTGTGGCGTTTCATGTCTCCCCACACCGGTTTAGTGTTTGGGGTTTAGGGTTTAGGATTTCGGGTTTAGAGTTTAGGGCTTAGGACAGCCAAAAAAGACGTCCCAAGTGTGGAGTTCCACACCAGCTGCGGTGTTTTCATGTCTTCCCCACATCCACTAAGACACTTCTTGCTCCCAAGAACATGCAAAATGTGGAGTTCCACGTCATTTTCGGGGTTTTGAGCCGCCGACATACACTGAGAGATTAAAGAGACGTCCAACAACGTCCAACATGTGGAGTTCCACGTCATTTTCGGTGTTTTTGGTGTTTGGAACGCTTCCGAACGAGTACCAACTTTGGAGTTCCACACGAATTGCGGCGTTTTGGGACGACGACACCCCTCCTTGGTCACGGATGACCCAAAAAATTACCCGCGCACCCGCCCCCTGGTGGGCAGGTGAAAGTGCAGAAACACCGGCCCTGCCGATGTTTCAGAAATGTGCGTGGTCACGGATGATCCCGGCGTGGGTCGCGGATGAACCAATTTGGGTGGGTGCAATTGACCCCCCGACCCCATTCTTGGGGTTACTATTGTAAGGGTACCCAGAGGGACCATAATTTTGAGAGCTGACCATCTGTGGCATATTGGGCTTCTAGATTACAATGGATTGCATGTCTGGGGCAGTTTAGGTCAGCGACCTGCCCGTCCACACCAGCACTGGCACCTAGGGGAGGGGATCAGGGTTGAGGTGAGGGGTTTCGGGGCTTCGGGGGTTCGGGGCTTCAGTGTTTCTTCTACATGTTCTTAAAGGCCCTCTACACTATTTTTGAACTTAAGCCCTCAAGCCTACATTGCTGAGATGGATGCTCTCATGGTTCCTAGGACCCACCTAGCAGCGTGGGCAAGGTACCGCAGGTGGGCGTTGATGGACGCATGATTGCGCAGGATTTGGGAGTTAGGGTTGGTGTCTCTCAGGCTGCTTCACCTGTGTATCACTAGTGTGTCACTCTGAGTGACAGTGAGTCTCACTCAGAAGCTGGCTGCAGCATTGTATCCATGGCGAAGTACTAACTTGAGGTAAGCTGAAGAGATCACTTTGCGAGCTTGCGGAATTACTGAAGGGGAAGCCCACGACATCCTTAACAGCAGGAACCGTTCTTTGCTAGTTTGTCGGACAGAAGTAGCGCATTTTCACATCGAGTCGGGCGCTAGGTGGCACGCAGTGTAATATGTGGCATCAGACTTATACAGTGTACACAGCTCGCGCCCCTTTTGTTCTGCAGGCCTTTGCAAAGCTCTTTGCAAAAGGGCCAAACGCGAGCCACCAGGTGCAGGGTGCTCAGCGAAGGCAAGGCTTAAGGCCAAGTTGGGACAGTCTCAGAGCTATGAAGCAAACCTAAATTGGATGACGTGAACGTGCCGCGGTGGTGGTCAAACGTACAGGGGATTGCAGATGCGGATCAGATTTTTGTTGTTTGCCCAGAAACTAAAACTTAGTTCCTGGAAGAAGGAATATTGACAGCCACCCAAATAGTTGCTTCTCAACATTCAGATGGTGTGAGTCTCGTTTGTCCAAGGCCAAACTCACCTCGGTGGCCAGGCCAGTTCTTTGCGGGTCGTAGATCAGAAGATGATGCTTCTCAAGCTCGGGGCGAAGTGACAGATCTTGGCTGCTACATGATTCGGGAAATCGTGTCCGGAAAAGGGCGATTCAGAGAGAGCGTCCCGAGCGGCACAGCTCCGATTGCCTTTTCGGAAGGTGGTGTGCTGCCACAGCCGAGAGCTCAGGAAGCGTCAACCGAAGCGTGTAGCAGTGTAGCCATACAAAGCGACGGGAAGCGCTTCTCAGCCGCCAAGGCCATCGGCGCCAAAGATGCAGCCGACCCTGGCATGGGGCTCACGACATCTGTACAACCAGAACCACAATTTTACAATGTTCTCGTGCTTTTGCGCCGTTGTGGCCGTGTGCAATTGAAAGTGGAAACATCTTGAGCTGCGCAAGCAAAGCAAATAAAGTGGAAACATCTCGCAGGCATCCGACCTGGAAGCCGTGGGCCAAGAAGATCCAAAGAATATTTTGTCTCGTAACTTGGTAGCGACTTCGCGTCTTAGGCACGAGCTGAAGACAGCGACGACGAGCTCATCGGTGCAGATCCTGATGAGGCGCCTTGCCCTTTGCCCCGAGGACCAAAAAGACCCCAGAGCACGAAGCTTCCCTAGAAAAGCGTTTTTTTGTGAATCCTCTTTCAGATTCTGACAGCCGAGAGGTCGCCTTTGCCCGCGGAGATCAGCAGGAGGAACCTCCAGACTGGTTCGACTGTGAGCGCCTTTGGTGACTCGTTTGGGGCGACAGACAGTGAGCAGGCCTTTGTGAAGTCTATCGTAGTTGTTTATAGGGGTACAGTTTTGGTTGCATTTGATGCTTCAGTACGAAGGGGCTTTCAGATTTATGTAGAGAGCAACGCAGTAGTGGGTGTTTGGTTAGAACATGAATCGCCAGCATGTGCGCAGTTGGAACATATTCCCATATGGTCTCCAACATGCAGCTACGTGTTTCGGCCGAAGATGTGCACCCAAAAAAACTGTGTGGTTGAGCATGTGTGTGGGAGCTATAGCCTCTAAGTGCGAGCTTTGCGCCGCCGTGGTGCCAGCTGAATGAGCGAAGATTGGGGAAAGTTTTTGTGCCCGAGCAAGTCCAGTGTTGCAGAATGTTTGCCGGGCCACTTGGGCCAGCACGTGGCCAGGAGCCACCTTGTGCCCATGTGCAACATGCGGAAGACAATGTCCTCCAAGGCAAGCAGACAACAAGGTGGCGTGTTACCTAACCTCAGCAGGAAGGAGGCAAAGGGCAAAGAATCAGAGCCATGTTAGGCAGTTGAGGGGTTGCCAGCGAACGGAAGCACTGAAGCTCACACAAATCTCTTGCTGATTCTAGCTCGCGAGCCTCGGTGCCATGGATGAACCGCTCGAGGCCTGTAGGAAATGCTGGGCACGAGGGCCACAAGAAGTCGCACAAGCTTGGCACCTCCCAAACCTGATCGACCTCCTCACAAAAAGTCTCTACAAACCCTGACGTTGAACTTGGAAAGGTGTGGGAGCCACCTCCCGAGAGGAGGGCGCCAAGAATGCGCGAACCGAAGAAGGAAACAAAGGAGGCGAGTCCTCAGTGCTGGGGCTGTTGGCAAAAAGGATTCGGAGGTGATTTGTGGCTTAGGGGCTTTGTTCCCCCTCTTTCCTGCTCAGGAGAAGCTTCGGATCGTGTATCCCCGGGCATGTCCTCACTGTGCGAAGTCCTTTCCCTCCAGTACCAGGCCGGTGGTCTGAAGGGTCGCTTAGAGGTCCCCTTGCCTTGGGCCCCCTTGTGGGGGGCACGGAGAGCGCTCTCAGGTATCACAAACACGTGAACTACCACACGGCAGCTAAGCCTCGGCCTCGGCGGGGGAGATGGCGGGAATGGGGGGGGGGGCGAGCTCCTTTTGAAGTTGAAGCTCTGGAATCCACTTCGCACCCTTCGGAGAGCTTTCCTTTCGAGGACCTTCGAGTGTGACCACCCTGGCTGCAGAAAAGCCTACAAGAGGCAAAGCACTCAGAAACACAGGATACAGGCAGAGGCCGGCATAGGTGAAATTCTGAGAGCGCGGGAAAGCTTTGAAACAGTCGGATGCGGATGCGGCGAGGAAGGTTGATCTGGAAGACCACAAGGCTGTTCACCTGAAGGTCAAGCCAGGAGCTGAGGCGTCTGTTTAGGGTTTTGGGGTTTTCGGGTTGTGGGAGTGGGGGCTAGGGGATTGCTGGTATAGGCTTTGGGACTGAGGGCGTGGGGCCGGGCTTTGCTTTGAGAGTTTCGCGCCTCAGGTTCAGGGATGCAGGCTGAGCGTTCGGCTTCAAGCTTCAAGGTTGATGTGCAGAAGCCAAGGGTTTTGCCGATGACGTGTGAGGTGGACGGTCAGCTAAGCGGGAACTTTGGGTTTGTGTTTTACTCCAGCATGCTTGGAGGTTGAGTGGCCGTTGTCGACTCTAGCCTTGAGGGTTTGGGGTTGTTGGTTCTTTTGGATTGCGCACGTGTGGCCTCGGTGTAGGAATGCTCATGAGTGCTTGGGGGTTGGGAACCTCGAAGGTGCTGCGGTTTTCATTAGGTTTCAAAAGCAGAAGAGTGGAGGTCCCCCCCAACAAGTACCAATTTCATATTTTTTGCTTTACTGGGGAAATCCATCCAGCCCCGCCGTTATGAAGGGTCAGGTTGCGGAGAGACCCCCGACGCTGTGAGAGTATCCTGCCTTAGGTCGTTTTGTAGTGCATGCATCTTCAGGACATGTGCTCACGTCAGTGTGGTCCCCCCCCCCCCCCCCCCCCAACGTCAAAAAGAACAGAAAAGGTACGGGTACCTAACGGGTACTTTTTTTTGGGGGTGGGAGAGGGGGGGGGACTCCCCCCCCTCGAGGGGGTGGTTGTAGTACAGCACTAACGTTGCAGGCATTGCAGGCGATCCTGAGTGCGACGATGATTCAGACATTGGTTCCGAGACTGATGACGAAGAGATCCGTCCCAGGGGAGCGCGATCAGCAGAAGGAGTGGTTGCAGCGCAGGTTGATCCTATGTTAGTCCTGGGCCGAGAAGCGATTCGAGTCATGCTTTTCCATTTTAACGATGGCGAAGTGCCGGAAGAAGGCACCGTCCTCGAGCTGGCGTTGCAGAAGCAGTTCTTGTTCGCTGCGTACAGTGCCCGCGGAGTCTTCAGAACCAAAGCTGCTTTGCAATTGGCGGGTGCTGGGCATGGAATGCAGATTGCTGGCTGTGGCTCCGAGCATTTGTCAGGTGGTGGGCGCGCCGTGCTTAGCGCAGCCACGTTCGTCGCAAGACGACATCAAGTTCCGTTTTTGATTCTGCAACCACTGGACTTGGCAGCGCGATCCTTTTGGATTTATAACGGCTTTTCTGAGTGCGGCTGTATCAGCATCGGAACCACCGGGACTGCCGATGCTACTGTCAACACATGCGAAGTGTCACGAGGGCGGCGGCGGGGCCATGCACAGACCGCAACTTGAACGTTACTGATTTCGTCAATTTCCTGCTTGGCGTCCATGTCGCTGTTCACTGCCGTGCAGTTGTCCGTGGCTGCGATGATGAGCGCCGGCTGGGCAACGTGGTGACACAGGTTGCTGTTAGACACACGCACTGCTCCGCGACGTGGTGCTGCGTGGCCAGCTAGTATCTGAACTTTGCTGCCACGTTGTGGCTAGAGCAGACAGAGAAAAGTGGGTTTAGGGTTGTTGCGTTTAGGTGTAGGGTTTAAGGAATTCAGGGTTTGGGATATTCGGGTTTAGGGTTGTAGGGTTTAGGGTTTAAGATTTTGTCGGGAAACAGTGATTGAACGCTTGCAGCAACAGAGTTGCGTGATATTTTTTGGCGTTTTAAAATGGCTTTTTCTGCTAGAGAGAGAGAGAGAGAGAGAGAGAGAGAGAGAGAGAGAGAGAGAGAGAGAGAGCCTGGCCCGAGTACAGAGTCACACCCGATGGGAGGATCGATGATTCACAGTGGGGGTAGTGTACTGCATTGGTGGTTGGGGCTAGGGAGATTCGAGCCTTCCGGAGGGGGACGCTCGCAGGCACCGACCCAATGAGGTCACAGCAGGTCGTTCCCGAGTGGCGCGGGAGCGGAATCGCGCGGTAGTGCGGGGGCTTGTCCCCCACACCCCAAAGAAAGAAAGAAAGTGCCTGCGCCTGGTGTGCGGGGGTTCTTCCCCCAAGCCCTGCAGAAGAAGAAGAGTGCCTGAATGGGGCGAAAGTGCAGTAGAAGGACGGAAGGAAGGAAGGAAGGAAGGAAGGAAGGAAGAGTGCTTGAATCGTGTTCGCATGGAGTATTCGCATGGAGTTCGTAGATGGTGTATACGAGTGGTGGGGGCTTGACCGAAAAAAGCAGACTGTGTCTCGCAGAAGCCGAACACGTGGATACAGCAGGGGTTGGGGAGGGGGAAAAGGTTTAGTAGTGGGGGGTTGGGGGTGAGTGGAGTGGCCGGGGCAGGCGACGACATCCTGAATCTCGCCCTTTTTGCCCCACAGAAAAAGGAAAGGAAGGAAGGAAGGAAGGAAGGAAGGAAGGAAGGAAGGAAGGAAGGAAGGAAGGAAGGAAGGAAGACAAAAAGAGAGGCTGCCTCTTCACTGTTTAGAATGAGGAAGCAGAAGAGCGTCAGCATTTGGAAAGTGAAGCTTCTGCCGAGGCCCTTCCGATGCACGGTGGAGTCCTGCTACAGGATGCGCAGAGAGAAGACTCTGAAGCACCACCCCAATGTCGGCCCTGTTGGCCTCTTTGCAACCTTCGCGCTGCGCCATTCTCTACACTGCACGCCGCAGGAGCTTTACCACAAAGCAGTCACTGATGTCACACATCGGCCGTGCAGCACTCAGCATCCTTAGGGCAATGGGCGATATCTTTGCCTGTATCATAACTATATCAAAATATGTGATATGTAAAAATGTATATGCGTATATCAGTGTCGTGCAGTTCGGGCTCGAACTGGTCCGCGTCTAAGTTTTCTGCAGGCCAAGCGTATGTGTATGTCCTCAAATTGTCCCTATCTTGTTTATCAACACATGCCCGCTCACCCATTAACCCATGAGCCCATGAATCCAATCCTTTTTTGGCCCAATGGTTGGGTATGCCATGAAACCATTTCAAAGGCCCTGTAATGGGAGCCCATAACCCACAGAGCCATCATCTCGGCCCCATGACTGAGACTATGTGTTGTGGGTCACTGGGCTAGTAGGCTGCTCGCAAAGATCTTCTTGAAGATCCACGTCTGTAACGTCAAGGGTAAGGGCTTTTGGGATGATGGGCCTGTTCCTAAACAAAGTTGTGTTTGCATACCCCTGCCGTTTTGGGAGCCTGCGTTCTTAAGTGTTGTTTTGCACACGCCTGCTGTTTCGTCAAATGGTGGCCTTGAAGAGAGGGTGCGCTGCCTGCGTTGCTGAGAACCCTGGGTCATCTTCAAACTGTTGCGGCATTCCAGGAGAACAATCACAAGTACGCAGGTAAAGCAGGAGGGGGGTTGCCTTCTCACGCGTTACCTCAGCTTGCAACCTTGGTAGGGGATCGCTTGCTTGAATTGGGCTACTTGTAGCACTATGCAAGTGATATACATGCCTAAAGTGCCCAGAATCAAGGGGCTTCTGCACTTTGGCATTCGTATTGTCGTCAGTTCCGCCCAGGGATGCACAACGGCCTGACTTGCACTGCCTGCGGGCTCCGTTTCCGGAAGAAGGACTGCCTGGGCTTCTAGGGAGAGCATTCGACAGACCTCCTTCCTCACCGTCGTTTGGCAGGCGAAGCTGCAGCAGCACTGGGCCATCGTGCATGGGGCCGAGACCTCAGCTGAAGCGGAGGCCAAAAAGCAGAGTCACAAGCGAAACCAACGCAAACGAAGAAAATTGAATGAGGACGACAGGGCGATCTGGAAAAGGGTACTGCTCGGCGATCTTTTTCCCCAGACCATTCTTGGGCCACAAACCTCAACAAACTTGCGCCAACCTTCGAAAGCATCGGACCCAGCAGCGTTTTCGCATCGTTTCGTAACACTGCTGGCCTTCACTGCCATTCAAAGTGTTTTTGATTTTTGGTGTCTGGTGCCACATTCTTGGGCGAAGCCGAGGCAGATGGGGGGAAAGTGGAGCCAGCCGCAGCCTCTTTGAATGGGGGGGGGTTTAGGCAGTTTCGGGGTGCGAGAGCCACAGACCATGAGCCGCTCTCTGCCACACACGCTCTGCCTTGAGGGGACGTGCCCGGACTGTGGTAAGACCTTCCGACACCGCGAGTCATTGGAGAAGCACGCCGGCCAAGTTGGGTTCAGGGCTCCGCACCTTTGCACCTTCTTCGGTTGGGGCTCCCACATGCTTCTGACGTGTGTGAACTGCTTCTCGCTTTCTTGGCTCAGAAAGCCCTCTGGCGCCGCTGTGGCCGCCCTCAAAGGGCTCCGCCACAAGCGCGCGATGCACAGCAGCCGGTCGGAGCCCAGCCCATGGCACCACGAGATGAAGGGCCATGTCAAGGGCCGGGTCAAGGCCGAGTATGCCGCAGTATGCCATGCTGCCTTTTCAGAACTCAATGGCTTGTAGACATACTGTACTCATAGTGTACTACGTACACGCACCTAGCCGGCTTGAAAGGGTTTACTTCAGGTTCGCTTATGCGACGCCAGTGCGTGGCGAACTCCCGAGCAACACCTCCCTCTCCTCCCATTTCGGGTCTTGACATGTCAGCTTATGGAAGAAGACTACTGTAAAGTGCGTGAGGCTTAACCATTTGCACTGCAAGTCTGCAGGTCGCTGCAGGAGGGGCTTGACGTTCGTAAGCAAGCTCTAGACTCTGGCAGTTCCATGGTGCAACGTCACGTCATTCGAAGTGGCCGCATGCCTTCGCCACAGGTGGGAACAAGTTGGGAGCTATCAAAAATGTGGTCCGAACTGGTCCGGACGCCCCCACCCCCCACAAAAAACCAAAAACAAAAAACAAATAGTAAACCATATCGCACGCAGACATAGACATTTTTTCGGAATTTGCCAGGAGCTGGTCCTGGGCCGTACAGGGGCCTCCTGGGAGGATCGGCTCCAGGAGCAGAAGGCCAAGAAGGCCAGGCAGGGGACCAGTAGTTGCGAAGCGTTTAGGGCCATTTTTCGGGGTTTCTATGCGAAACCTTGATGGTTTCAAAGTGCGGTGCATGTTGTTGCGCTGTTTGTTTCATCTCTTGGCCCTCATGTTTTGGCTCCATGTTGGTTGTCTCAGGTTCAGCAGATGAAGCTCCTGGAGTCTGCCGGCAGAAAAGCAGCTTAGGGTAGGGTAGGGTCCGAGCCCCCTCCTGGTTGATCCTTTGGGTATCCCGCTCGTATCCCTCCAGCATCCGCTCAGGAAGGAGCAGCGGGAGATGATCAAGGCAGCCACGGAGCCTCGGACAGACTTCATGATGATGCGAAAGTTCGGGGAGAACCTCTTGCAGTTCCGGCCCGGACCCGCACACGCACCAGCACCCGCGCGCAAGCACCAGCACCAGCACCAGAATCTGCAGGTCGTGTGGTCTCAGCGGGATTTGTGTGTTGGCTTCCAGTAGCATATGAACGCATGGTAACCCTTGGGGGAACGGGGGGGGAGAGTAGAGCAGCCGCGCCCCCATCCCAGGAAAAGGGCATCGAGAAGCAGCAGGCCTCAGGGATCCAAAAAAGGGTTCCCTAAAGCCTAAAAAGGGCCTCAGCCCCATGCTCAAGGGCGAATTCCCCTGAATTTCGTCCCTTGGATGAAGGTATCCATGAAGGAGGGCCTCTGAGCGACGTTACTGGAACTGCCAGGTCTACTCCCCACTGCTGGCCCTCCGCTCGGCTCCTTTGCTCTCGACCTCTGAGAAGCAGGCAGAGATCGCTCGCTGGCGAGATGGCGAGAGATCCACAGGAAAAGATGGCGAGAGAAAGGTGTGGCATGGTGTGGCATTCAGCCGTAATGACAGCATTCACTCGAGGCGCAGAAGCTCGAAGAGAGGCGGAAGGACATGGAGAACAAGATGCGCCACTCGGCTTGACACTGAACCATGCGAACCGCTTTCGCAGCCCTGGTAGATGTGCAGGAAGCTACCGTATCCAAAAAGGCAAGATCCTGGACCGGACCTCAGCTCAACCGCCCTCTACATCCTCTACAATCGGAGAGCACTGGTCCTGTCCTGCCTGACATCTGAATGACATCTCTCGACCTTGGCTTTAGGAGAAAATGCGCACGAGGGACCCCCTCTTCAAGGTGGAGGACGTCTCCGCCGCCCAGGTTTGCACCGTTTTTTGTTGCACATGTTCCCCCTTTCTTCCTTGCAGCTCTCCTTCGAGTGCTTCAAGGGTGCTGAAAAGAGCACTCTTTCGCAGGCCGCGCTGGCCGAAGCCCGGCGAAAGAAGCAGGCGGAGCTGCAGGCCGAGGAGAAGAAGCCGCTTGAAGCTTTTTAGGGACAGGAGGGAAAGAGGGAGGAGGACTCCGGGGAGGGGGAGGGGAGGGGGTTCATCCCTGAAGTGCCCCCAAAGTGTTTATTGGCGCAAAGCCCAGAACCCCAGAGTGAGTGTTGACGGAGTGCCCAACCCAGAGTCCCCTCAGAGTGCCCAACCCCAGCCCCAGAGTGTCCCTGGAGTGCCCAACCCCAGAGTATCTCTACCAAAAGAGAGGGTGGGGATGTTCGAAGTAAAAACTGTTTTTTTTTGGGGAGGGGGGGGGTGACTTTTGGGGGCTTTCGGGAGAGGACAAAAGCAGCATCGCTCTAATTCATGAGCCTGGTCGAGTTCCAAACCTGTTGTATCTGGTTCTCCGAGGCGATGGGAGCACCTAGAAGAGTGTGCTGCCAAAGGATGCCACAAAAGGCAGGGCGGCAGGGCCGCAGGGCGGCAGGGCCGCAGGGCGGCAGGGCTGTGTCACCAGGGCAAATTTGTTGGCGGAAGTTATTTGCCAGGCAGACGCTGCAGCTCGGCAGATCCTGGTAGATTCTGCGCCCGCTGCTTTTGGACGAAGTTGTGGCAGTTCGCGGAGCCGAGGTACGACTTGCACAACAGCCCCTCCTTCGACGAACGTCTCGCCAAAGCGGTGGAGCAGAAGATCAAGGATTCCCGTTCCCGAACCAGCACACATTGAAGCTCGGAAACTGCAGTCTGGTAAGCTCGGCCAGGAGCTCAAAGACCTCGAAAAATCCCAGAAGGATCGAATCAGGCGGAAGTCCAAGAAACTAAGTCGCTTGCTGAAGCCATTGACAATGCTCCCACCATTCGCCATGGACAGGGAAGCCGTCGAGGCTGGCCACACCAAGTCGGCCAAAGTGTCACCGCTTTCGGCTTGTTTGCGGAATCCGCCGGACAACACGGAGACCCGCGGCAGCAAGAGAGCTCAGGCAGTGGGCGAGGTCCAGGGGGCATCAGGAGCCAATGTGGCTGTGTTGCTGTCAAGGAGACAGCGCGAGATGGTTGAAGAGCGCAACCGCACAATGGCAACTGCAGCCAGGCTCGGGTCTTCTCAACGGGCGTTTTCGGGCTCGTTTAAGGATGCGAGGGCAAAGACCACATGCATGCCGAAGATTTCGCTTCGACTCAGTGACTCAGTGACTCAGTGACTCAGTGACTGCTTTACTGAGATTTGTTCTCAAGCCACGCCTCTGCAGGGAGTACCTTCGCAAGCGAGACGAGCCGCTCGCCTGACAAAAGCAGTATTCTGATTCTGATGTATGTACTCCAGAGTCTGTAAGCTTGTGCTACGTGCTTGAGGTTTGAAAGCCTTAAGAAGCCCCTGACCAGAAGCCCTACCGGAAAAGCGCCCTAAACCCCTGATATAGCACTTCACACACGAGAGGATGGTGGAGCGGCAGCGGAAGCGCGAGCCGCTCTTCTCGGGCGGGGCCGTGGCGGAAGCCACCACGCAGCTCGAGGCGTCATAGAGGGGGGCAGCCAAGGGGGGGGAGGTTTGGAGAGACTGGCGTCCACACCATGCGGCAGTTGCGTATCGTGTAGCCAGCGTATGCCATATGCCAGCGTATCATAGCGGAGCGATGAAGCTGCAGAAGGGCCTCGCAGGAGTTCCCTTCCAGGTTGTGGCTGCTGTAGCCAATATGCTTCCGGAAAACCATGCAAAACCTGTACTTAAGAGCGGAGACCCCCAGAACGAAACTCGAGAGGCTCGGGGGACTCGGCCCAGAAAAGTTTCTTAGCTTGCGACGTCCCAACGCCCCAAATCGCTTTCTGAGAAGGTGCCTGGGCGAACGTTGGCTCGGGCTTCAGGGATGGGTTTGGGGATGCGTTTGCTTCTGACCAGTTCCACGTGACACCATGTCTGGGGAGGAGAAGGCGCGGAAGCTGAAGCAAGAGATGGCTGCTGAGCAGCTCAAGAACAGGCCCGGTTGAGGGCTTAACTCGGCTGAACCCTCAAGGCGAAAAACCCTGGGGCCTAAACCCTTTTAGAGTTTAGGGCTAGAGGAGCGAACTCTCCCCCGCCCCCTTCCAGGTTTGCAAACCGGGTTCTTGATAGTAATGCTCTGAGGCAGCACATCCTCGAGCTGCAGAACAAAGTCCTGGGCCGACCGCTGCCTCTCGGACTTACTCGGACTTACAGCTGCTAGGGAGAAACTCTACGAGAAGAGAGAGAGCCCCCGTTTGTAAGAAAAAGAGGCACGAAGGATCTTGGAAACAAGAGTTACAACTTAAGGCAACGAGAGAGTGTTGGGACGAAGAGCAGCTGTAGGTAAAGCTGCGTTCCTTGGCCATGCTGCAGCGATTCCGAGGATGATGGAGCTCAACTATGGCCTCGCCACCTGAAGTGAGTGCCCTTGCTATGGTGAGAGTTGTCGCTGCATCCTTTTTTTGCAGCTTGGTTCGTCATGGGTACGTAAATCTGTTTGGGGTTCCCAGCCGCCGAAAGGCTCGAGCTTCAGCAGCTCTTGTAAGACATGTAGCATTCGGCGGTTTGATGCTACTCGTGACTGATCCCATGCACCCCCCATCTCCTTCATTACAGTAACTTACAACGCTCACCCTCCTCTATCAACACGCTTAAGATGGATGATCTTCTCAGGATTGTTGAACATGGCAAGTGCCAATGAACAGCTGCAATCTGAGGAGCATTTGCCAAAAGCTGAGCACCCCGCTCCAGCTTTCGCGAAGAGCATCAGGGGGCCTATAAGGGCCTGTTGCGCAAACTTCCTGGCGAAGCCAACCCCCGAAGGATGCCCCGAAGGGGCTCTGGAGGGGCACCCCCCTTAGGCAGGCTGAGATGCTCGGCATGCTTGCCAGAAGAAAAGCGCGCCGCTTGCGCTTCGAACACCTGGGGAGTGTTGGACGCGTTGGGCGATGCGCGCTACTGACTGGATTGTGCCAGGCATATCCTCGCCAAGCATCCTCGCAATGCCATTGCACCGAAGCGCAAGTGCTACAAGTGCACTGGCTGTGAGGACGATGGGATGGTAGAAGCCCCTGACGTTATGAAGCCATGCTCTCTTGCAGTCCGGACAAAGCTCAGCGAAGCACTTCATCCACAAAAGCATGCGAGGAGGTGTTCAGCAGCTTCCTGGACCTGGCCCGCAGCCCGGTCTTTCCGGATTGAACCAAAGACCCGGACTTGGACTCACCGGCTTGACCTCACAGTGAGGGGGCGAATGTCGGCACTAGTTTGCCCAGCGTGTTCTTTGGCAGGGAAGAGGGCCCCGGTTGCAGGCACGTTGTCTGGTGCTGCTGCATGAAATGATGCACGAGCCTTGCCCACGTGACTGGGATGATCGTCGGAGTTGTTCGGACTAGAGTTTCTGAGGCTGTCCGATGACGTTCCTGAACACCAAACTCAGTTCTGAGAGTCACGTTGTTTCGTTCGCTGGAGGGTGCTGCGCGTTGGACTCAATTTGCATGGACTGATGCGCGGCGGAGCCTTGCCCACGTGACTGGGATGATCGTCGGAGTTGTTCGGACTAGAGTTTCTGAGGCTGTCCGATGACGTTCCTGAACACCAAACTCAGTTCTGAGAGTCACGTTGTTTCGTTCGCTGGAGGGTGCTGCGCGTTGGACTCAATTTGCATGGACTGATGCGCGGCGGAGCCTTGCCCACGTGACTGGGATGATCGTCGGAGTTGTTCGGACTAGAGTTTCTGAGGCTGTCCGATGACGTTCCTGAACACCAAACTCAGTTCTGAGAGTCACGTTGTTTCGTTCGCTGGAGGGTGCTGCGCGTTGGACTCAATTTGCATGGACTGATGCGCGGCGGAGCCTTGCCCACGTGACTGGGATGATCGTCGGAGTTGTTCGGACTAGAGTTTCTGAGGCTGTCCGATGACGTTCCTGAACACCAAACTCAGTTCTGAGAGTCACGTTGTTTCGTTCGCTGGAGGGTGCTGCGCGTTGGACTCAATTTGCATGGACTGATGCGCGGCGGAGCCTTGCCCACGTGACTGGGATGATCGTCGGAGTTGTTCGGACTAGAGTTTCTGAGGCTGTCCGATGACGTTCCTGAACACCAAACTCAGTTCTGAGAGTCACGTTGTTTCGTTCGCTGGAGGGTGCTGCGCGTTGGACTCAATTTGCATGGACTGATGCGCGGCGGAGCCTTGCCCACGTGACTGGGATGATCGTCGGAGTTGTTCGGACTAGAGTTTCTGAGGCTGTCCGATGACGTTCCTGAACACCAAACTCAGTTCTGAGAGTCACGTTGTTTCGTTCGCTGGAGGGTGCTGCGCGTTGGACTCAATTTGCATGGACTGATGCGCGGCGGAGCCTTGCCCACGTGACTGGGATGATCGTCGGAGTTGTTCGGACTAGAGTTTCTGAGGCTGTCCGATGACGTTCCTGAACACCAAACTCAGTTCTGAGAGTCACGTGGTTTCGTTTGCTGGAGGATGCTGCGTGTTGGACTCAATTTGCATGGACTGATGCGTGGCGGAGCCTTGCCCACGTGACTGGGATGATCGTCAGAGTTGTTCGGACTAGAGTTTCTGAGGCTGTCCGATGACGTTCCTGAACACCAAACACGTTGTCTCCTTCACTGGAGGGCGCTGCGAGTTAGACCCAGTTTGCATGGACTGATGCGCGGCGGAGCCTTGCCCACGTGACTGGGATGATCGTCAGAGTTGTTCGGACTAGAGTTTCTGAGGCTGTCCGATGACGTTCCTGAACACCAAACTCAGTTCTGAAAGTCACGTTGTTTCGTTCGCTGGAGGGTGCTGCGCGTTGGACTCAATTTGCATGGACTGATGCGCGGCGGAGCCTTGCCCACGTGACTGGGATGATCGTCGGAGTTGTTCGGACTAGAGTGTCTGAGGCTGTCCGATGACGTTCCTGAACACCAAACTCAATTCTGAGTCCATGCATGTCGCAGCCAATATGTAATCGGGACTGCATTACATAGAGAGTTTTCCACCTGCAATTTTCTCGCACGAAGGTCCATCACCGACGTGAGAAGCATCCCAAGTTATTCAAGTGCTCCTTGGCTCCCGCATGTGCAAAGAGTTTCAAGGGATGTGCAAAGCTTAAAGCAGAAGCGAGGCCATGGCCATGATTCTTTCAGGTGATGAGTGCGACTTTGTTGCCAAGAAGCGAGACCAGCTCAAGCATCACAAGGACTTGGTCCACCGTCAGGTCTGAATCCCAGGACTCGGGGAGTCGGCAGCGTCTCCGTGAAAGAAATCCGCCCTTTTCTCACTCGTTTTTCCCCGCAGCTGCAAGAGTTCTAAAATATTCTAGACATGCGCAAGAAGGCAATGGTGACGACATGGCGGTAGTCTGACTCTCGAGGGCACACTTTGAAAAAGGCAGAGGAGGAGAGCAACACATAAGCAACAGACGAAACCGCAAAACATAAATCGGACATGCAAATGGTAAGATGAGGGTAAGCAAAGGCGTGGTGCCAGAGTTTAGGGTAAAGACCGGAAGAATCGGAGTGGGCTTTCGTGCGCTGGAAGAGCTGAGCCATGCCGCGAAGTCCTGCGCCTTCCAGGCGAAGCTCAGAGGGGGTTTCGAGTGAAGGTTTGTTGTAGGGTTTTTCAGTTTAGCCTTTATCAGGTTGGGGCTTGTCGGGTTGTTTAGGTTTTCTTTTGAATGCTTTTGAGGGGTCGCAGGTGACGGCAAGGATGGTGGAGCGGGGCTCCAAATCGAGCAAGAAAAGCCGCTCACTCAGCACAAAGAGAGAGAGCCCTGTCGAAAAGGAAGCAAGCAAGAGAGAGAGAGAGAGACCCGTGGACGTCGCGCGCCCCTAGGGGCAGCCTCCCCTCTGGGGGGGCTAAGCGTGCAGGAGAGAGAGAGAGAGAGAGAGAGAGAGAGAGAGAGAGAGAGAGGGAGAGGGAGAGGGAGAGAAGGAGAGAAGGAGAGAGAGAGACAGAGAGGAATAGAGAGAGAGAGAGAGATAGCAGTTCAGTACGGTAATGATACGAATGGGAGGGATGATGGGCAAAGCCACCGTGCACAGAACCCGACTGAAGGGGCCGCGAACTAGGAAGGGGGTAGGGGAGGTTGGTACTTCGATGTCAGGCTTTCGTGGGGATGTTCAGCATAGTGATTTGTGGGAGGAACTTGGAAGGCCCTAACGGCGGGCAACGGGGGCTGGCCGAACAACGGCCGAGCTTTGGGAGAGTTCTGGAGACATGCGGGAGCGGGGCGCTCTAGCCTTGTGCCAGATGGGAGGAGATGAGAGGACAGAGGATATGTGTGTGTGTGTGTTAGTTAAGAGAGAAGTGGCAGGGGGCGTGTTCCAAACTGACTCGGTGGCGGCCCCCCCTCACCCGGCCCGGGTGGAAGGGGGCGCCTGGGTGCTGAAGGAAGGAAGGAACGAGGGAAGAGGAAGTACCTTACTGGAGGAAGGGTTTGTGCAAAGCGTTTCTTCAGGCCAGGAGTCCTCGGCTGCCAGCGAGGCCTCGGCAGCCCGGCTGCCCTTGAGAAGTAAGAACTGAGAGCGCTTCTTTGTTGTTTTTTCTTCTCGTTTATTCTTTTTTGGGGCAGGGCGGCGAGGGCGGAGGGACACGCAGTGAAGCTCCAAGGAGGACTCCCTGGACGCTTTCGAGGCCGAGCGTGACCGCCGCATCCTCAACCGAGAGGACCCGGACAGGGAAGCGTAGGCCCTTAATTTGTCGACAACTCCACCAGAACCAGCCATGAAATCTTGATGAAAGGGCTCATGTTTCAAGGCCCGTGCCTTGTGTGTTCGGTTTATCCTCTTCTGCTTCAGGTGCCTTGAGGATTGCAAAAGAGTCTTTGCAGGAGATCGCGAACGCACAGGTCATCGACCCGGAGCTCTTCACCAAGGGCAGCTTGTATTGTCACACGCCCGCAGTTCTCGGGGATGTCGGGGATCTCGGCTTTTTCACACCGTTGTAGGCCCCTAGGCCTCGATAGGGCTTTGTGGGCCTTGTTGGCGGTGGCAGGCTCGCTCTCAGCGTTGCTGGCCATTGTGGGCTTGGTGGCGCGGGCGCCAGAACATCAAAGTGTCACAGAGCAAGGGGGAACTCGTTGAACTCGTAGTTTTTTAGCCCTCTCTTTTCAGGAAATGGGCCTGGAGACGGATTACCGCTGCAACACTGGGCGCTGTGCCCTGCCCAGCAAGTGCAGTGCCCACCCGGTGTCCGGACCCCCGCTGTCCTCGGCCCTTTCTTGTCATTGCCAGAGACTTGTGAGGTGTGGCTGACGAGCCGATCTGGGACATGATGAGCCCCTGCTTGCAATGGCAAAGGTGCTGGGCTTCAAGCCCTAGCCGTTCCCGATCATGTTGCCCAAGGAGTTACCCCCCACAAGTTATTTGAACGCAGGCTCTGCGTCGGGGCTTCGGGCCTTATGCAAGCGAAGGTCTGGTATTCGCAAGCCCTGAGCGCTCCCCAACAAACCACCTGACTCCAAAACCTCTCAAACCACAGGACGAGGTTCAGGAAGACGCCTTGAAGTACTGCACCTGAAATCCATCCCAAAATCTCTCCACCCCCCAACAAAAGAAAGGAACAAGAAAAGTTGCATCCTGTCAGAGAGGCCTTTCTTTAGGGTATGGCCTAGCAACAGACCTGAGAAAAGCTTCCCCCCTCCCCCCCTCCCCCCTCTTGCCCCCTCCTCTCAGGACCCTGATCTTCACCATCCTTCCGGTGGCCGAGAATTGCCTTCGGCTCTGGGAGGCCAAGCCGAAAAGGCCCCCGAGAGAGCAACTGCCCCTAGGTACAAGTCTTGTGCATATGAATACTATTTAAGACGGCATTTGTTCAGAAAGTATAGTCATATAGTCTCCCGACGCTTGCGACCCGAATAGTTGGGATGAGGGAGGGGAGGGCAGCCAGGAATTCGCGGGATGTCTTTCCATTGGGGGGTTTGTCGTGCGGCTTGGCCTCATTGGCCTGGAGGGCTCCTGCTTGGACCTGTGGACTTGGCATGCTTTACCCGGCCCGAGAGGCACTTCAAGAGCAACCGCGCCATCATGCTATGCTTTGGTATGTTAGTCTTAGCCGTGCCGAGCTCTCCAGCCCCCTGTGCATTCGCAGGTTCTTCATGGGGGACAGGACCAAGGCTCCGCACAGTCTGGGCTGCAACAATTGGGGGGGGGATTTGTTGAGGTATCGGCTTAGTTGGTGTCTTACATCCAAGGCTTTTCCTAGAGGGAATCCGTCATCGCATCCCGAACCATCTTGCTTGCAATGCCGTGGGTACAGTTGATGTCCTAAGTTCAACGGATTTTGGGAGTTGAAGTGCTGGAATAAAAGCGGGATCATGTCGGCAAAATTTGCGTAGCGGGGCATCATCCCGGAGCAATTGGTCGACTTGGCCTTTGTTGCTGCGCGACGAGGTTTAGCGGGAATCGGGAATATGAATGTATTTGAATGTGTATATGCATATACTTATGTGCATATCTGTATGCATGACTGTGTATGTTCTGCATACATATATCCACACATATACATAGAGGTCTCATTTTGATGTATATGTGTTTGTATTTGTACATATGCGTGTCGTTTCGATTCGTTTAGATGTACGTATACGTGCATTTGTGTATGTCTACATAGGCACACATCTGCGACTATCATGTCTCTGTGTGCATATATCAGCGAGACACGCGCAGCGCCGAAATTCAGTTGACACAGATCTAGAGCCGACGTTGGAGCCATGCGCTGCGGTGCCTGCCAGCATGCGGCATGGCATACGCTTGTTCAGGTCAAGTTCAAGCTGGACTGGGCAAACTGTTGGGACACTGTCTTGGTGTTGCTCAGGCAGCTGCTTTTGTTTGGTCCAAGACTTCGACTCTCTTTGTGGCTGCTGGTGCAGGATTATCGATGTTTGGATTCTGAGTCCGCTGGGCTTCGAGTCAGGCCAGCTCACGATGTGTCACGTTGCGCTCTGCAGTGTGCTGAAGCCACAAGCACCTTTGCTCGCTTGGGGGGCGGGTGGGGGAGGGGGGTGAAGGTGTGGCGTCTGATCTGGTGCTCTGCAGGTCTTCGCATGGCCACCGGATTCCGGATCCTTCGCATTGGTCCGGCTGTCAAGCCTGGCATCCTAGAGCCCTTTTTTTGGAGATCTCACGAGATCGCTTTACGGATACTACCAGTTCAGCCAAGGCACTGGCAGTCGACCAAGGAGCTGCGAGAGCTTTGGATTGTGATTGGCGCTGTGTCCGAGACGATGCTTGTCTGCACAACCTGATCTTGAGTTTTGTCCCCGACACGGTGTCTCACGGGCTTTAGTGCTCTCTCCCTCGCTTGGAAGGTTCAAGACGCTGATCTGGGTTGGCGTCATGCTCATCTTCGTGTGGGGCTCAGCAGAGGCTCAGGCTCAGTGGGAGCGGTCTCTTTCGAAATCAGTGCAAGCTTTCAGCAAACGGTACTGTAATGCTCTCCAACGCTTCCCGGATCCAATGGGGTCCTTCCTTACTTCCTTATTGCGATTCTGTTGTGTGTTTTCAAAGGTCATCTGGACGTTTGGCATCCTGATCACTATGTCTTTGATCGAGCGACGGGGCGAGGACGACGCCCTGATGTTTGGCTTAGCTGCTTAGCATGGCTTGGCTTCTCAGGTCAACTTGTGCTGCTTCCATGGCCGGGCTGCAGGAGTTTAACTTCACCTCTTCTACCTGGACCTTCGCGGACTACTGGGGCAGTGTGCCTCGCAGTGCCTACTCGCTCTTCCAGGCACAATCGCTCAGCACTGCTGCTCATGCATTGTGGCAAATGAGAGTGCCCCTCGTCCCTTGCCACACCGCTTTGCTTCAGGTTGCCACCCGAGACAGTTGGGTCAGTGCCCTGGTGGCGCCTTTGATCGAGACTGAGCCGCTGTTACGCGGCCCCAAAATGAGAGTTCTTGAAGAGTCGCCCCCGGCATGGGCACTGGATTGGCCAAGCCGAATGAAGTGGGCCGAAGTGGGCCGAAGTGGGCATGCATTCAACTTAGAGATACTTAAAGGAAAGCACTTGAATGCATGTGAACGAGCAGCGCTGCAGGCTGCTGATCATCTTCGGCTTCTACTTCTGCATCGGATCCCTGGCGCTGATGAATGCCATCATCGGCGTGGTCGTCGAGTGCCCCGGCTTCCGAAGCGGGAGCCGCGACGCGGGCAGACGCCAGGCCAGGCTGAAAGCTTTTGGCCGCGAGGTGCACGCTCTCCGCAGCGAGGGCAAGCACGGAGAAGGAGGAGGAGGACAAGAAGAGGCGCTTCTCGCAGGGGGTACGGCTGTCGCTCGTTTTATGCGGATTGATCTGTGACATTCTGTGACCACTTTTGAGCTCAGGGCAGATACGCTGGTCATGGACTCACTGAGACGGATCTTCCACGAGGGCGACACCGATGGCTCGGGCGAGTTAGACATGGAGGAGACGAGAGTCTTAGTCGGTATCCGCCCTTTCTTGATTGTAACCTGTAGGCAGTAGTTACGTGCACGGTGCGCCCGCCTCTTCCTAAGAATGCAGCATCACAAGCCCAAATTTCCCAAAGCCCCGCTGAAACCCCCAAGCATCCCAGTCCTTAACCCTACAGCGGCAAGACCGAAAGACTGTACGGCTCAGGCTGAAATTCGTACCCCGATAGCTTCCTGACACGCTAAAGCCCGAAATGGCTTAAACAAGGCTGAAGAACAAAGAGTCGTGTAAGCATCGGATTCCCGCCCTCAAAAGGGTCCTGAGAGCCTAAACCCCACCCCGCATTTCAATGTAGCAGTGAGCCGTGGGGCAGGAGCTGCACGTGCTGGTACGCAAGCATCAGGTGCCTACTTGTAGCAGTCTGTATGGGAAAGTTTAGGGTGTTCAGGGTTGCTTATGGCCCTTGGGTCTGGGGGGGTGGGGGTGGGCGGCGAGGTGCGAGATCGGCTCAAGATGCTGAAGCTTCCTTTCAGCGCCTGGAGCCCAGAAGTGGATCTTACATGCGACACCTATGGACCTATGTGACATGTTCGGCGCAGCTTCGCAAAATTGCGCAGTGGACTCTTCCAAGTATGCTTCAAGTATGCTTGTCACTCCACTCCTGGCCAAGGACCTGGACCTCCTGTTCTCCTTGCTGGACACAGAGTGCAAAGGGAATGCCCTGGGCCTATACCAACCAGCATCACCCGGCCTTTTGCCTGGCGAGCGTAAACTGTACCTCAATCACAAGGGGCGTGACAGCCGAGGTGAACACGGACATGTTCTTCCGCGGCTGTGCAAAGCTGAGGACGGGTTTTGTCCGTGTGTGTGACGTGTTTTGTGTGCCCCATCCCGAATTTGTGGAGCCGCTTTTGTGCAGTGCAGGGGCCCGGCCATGGCGTGCGATCTGCACCAGCTGTCCATCGACTTGAAGCACAACTTGGCCGCTTTTGCAAACTTTGAGGGTCGAACTACGGTCGAACACAAAAACATGAACGAAGGAACGAGAACGAGATGCACCACCCTGTTTTTGAAATTCGGGTCTCAGGAGCGATGCGATCACAACTCTGAACGCATTCGTCAAGTCAATGAGACCTTGGCAATTGTGCTGGACCACGTGGACGATGCCAGCCACTGAGGATGCTAGTGTTCGGCGGGTTCCAATCAACTTTCCGAGACTCTAAGAATGTAGAGATGCTTCTTTGCCCCAAGATGGACATCAGCATCATGAAGAGCGACGTGGACTTCAAGGATCCAGAAGCTTTGGCAGCAAGAGAGAAGCAAGAGAGGGCACCCCTGCAAAATACACTGATCCAGGTGCAGTGGTGAGCGTTCCCCCGAGGTCCTCGCTGCCCGGCAGGTGCGGCCCAAGACCTCGAAGTCCGACATAATACGCGGGAGGCGGGAGCGCGTGCGAGAGCGCGCGCAAGCACGCGAGAGAGTGCCACACCATCGGCACAACCCATCCGAGTGCTGTTGACGATGGAGCTGTGGACACAACTTCTGGCCCCTTGGAGGTGGCTCATCCCTGTAGCGCACAACGAGCAGAGCATGTGGTTCGATCTAGACCGCCAAGCCAAGCTCCATGACAAGGCGGGGCTTAAGCCTTAAGCTGCGCCCGAACAGATAATTCCACCACATTTCACCCGTTTGTTTCGCGCTGTTTCACTTTCCTTCACCCTCCGCCTCTTGGAGGGCGACAGCGCGGTCAAGATGCACACGCTCACCCCCCAGGTCCACGAGGTTAAGGACTCGTAGCCGTCATATCCGTCTGGAGCCTTCTTGTGTAGAGTTGGCGCTTTAACAGGATCAACGCAGCATCCGCGACAGCAGAGCGACATGGCTGGGACGTGGTTCGCCGATTGTACAGTCAAAGTAGTTCATTGGTTCGGGATACACCGTCCTTCGCTTGCCCAAGACCGCGAACACTAGGTCATCATTGGCCCATTTGGCCAATGCCCAAATGAAATTGCGGTGCATCAATGTAGGCCTGCAAAGGGTCTCAGCTTCTGCCAAGGAGCAGCCGCCGCCTCCCCCGATTCCTGCGCGTGTACAGCCGCTAAGGGATGTGAAGTTGACGCAGGACTGGAGCATCGCGTGACTTGTAGCTCCAGGCACCTTCTGCAATGCATCCTTGAAGGTCGAGGAGGATCGAGCCAGGTTGAACAACCAGATTGCAAAGGCAAGGAGCACTGCCCGATCTCTTGATCCTCCAAGTGAAGTCGTAGAAATGCCATCTGCAAACAGTCTGCAAGTTTGGAGATTTAGCGCTGTGCATCACTCTGTAGGGCTCATCTGGCTGTCTGTTAGCTTCATGAACATGATCATTGATGGGGCAGGCGTTGCGGAAGCTCCATCGCTTCGAGTGAGAATAGTGATGAGGGTAACGGCGCAGAGTCGGGTAGCAAGTCTTAGAATTTGGAGCTTACCAAGACTCGAGCCACTCAAGTTGCGCTGGAATTCAGCTCAAGTAGCTGTCTACAAGGCACAAATATCTAGAAGACAATTCGAAAAAAACGCCGTAAAGTTAGGCCACAAGAGACAGTTTCACCGTGCAAGTGTATTCAATTAGAGCAACCTGTCCTTCGTGCGGGCGTCTGCCTGAAGGCAGAGTGGCCACGCGTGGCTTGCTTGCTTCGGACAACTCGGAAAAACCAGCGCAGGTCAGGTCATGCCCGGGCAGTTGCCAGGGAGACGTGCGGAGCATTCGAGGCCTGAGAAGCCTCTGAAGCCTCCAATCTTCCTTGAGGTGATGGTGCCCTGTCAGCACAAGGGCTGTCCTCAGACCTTCACGACAAAACCTGTGCAATCCTCAGCCGTGCCCTCTTTTTTTTGCAGCTGCCAGACCTGACACGAGCAAGGCCATGAGGATCCACTACCGGGTGGCCCACTTGAACCTCAAGGAGTACCTTTGCAGGCCACTGCGGTGTAGGACCAATGTAGGATGTTGTAGCATGTTGTAGCAGTGGCACAGAAGTTTCAATCAGTTGCCGTGGCATGGCGCATGGCTTGGCATTGGCCGATGCTGCTCAAGGCATTGTGGGCAAGTCTTTGCATACAAGCGGGTCCTCCAGAGTCACTGCGAGAAGGCACGCAACACTTTCGTTTCCAGTGTTGTATGTCTCATCTGCGACGCTTTCCTCGATCTTTGCACCCTTTTTTGCGGCCATTGCGGCCCCGCGTCGCGTGCGATGTTTATGCAGCGCTGACGAGCTTAAGTGCTCTTACAGTGCTCTTAAGTGCTCTTACAGCTGGAGAGGTGCACAAGATCGTGCCTACGGAAGAGGAGCTGAAGCCTTGCAGGGATGAGCAGGACCGACCATTGGAGTGCTTTTACATCGTGCTACGAGCCTGGGTTATTTTGGGTTAGTGGTTGGCTAATCGGCGCAAACCGTTTCGGGCGCTTGTGATGCTTAACACACAGTGCTCTACTGACAACAAGGAAGCTGCAACAACCCCAGTCGCAGTCCCATGACGTGTCCCATACTTTGACTTGCTTTCTGTCCAACCGTGAGTGTTGCTTGAAAGCAGCGCACATCGCATCGCAAAGACCACGTCAAAGAGCTTGCAGCTTTCTCGTCAGCTTGTTCTGTTCATCTCTATCTCTCTCTCTCTCTTCAAGGCTTCTTCCCCTCCCCTCTCTCTCGCATCATGAGCATCAGCATCCATGGCCCTCAGCCACAGCAGCCCACCCTATACACTCATCAGGAGCAGGTCCTCAAGCCAACAGACAATCCCACCCCACCAGGCGCGCACCATAAGCATCAGCAGCCCCACCTGGCGCGCATCATGAGCATCAGCCGCCAAGTCCCTCAGCCACTGCGTTTCCGTTTCGTGCCCTGTTATTTGTGGGGTGATCCTATCACGGCGTTGATGGAGCTTGGCACCGCCAAGACGCAACTGATGTCAGGAGCGCGCCAAGCATGGGGTGGAGCCGTGCCCCTAAGCTATCCTAAGCTGCCGAAGCCGTCCTCATACTTCCCATGCATTGCTGTGCATGAAGACTATCATGCTGCCCCCTCCCCACCCCCGTACCTCGTCCCGCCCCGGCCCCTTCCCCGCCTCCCCCCCTTCCCTCCCCCACCCCCGCTTCCCGGTTTGAGGTTCTTGTTACCTCCCCAGAACCATCCAACACGGGTCGGCGGATCACCCGCAACAGCACCAACTTCAAATTCAAGTCCAACTTGGTTGCTGCATTGGTTGCTGAAATATTCAAAAACGAAATAATGCTGGTAGCGCATGATTCTGGTAATGCAATGCGAGAACGTAAATCTGGGTGTCCCAGTCCCGATCACATAAAGATTCGGTTCTTTTTTTTAGAACTGACTTTGCGCCAACACCTTCAGCCATAAGAGGGTATGATCTTGTTCACTTTGTTGCCTCGCCCAGGCCTAAGGCAGTGAAGGCTGCCGCGCAGCCAGAGTTGCGACCGGCGATCGCCCAAGCCGAGTTATGCTAGGGCCCGGAGGAGGCCTTTTTGGGGCGCAGTAGTTTGCGGTGGTTGGCGGATATTTGGGCAAAGTTCCAGACAGGGACTTAGTTCATGTTTGGGGGTTCGAGCATCAGGCTCGCCCTTGTGCGGGCTTGCGCCAGCGCGGCATGTTGGCAGACTTCTGGTGACAGAAGCCAAAGGCTTCGGCTGCCGTCATGTGCCCGCTGGAGTTTGGAGACGCGAAGAAAGAACGAAGAAAAGAAGAAAATAGAAGAAAAGCAACACGCCGATTTTGCATCGAGAATCCCCAATCACCGACCGCTCTGCCACTCCTTGAAAGTGCACTCCGGTGATGTCCGGAATGTCCGCTGCACTGCTCCGAACAGTGGGCTTTCCAGCTTCGCGATGTTTACTCTTTTGAGGTGATGATGCAGTCAGCTTGTTGAGCGTTTCGTCAGCGATCGCAGCGTCTCAGCATTTGCCGCTGTAGGTTTGCCAGCATGTGACACGGTGTCGTCCGGCATGTTCGATCCAAGCTAGTGAAAAGCATTGAGCTTTTACTTTCCTCCTCCCCGGCTCCCTCCTCCCCGGCTCCCTCCCCTGCCTGCCTCACGACTTGAGGGATCTTGAGGGGACTTCGAGGCGCATTTAGGTTCTTCCAGGCATATGCTTCATGCTTCTGCTGAAGCCCTTCGATGAACTCCTCCCAGTGTTTCCCTTCCTTGTGGCTTCAGACGGTCCCTCAAGCAGGCTGCAACAACCATGAACTTTGCTAGACTTGAAACCTTGGCTGCGCAGTGCTTGGCTCATGAGGCACAAGTTTCCTTTCGTGAACGTCGGCCATGGGTGGCAGCCAATCTGCCCAAGCTGGACATCCGGGACCCGAGGACCCCCAGGGGCACATCAGCACTCCGAATGGGCCGATTCCCATGAGCGAGTTCAAGCGGCTCAAACACCTTCATCGCCAAGATCCAAGTCGATACCCAGATCCCAAAGTCAGCCTCGGGCTCCGTGACACAAGCTACATCTCTGTGAATGGTCACCTCCAAACAAGGCAGCGAGACCAGCATGACCAGAATGACCAGGCACCTGCCGGGAGTCTGCGCCCTGAGAACCTACATGCTGCCGAGGGCGAGCTTCAAGATGGCGCTTCGTGGTCGAGTTCGTGGCACTATGGGCTCTTTGGACAGACTAGCAGATTCGACGTCCACGACGCCAGCCAGCGTGGCCAGGGGAGCTCCTGAGATGTGAGCTTAGACTTAGCTGGGCAGGTAAGAAAAGCTGGAGGTGCCTCCGAAGCAATGGTGAGGCGTCTGCTTGGAGCGATTGTTTCATATTGTTTCTTTTTTCCTACTCTAGCTCCGACTGCTGACTTTTGCAAGAGGCACCATCAGCTTTTGGGCCGCGCGGGATTGCGCACAGCTTTCTTGATGTCAGTTCGTTGGCTCACGCCTTCTGTCCCACAAGTGTCTTGGGGATGCAGCCTTGAGCGTGAAGGCAAGCCAGTGAGCCAGATCCTGGAACAGCCCGTTTTGTGGAAAATGTCCGCTTAGGCGCTGACACGAATTTCAGAGAGCCAGAGAGCCAGAGAGCCAGTTCTGAGCCATTTCCTGAAGGTGGTGCGTGGTCATGTTCTGGGCGTTCCTTTCTTTTTGACGTGGCCGCTGCGCTGCCTGCGACAGCCGGCGCAGATGCAAGCACGTTTATAAGCAAGGGGCGAGCTCATGTGCAGACACAGCAGCATGAGGGCAGACAGTGATGATGATAGAGCCATTCAGCTTCAAGTTGCGCCCCTTGTAGATCCACGCTTCAGGTGTCCTGACCTGCTTCTCACAGGACTATGGTGGCCCTGGTGATGGAACCTGCAGACTCCACGTACTCCTTGTTGCCGAATTTTGAAGCAGCCACGCGCAAGTTGAACTCTGGACTGCCGCGTGATGTGACTAAAGAGAAGATCTTGTCTGCCTGCAAAGACGTGGTCGACCGGCATGGCCTCGCTGACACCGTTGGTATTGACTTGAAGCACACTCACTTTGGGATGCCAGCTGGCCAAGTCCTTGCTGAAGTACAAGACCCCTGGAGAAAAGAATCAAGGATGTGGCCCCAAGCCTTCACTGAGTCTCTCACTCCCTTTGCCTTCGCATTGATTGACGGCAAGTGGCAGCCCTACGAGTTTGTTGCAGATTGTGAAGAGGCAAAGCTCGGACTTGTGGAGGTGCAGCAGAAGCCTGACTTTTTGAAGGAGCTGGCGACGCTCTTGCAGCACTTTGGCGTTCAAGACATTCTTGGCTTTCATGTGCTGCACCGCACGTTCCTTGAAGACGCTGGAGTGGGCGGCACCATGGAGACACCGGGGGAGAAGCCTGAAGAGTTGCTCTTGCGGCCGAACTCGCCTGAGCTGCAACATGACCTCGCGAAGCTACTGGGGCAAAGTGCGCAAGTGATGTGGATGTGGGGACGCCGCGGACATCTCAAGCATGGCTGTGGAGTCTGTGTGTGCTTCCACTGCGGTAGCCATTGCAAGGGCCACAAGTGAGGCGTGGAGCGGCAACTGCAGCGCTGTTGACGTTGTCAAGCAGTCGCGGAGCAAATCTGCTGACTGAGGGCAGAGCCATAAACATTGTTGTGGCCTGTCTGGCTCTTGAGTTTTCATGTCAGTTCGTTGGCTCACGCCTTCTGTCCCACAAGTGTCTTGGGGATGCAGCCTTGAGCGTGAAGGCAATGAAGGCAAGCCAGTGAGCCTGCAAGAATCCTGGAAGCGTCGGCGTCGTAGCTGCCTTGGCGGTGGAAAACAAAGTCCCCTTCACTGAAAGCTCACTGTCCCACATTGTGGTTTCCAGTGCCTGTGAGTCGAGGTGATGATGCAGTCAGCTTGTTGAGCGTTTCGTCAGCGATCGCAGCGTCTCAGCATTTGCCGCTGTAGGTTTGCCAGCATGTGACACGGTGTCGTCCGGCATGTTCGATCCAAGCTAGTGAAAAGCATTGAGCTTTTACTTTCCTCCTCCCCGGCTCCCTCCTCCCCGGCTCCCTCCCCTGCCTGCCTCACGACTTGAGGGATCTTGAGGGGACTTCGAGGCGCATTTAGGTTCTTCCAGGCATATGCTTCATGCTTCTGCTGAAGCCCTTCGATGAACTCCTCCCAGTGTTTCCCTTCCTTGTGGCTTCAGACGGTCCCTCAAGCAGGCTGCAACAACCATGAACTTTGCTAGACTTGAAACCTTGGCTGCGCAGTGCTTGGCTCATGAGGCACAAGTTTCCTTTCGTGAACGTCGGCCATGGGTGGCAGCCAACCTGCCCAAGCTGGACATCCGGGACCCGAGGACCCCCAGGGGCACATCAGCACTCCGAATGGGCCGATTCCCATGAGCGAGTTCAAGCGGCTCAAACACCTTCATCACCAAGATCCAAGTCGATACCCAGATCCCAAAGTCAGCCTCGGGCTCCGTGACACAAGCTACATCTCTGTGAATGGTCACCTCCAAACAAGGCAGCGAGACCAGCATGACCAGAATGACCAGGCACCTGCCGGGAGTCTGCGCCCTGAGAACCTACATGCTGCCGAGGGCGAGCTTCAAGATGGCGCTTCGTGGTCGAGTTCGTGGCACTATGGGCTCTTTGGACAGACTAGCAGATTCGACGTCCACGACGCCAGCCAGCGTGGCCAGGGGAGCTCCTGAGATGTGAGCTTAGACTTAGCTGGGCAGGTAAGAAAAGCTGGAGGTGCCTCCGAAGCAATGGTGAGGCGTCTGCTTGGAGCGATTGTTTCATATTGTTTCTTTTTTCCTACTCTAGCTCCGACTGCTGACTTTTGCAAGAGGCACCATCAGCTTTTGGGCCGCGCGGGATTGCGCACAGCTTTCTTGATGTCAGTTCGTTGGCTCACGCCTTCTGTCCCACAAGTGTCTTGGGGATGCAGCCTTGAGCGTGAAGGCAAGCCAGTGAGCCAGATCCTGGAACAGCCCGTTTTGTGGAAAATGTCCGCTTAGGCGCTGACACGAATTTCAGAGAGCCAGAGAGCCAGAGAGCCAGTTCTGAGCCATTTCCTGAAGGTGGTGCGTGGTCATGTTCTGGGCGTTCCTTTCTTTTTGGCGTGGCCGCTGCGCTGCCTGCGACAGCCGGCGCAGATGCAAGCACGTTTATAAGCAAGGGGCGAGCTCATGTGCAGACACAGCAGCATGAGGGCAGACAGTGATGATGATAGAGCCATTCAGCTTCAAGTCGCGCCCCTTGTAGATCCACGCTTCAGGTGTCCTGACCTGCTTCTCACAGGACTATGGTGGCCCTGGTGATGGAACCTGCAGACTCCACGTACTCCTTGTTGCCGAATTTTGAAGCAGCCACGCGCAAGTTGAACTCTGGACTGCCGCGTGATGTGACTAAAGAGAAGATCTTGTCTGCCTGCAAAGACGTGGTCGACCGGCATGGCCTCGCTGACACCGTTGGTATTGACTTGAAGCACACTCACTTTGGGATGCCAGCTGGCCAAGTCCTTGCTGAAGTACAAGACCCCTGGAGAAAAGAATCAAGGATGTGGCCCCAAGCCTTCACTGAGTCTCTCACTCCCTTTGCCTTCGCATTGATTGACGGCAACTGGCAGCCCTACGAGTTTGTTGCAGATTGTGAAGAGGCAAAGCTCGGACTTGTGGAGGTGCAGCAGAAGCCTGACTTCTTGAAGGAGCTGGCGACGCTCTTGCAGCACTTTGGCGTTCAAGACATTCTTGGCTTTCATGTGCTGCGCCGCACGTTCCTTGAAGACGCTGGAGTGGGCGGCACCATGGAGACACCGGGGGAGAAGCCTGAAGAGTTGCTCTTGCGGCCGAACTCGCCTGAGCTGCAACATGACCTCGCGAAGCTAATGGGGCAAAGTGCGCAAGTGATGTGGATGTGGGGACGCCGCGGACATCTCAAGCATGGCTGTGGAGTCTGTGTGTGCTTCCACTGCGGCAGCCATTGCAAGGGCCACAAGTGAGGGCGTGGAGCGGCAACTGCAGCGCTGTTGACGTTGTCAAGCAGTCGCGGAGCAAATCTGCTGACCATCAGCTTTTGGGCGGCGCGGGATTGCGCACAGCTTTCTTGATGTCAGTTCGTTGGCTCACGCCTTCTGTCCCACAAGTGTCTTGGGGATACAGCCTTGAGCGTGAAGGCAAGCCAGTGAGCCAGATCCTGGAACAGCCCGTTTTGTGGAAAATGTCCGCTTAGGCGCTGACACGAGAGAGCCAGTTCTGAGCCATTTCCTGAAGGTGGTGCGTGGTCATGTTCTGGGCGTTCCTTTCTTTTTGACGTGGCCGCTGCGCTGCCTGCGACAGCCGGCGCAGATGCAAGCACGTTTATAAGCAAGGGGCGAGCTCATGTGCAGACACAGCAGCATGAGGGCAGACAGTGATGATGATAGAGCCATTCAGCTTCAAGTCGCGCCCCTTGTAGATCCACGCTTCAGGTGTCCTGACCTGCTTCTCAGGACTATGGTGGCCCTGGTGATGGAACCTGCAGACTCCACGTACTCCTTGTTGCCGAATTTTGAAGCAGCCACGCGCAAGTTGAACTCTGGACTGCCGCGTGATGTGACTAAAGAGAAGATCTTGTCTGCCTGCAAAGACGTGGTCGACCGGCATGGCCTCGCTGACACCGTTGGTATTGACTTGAAGCACACTCACTTTGGGATGCCAGCTGGCCAAGTCCTTGCTGAAGTACAAGACCCCTGGAGAAAAGAATCAAGGATGTGGCCCCAAGCCTTCACTGAGTCTCTCACTCCCTTTGCCTTCGCATTGATTGACGGCAAGTGGCAGCCCTACGAGTTTGTTGCAGATTGTGAAGAGGCAAAGCTCGGACTTGTGGAGGTGCAGCAGAAGCCTGACTTTTTGAAGGAGCTGGCGACGCTCTTGCAGCACTTTGGCGTTCAAGACATTCTTGGCTTTCATGTGCTGCACCGCACGTTCCTTGAAGACGCTGGAGTGGGCGGCACCATGGAGACACCGGGGGAGAAGCCTGAAGAGTTGCTCTTGCGGCCGAACTCGCCTGAGCTGCAACATGACCTCGCGAAGCTAATGGGGCAAAGTGCGCAGGTGATGTGGATGTGGGGACGCCGCGGACATCTCAAGCATGGCTGTGGAGTCTGTGTGTGCTTCCACTGCGGCAGCCATTGCAAGGGCCACAAGTGAGGGCGTGGAGCGGCAACTGCAGCGCTGTTGACGTTGTCAAGCAGTCGCGGAGCAAATCTGCTGACCATCAGCTTTTGGGCGGCGCGGGATTGCGCACAGCTTTCTTGATGTCAGTTCGTTGGCTCACGCCTTCTGTCCCACAAGTGTCTTGGGGATACAGCCTTGAGCGTGAAGGCAAGCCAGTGAGCCAGATCCTGGAACAGCCCGTTTTGTGGAAAATGTCCGCTTAGGCGCTGACACGAGAGAGCCAGTTCTGAGCCATTTCCTGAAGGTGGTGCGTGGTCATGTTCTGGGCGTTCCTTTCTTTTTGACGTGGCTGCTGCGCTGCCTGCGACAGCCGGCGCAGATGCAAGCACGTTTATAAGCAAGGGGCGAGCTCATGTGCAGACACAGCAGCATGAGGGCAGACAGTGATGATGATAGAGCCATTCAGCTTCAAGTCGCGCCCCTTGTAGATCCACGCTTCAGGTGTCCTGACCTGCTTCTCACAGGACTATGGTGGCCCTGGTGATGGAACCTGCAGACTCCACGTACTCCTTGTTGCCGAAGTTTGAAGCAGCCACGCGCAAGTTGAACTCTGGACTGCCGCGTGATGTGACTAAAGAGAAGATCTTGTCTGCCTGCAAAGACGTGGTCGACCAGCGTGGCCTCGCTGACACCGTTGGTATTGACTTGAAGCACACTCACTTTGGGATGCCAGCTGGCCAAGTCCTTGCTGAAGTACAAGACCCCTGGAGAAAAGAATCAAGGATGTGGCCCCAAGCCTTCACTGAGTCTCTCACTCCCTTTGCCTTCGCATTGATTGACGGCAAGTGGCAGCCCTACGAGCTTGTTGCAGATTGTGAAGAGGCAAAGCTCGGACTTGTGGAGGTGCAGCAGAAGCCTGACTTCTTGAAGGAGCTGGCGACGCTCTTGCAGCACTTTGGCGTTCAAGACATTCTTGGCTTTCATGTGCTGCGCCGCACGTTCCTTGAAGACGCTGGAGTGGGCGGCACCATGGAGACACCGGGGGAGAAGCCTGAAGAGTTGCTCTTGCGGCCGAACTCGCCTGAGCTGCAACATGACCTCGCGAAGCTAATGGGGCAAAGTGCGCAAGTGATGTGGATGTGGGGACGCCGCGGACATCTCAAGCATGGCTGTGGAGTCTGTGTGTGCTTCCACTGCGGCAGCCATTGCAAGGGCCACAAGTGAGGGCGTGGAGCGGCAACTGCAGCGCTGTTGACGTTGTCAAGCAGTCGCGGAGCAAATCTGCTGACTGAGGGCAGCGCCATAAACATTGTTGTGGCCTGTCTGGCTCTTGAGTTTTTCATGTCAGTTCGTTGGCTCACGCCTTCTGTCCCACAAGTGTCTTGGGGATGCAGCCTTGAGCGTGAAGGCAATGAAGGCAAGCCAGTGAGCCTGCAAGAATCCTGGAAGCGTCGGCGTCGTAGCTGCCTTGGCGGTGGAAAACAAAGTCCCCTTCACTGAAAGCTCACTGTCGCACATTGTGGTTTCCAGTGCCTGTGAGTCGAGGTGATGATGCAGTCAGCTTGTTGAGCGTTTCGTCAGCGATCGCAGCGTCTCAGCATTTGCCGCTGTAGTTTTGCCATGAACTTTGCTAGACTTGAAACCTTGGCTGCGCAGTGCTTGGCTCATGAGGCACAAGTTTCCTTCGTGAACGTCGGCCATGGGTGGCAGCCAATCTGCCCAAGCTGGACATCCGGGACCCGAGGACCCCCAGGGGCACATCAGCACTCCGAATGGGCCGATTCCCATGAGCGAGTTCAAGCGGCTCAAACACCTTCATCGCCAAGATCCAAGTCGATACCCAGATCCCAAAGTCAGCCTCGGGCTCCGTGACACAAGCTACATCTCTGTGAATGGTCACCTCCAAACAAGGCAGCGAGACCAGCATGACCAGAATGACCAGGCACCTGCCGGGAGTCTGCGCCCTGAGAACCTACATGCTGCCGAGGGCGAGCTTCAAGATGGCGCTTCGTGGTCGAGTTCGTGGCACTATGGGCTCTTTGGACAGACTAGCAGATTCGACGTCCACGACGCCAGCCAGCGTGGCCAGGGGAGCTCCTGAGATGTGAGCTTAGACTTAGCTGGGCAGGTAAGAAAAGCTGGAGGTGCCTCCGAAGCAATGGTGAGGCGTCTGCTTGGAGCGATTGTTTCATATTGTTTCTTTTTTCCTACTCTAGCTCCGACTGCTGACTTTTGCAAGAGGCACCATCAGCTTTTGGGCCGCGCGGGATTGCGCACAGCTTTCTTGATGTCAGTTCGTTGGCTCACGCCTTCTGTCCCACAAGTGTCTTGGGGATGCAGCCTTGAGCGTGAAGGCAAGCCAGTGAGCCAGATCCTGGAACAGCCCGTTTTGTGGAAAATGTCCGCTTAGGCGCTGACACGAATGTCAAGGACTGGGTTGAATGTCTGGCGCACATTGCGTGACGTGCGTGCTTTACAGGTAGCGTCGTTTGCACTAGCCCACACAGCCGTAGGTTCAAGCGTCTCCTGCTGCTTCATGTTTACTGTTCATTTTCATGCTACTGACTTGTGAAACTTATGGTGGCAGCATGCCGTCTAGGAAAGACGGTTCTGAACAGGTATCCAGGCAGCTACAGGGAGGGCCAGTCTGATACCGCTCTGATCGCTGTAAGTTCGGTGTGCGTGAGCAACACGTGCCATGAGACTTCCTTCGTGGTGGCGAATAAGGTGTCATTTCAGATTTCTCAAAGAGGCTCCTGTGCTATGTGCTTCCTCGAATATTTCGACATTGGAGCACAGCACGAACGAGTTGCATATAGTTGCGCTGCATGCTTGCTTTCAGGTTTGTTTTTTCGTAGGTGGTGTTGGGCTGCGCGAAGAACAGGTGGCTCAAAGTCCATGGGCAGCCCGCAACCATCTTCCAGATAAGAGCCCCGACAAACCCCAGTTAAAGTGGTTGGTCAAGCACTTGTGCTGAAATCCGCAGTTTGCAGCCATCACCTCCGAGCAGTTGCCAGCAATGTGCACCGCTTTCAGTTGGACCCCATCTGCGGCGTTGTGTCAGAGAGAACTGTTTTGCGGGGTCTCGAGCACTTCTCTGGAGCGCCTCTCGAGCATGCCATGGTCTTCCGGTCGGCTTCCTATACCCTGCGGCCTCTTGGATCCCGTGCAGTGCATTTTTTGCTTCACCTCTGTGGTTGCATCAAGTTGCATCCTGTATGGTCTGATGTCACTGGCCTCACCGAGGAACCTGCTTGGAAAGAAGGCTGGGGATGGGACCAGTTCCTCTCAAGCTCTTGTGGCACCCAAAGTTCTATTTTTCGCCGTGCCCGTGCGCAGAAGGAGAGTGCGCCCAAGCCGCCAAAGCGCAGCAGCACACCCCGGAGGCGGTAGTGCAGTAGTAACCATAGGGCGCTGCGCTGCGGGAGGGCCGGTAGCCCACTACTCTCTGCTTAGCCGCTTGCGCTGCGGGAGGGATGGTGATGGCAAGCCCAAGCCGAGCGGCTTCCGCATCATCGTGCCGGACTACTGCCGGCCCGGCCAGGTCATCTGCGTCCAGGCTTCCAGCGTGAGGTGTTTCGCAGACCCTGTGCGGCGTGTCTCAGTCTTGGCAGGGCCCGGATGGACAACAGGTGGAGGTGACCGTTCCCATGGGGGCCGGCCCCGGGCAGCCCATGTGGGTGCAGGCGGACGTGCTTTCAGGAGATTTTATTCGTGGGGGTTCGGGGTTCGTGCGATATCAAAGAGGTCCAGCCACAGGCCAGCGCCAATGGCGCGGCGTCTTCAAATCCAGAGGAGACCCGTTCTCTCCTCTAAACAACCCCCCCCAAAGCCCTCGCAAATCCCCACAAATCCTCGTAGCCTCCAGAGCAAGACCCAACATTGTCTCACAAAGCCCCCAGGAGGAAGCCGCACCCTGGCCGCAAGACATCAGACTCAGACCCGATCAGATTCAGACTCAAAGTCGAGCTTTTGGACGTCGCTGCGAGCCTTTCTTAAAAGTAGCCTTGAAGCACTTTGGGCCCTCAAGGATTCTATGGTCCGAGTGCTCGAGCAGGTCGCCCCTTTTGCTTTGCACTGTTTGCGCTGCTTGTGCCCAAGATACTTCCATCCAGAGAACTTCTGAGCATCTTCTACAGAAGACTCGGTGCAGAATGGTGCCGTAGCATGACGCACTCGGCATCACATACAGCACTTGACCAGGACGCTCACAGCGCATGCGAGTTCGCGCAGCAGAGGCTCGTGGTTTTGAGTTCATTGACGATGCTTAGATGATGAAGGCATGATGATGATGATGATGATGGTGATGATGCTGCTGATGATGATAATGATGATGACGAAGGTACTGCAGATAATTCGCGTTCATTTTGCGAGAGGCTCCTGGATGAGATGCAGATGCAGATGGCATTGTGGGTCGCGCACACAGCTTTCCTCCTATATAGGTCTAAACACGTCGACTCCTCCGCCCTGAGGTTTCCCCAACCTCCATACAAAAGCAGGAAAAGCTGTACTTGGGGCAGTAGCTTGGGAAGAGGCGCGTGACGGGGGGGCATGGGGTTTGGAAATCAGGGTTTCAACGCTGGTCACCGCTGGTCTTTGGAGTTCTCCGAGGTTACTTAGTGGGGATCCCTTCAGGTCCCTTTCGAGGTCGAGCAATATATAATTTTATACAACTTTCAGCGCTTCTGGAAAGTGCTTGACTATGAGGGGAATTCTTCGACGGAGTGTGCTATCTCGCTCTCTCTCTCTCTCTGTCTTTTCATGTCTTTTTTCTTTTTTTATACCTCTACTTCTCTCTCTCTCTATCTCTTTTCTTTGGTTGTGTTGCAAAGCCGAGGCCTCTGCCGAAGCGTGCACCAGCGAAGGCGCAGAGCGTTTATTCATGCCACTGCGCCTTGTGTGCGCAGAGCCTGCTGTACCTAACACAAATGCACTTCCCAAGAGCACAGCACCAGGTATTACCCAGCAATTTTGGGGGGTGGACTGGCAGGTGCCGAGAGCGATCAGCTGCAGGTGGCGGCCTCCCAGCCTGAGCTGTCTCAGACGCAGGCGCCCCATGGTGCCTGGGTTCTGTGATGTTCTGTGCCGCTGTGCAATTCGTCCCGCCCTGCGGAAGTCGTTGGAAAAAATTCTGTAGAGGCAATCCTCCTGGCAGCAGCTGAGGCAGGGGCACCGCAAGTACAGCTGGGCCAGTGGGGTGCTGTTGATGTGCACCCAATCTTTTGGGCCACCGTGCAAGGAGGGCAATGCAGCGCAGCTCCTCGCCGCACTGACGGAGGCCCGCGAAAAACGCATCCGAAATCCGGTGGAAATGATGCAGGAGAGGATGAACCTGCTGCAGCCATGGTAGGGAAGAAAATCAACGACCCAAAGAAGCGAAGTGATGACCGACCAGAATGACAATGCAGAATGTGTGTGAAGGATGAAAATACGAGAGCCAGAGCAGAACCAGGGTGCACTGATGATCACTGTCTAACAGCCGCTGGGCTATCCGCAGGCCAAGAAGTTCAGCGTGGTCTCCATCTCGCTGGAGGCATCATCGTTTGCCCAGCCTTGGACCTTGCAGCCAAAACTCTTGGACACCGAGGAAGCCGCCAAGGGCTTGCGGGAGGCGGAGGAGGCGATGTTGAAGCTTGGATGCAGATATATGCAGATGGTCGGGTGTGGGGTCTTGAGGAAGCTTTGAGCCGTCGAGGACTGTTCTTGGATCTGTTCCGGACCTGCAGAGGACTTGGCGATGCCTCCGGAAGGCCCTCAAAGAACACGACCGGCACGACCTCGAGGCTCGCTGGGGGGATTACCAGACAAGAGCAGCGGGAGCCGAACAGAGTATAACAGAGTAAGGGAAGAATAAGGCAAGCCGCCGGCATGCCAAAATTGACCAATGTCGGCCAGGTCTGGATTGAGCACGCTGCCAGCCTCGGCCTGGACGTGCCCGCTGTCGTGGAGCAGGCCCTATAACAGAGAACCTGCGTGCCACGCGCTTTCGTTTCACGGGTTTCATGTGATGCAATTTGGAATTATGTCTTTACAAAGAATGTTGGGCGTTTCCGCGGGGTTTTTCTACATAGAGTTTTCTTCGATTTTCGATTTGGAGGTCCTGGAGGCCCTGCGCGGGCCGGCAGCTCAGGGAGTGCAGCGCCAGAGATTTCGTGATCTTGAGAAGTCTGAGTCGTTCTCTGAAGCTGGCATGGAAGGGAGGTGGCATGTAATTCGCACATCTTTGTTGAACACCAAACACGGACAAACAGAGAGGCGGGAGGAGGAGCTGCTCCAAAGCCTCGAGAAACGCCGGGACGTGGAGCAGAGGCCCGAATGGGGGGTCAAGGAGAAAAGCCCAAGAGAGAGAGAGAGAGAGAGAGAGAGCGAGAGGGGCCCTCTCAAGCGTGGAGGAGAAGAAGAAGAAGAAGAAGAAGAAGAAGAAGAAGAAGAAGAAGAAGAAGAAGAAGAAGAAGAAGAAGAAGAAGAAGAAGAATACGATGAAGAAGAAGAGGAGAGCGCGAGAAGCAAAAATGAAACCTAGAGTCACAGGAACCGCCTTGTCGGAAAAGCAGAAGAGTGTCCATTCAGCCCGGAGAGGCTCGAGTTCGCGGAGGAGTGCGGCGATGCCGAACTCTTGGCACAGGCTGGCGCCGAGAAAGAAGGGCGAGCCGGACCGTGTTTGCAAAGATGTGTATAGAATCCTGATGAAAGTAGGGCTCAAGCAGTTGTGCCAAGTCCTAAAGATGTTTCCAAAGCATGAAGAGACACGATGACCGAAGCCCATGTGATGTCATGTCCCTTCGTAGTGTGCACTTGAGCAAAGAGAGGTGCGCCGAGAGGCCGAGCTCCTCGGGGTGGACTTCACGAGAGGCTCACGGAGAGCAGAATATGTCTCTCTGTCTCTCTCTCTCTCATATTGTATTTGGGGGGTTGTGGTCTGTGGGGGGGGTGGTTTCCCATCTCTGGCCGCCCCATTAGTCGTGCTCTCCCAACACGTCTTGAGCCACGCCGTTTTGGCTCTCGACAGCCTGGGTGCCTGGGTGCATTCAAAGCGGGGAGCAACAGCAACATGAGGGCAATACAAGAGCAGTTAGTAGCACGAGGCGCGCAGCTGTTGACCCGCAACACATTGTCCTTGCATGAACCTGCGTGAACCTGCGCTAGCCCCATGCGTGCACGACCCCAACCCTCCCAAACACCACTGCCATGCAAATTACGTCGAGATTCTCGAGATTCTTCAGATTGACAGCGGCTGGCCTTCTCTTTGGGGCGGTGGGCTCAGATCATTCAACAGGCAGACGAGAGTACCTGGCAATGATTGCAAGATTCGGGAAGATGTGGAAGGGACTGCAAGCTGCATCAAGCTGCATTCCCGATTGCTGCGTTGCCCCCTTGGCAGGTCGTGCCGCGGGCTTTCCTTGGGTCTTTCTTCGGCTCGCCCAAGCCCCGGCTCCTGGTAGTCCTGGACCTGGACCTTCCGACATCTTCCGATATCCCATAAGCATTCCACAGTTCCTCGCTTGGAGCCCGTGCATGACGGTAGAGATGCAAAGTCCTAGAAAGGTACTGTAGGCGCGCTCGCGTTGGGAGACTGGGAGGACGAGACGCTTCTCCATGCCTCGCTGTGTGACAGCACGGCCTTCGGAGACCTGCCAGCGGAAGCTCTGAGCTGGTGGGGCCTCGGAGCAAAAATTCGGAGAAGCGCTTCGAAGCTTCGGATGTCGGAGGCTCCCGTCCCGTCTGTGGCAGCCCTCCGTGGACTTCGAGGCCGGTCTCCAAAAAAGAAGCTCCGCTCCTTTGCCACTTTGCGTCATCCACCAAGTTATGCAAGTTATGTCAACGACCCTTGAAACCACGTGTAACGTTGGATCAACGAAAGTTCCAATTCCTAAAAAGCATCTGCAGGCAGCTGGCAAAGGCCTGGTCTTGGGGTTGGAGCCCTGGATTTTTTTGGTTTCGGAGCACCTTTCTTTCGGGGCATCAAGTTCGGTCGCGTGGATTTCAGGCTTGGCGAGGAGCTGCCGCTCTTTGTGTCCTTGCGCCCAGGACTGCTCTCTCACGCCACTCGCTTGTTTCAGCATTTCGAACCTTGAGCCCGTGAGAGATCCTGGTGGTGGGTATGACGTCTCTCTCTCTCTCGCTCTGTGTCTCTCTCCTTGTGTCTCTCTCCTTGTGTCTCTGACAGGAATTTGAAGAGCCTATAGCTCTCTACACGGCCAGCATGAGATGACAAGAAAGTATTACAATTATTACAAACAATCTGAAGTTCCACATAAACTTTTCCTACTCTCGGAAATTTTTGACTGTTGAGAGTCCAGCTGAAGAGGAGCGCAGGGGTTCCTCAGCTGGCTCAAGAGCAATGAGGACATCGAGATCGCCGTCGGGGCCCCTTCAGCTCTCAGAATCTCAGATCCTCTTTCTCGCAGAGATACGGCTCTCTGTGTAAGCATCTGCAAGTACACCGAGTCCGTCCTGAGCAGCTTTTGAGTCCTGGACCTGTGCTGGCGAGTGACGATGGCTTGGCTGGTGGACGTAGCGCCGAGGTGTATACCGCGGGCACTCAGGCACGTTTGAGTGCAGACGGAACACGCATAACACACCCAGCCACTACAGTTCAACTAGGAAACCCTCCCTCGCACCCCCAAAGCCAGGCCTATGCCGAGCAGAGCGTGGCCAAGCTGGGTCTTCAGGGCTTCCCCGCACTCTTCCGGGATGAGTGCCTCGAGTTGAAGTGGGTTTCAATGCAGACCGCAGGGAGATTGCATGGGGGCTGTTGAAAATTGCGTGTTTTGCAAAATGTGAGTGTTGGGGGGCATGCTACGGGGGAGGTGTGTGCCCTTTGGCCTGCCGATCACGAAGGAGCCCAGATGTCGTACTCCCTGCCCAACCCGCGTTAGCTCAACCCGCTTGTCATGCTTCTTGTTTGGAGAACAGCGCATTGCACAGGACTTGACCAAGCTTGGTCGCGACCTCTCCCGTGTGGTGCTGGTCGATAACTCGAGGCAGGATGCAGGTGACACTGGCAACCCTTTAGAACTTTAGGTTCAAGGCCCATGAGCCCAAGACCCTCTTGGTGAAGGAGATCCTTCTGGCTCCAGCCGGAGAATGGCCTGCTCGTTTCCGACTGGACCGGTAGGCCCTGGCCACGCTGTTGACTCCTTTGACTTGGTGCTCACGGAATCTGACCTGCCAGGAATCCTGACGACAAAGAGTGCCCGCGACATGCTTCGCACCCCCCGAAGCTCACGAAGTGTCTCGAAACGGGCAGTGTGTTTTTAGGAGCCAAAAAAAGACGGGCGATCCTCTGCCAGGTTGGAGCGCGTTCGCCGGGAGTTGGGGGAGCTGCTGGCCCTGGAGGAGACTCTAAGACTCCACGCATCTATACGCCCTTTGATTCCTGTCTCTAATACTTCCTTATACAGATTGCTTATACAGAATTCCTCATACAGGGGTTGGGGTTTAGGGTTTCGGGTTTAGGGTTTAGGGTGTTCCTCTTTTGGTGATGGTCTTCTAAGGGGGTTATCGGTGCCAGGATGTGCGGCCCACTCTTTCGCAAAGGCTCGGAGCCCAGCTACAGGTACCTTCGAACCCCACATACCATAAATTCCTATCATTGAAGGAACCCCCCCCCCCCCAAACGGTACGCCTATTTTGGAAGACCCCCTCCGTATGAACTCATGCTTTGCAGTGTCTTTGCAGGTCAGAGCCATCCGGGACGCTGCCGGTGCTTGTAGTACTCGCCCTTGCGGTGTGCCCTGCTTTGGTTGATCACTCTTTGAAGAAGATGCGTTCAACTAATTAATTCACCTGGCGGAGTTTCCGAAGAAAAGTGGTGGTTCCAAGGAAACGGGGCGAGCCTGTCAGGGGTGTATACTCGTAATCAAGTTGGGTCCCTATCTTGGGAGTTTGACATGGTACCGCCAGGCTGCTGCTGGCGCTTTGCTCTCTCAAGTTTCCTTGGACGCGCCGCTTGAGCGATAGCCGGCGAGGAAAAAGGACGTTGAGCAGCCGGACTGCTCTTGCAATGTGCTTGCAATGATGCCGACGGGCGTCTTCCGCTTCGAGCCTCGGAAAACCATTGAAGAATGTGGAACATAAATCGGCAAAACCGAAACTCAACAAGATCACCGAGATCCCGGACAAGTCACCATTGACTGTGCTTTGTCATCTTGTGTTCATTTTTATTCGTCTTTCCATCTCCGTATCCGCCGTATCCTTGTGAAGGTCGAGCGCAGGCCTCTCGAGGGAGCGACGGCGTCCCAGAGGCCACGCAGTTCGATTCTCCCACCCCCTGCCGCTTGTGGCCCTCCCAGCCTCGGTTTTCTCTCATTTTCTCCTGCTTCTTCAAACTCCTCGTCAAGTTGTGAAAATGTGTGGTGAGTGTCGTGCGAAGCTGACCGCATCTCTCCAGAAGAGGCCGCCGAGCCCGAGCCTGGCGCCCGGGAGGCGCCAGAGGCTTCGGAGGCTTCGGAGCCCTCGAAGCCGCCCGAACACGCGGAGGACCTCATTTGAACATGGAATCACACGGGGGATCACGGCATCGCGGGATCGTGTGTGTCATGGTATCATGATCAATTCGCGGCGTTTGCTCCGAAGGATCCGAGGAGCGTTGGGGACTCGGACCTCGTTGGCATGATCATGGGCCTTAATTCTGCAAGACGAAACAGGAGCATCACGGCTTTGCATATGTGAGTTGAGGGGGAGAGAAATTCGGAGTATATAGAATTACTCTGCTGCTGTCTGCTGCTGCTGGGTGTTCTAATTAGAGATCTGTCGAGTGCTGAGACCCGGGAGCTGCTGGAAGAGGCGCGAAGACGTGGCCTGGATACCACAGGGCCCGGCACATAGCGAGAGCTGAGAGCACTCCTTGGGAGCGTGTGAGGGGGAGCGCGCAGCTCGCAGGTGCCAAGTGAGGGAAGATCTCCTGAACTTGCGTGGCGTCCCAGACCAGCTGAAGATTGTACCAAGTTTTTTTCTATATATGTGTGTACGCATACGTTATAGTCGCAGTCAGGGAGCATGCAGTCAAGTGGCACAGAGGAAGAGCAGCCACCATCGTCGCTTGCAACACGAGGCTTCGCAATAGCCAAAGTCAGTCGGAGCCGCGACCGGGCGGATCTTCGGCCTCCTCGGCACAGGACAGCGATTCAACTTAACTGATCACGGGTCATGAATTCGCAGCCTTATTTTGAAAGCTATGATAAATATACTTTGGGATCACTCATTGCAGAGGCCGTGTCTGTTGAGCAACGCCTCTTGGACTACTTGGAATATACCGGGGCCCTTGCAATCAGAGGAGCCTCCTCCGCCGAGGCCGCCCGAGACTAGGCCCGATGAGCTCCGTGTGCTCTCTCGATGCGAAATGTTTTCTCCGAACGCTTTCCTCCATGTCTTGCTTTTTGCTAAGTGCTCCTACTGTTAAGTTGGCCTCTCTTTTTAAGGCCTCCGAAAGCGGCGCCAAAGGTGCAGCCTCCCCAGGCCAGGGGCCGGTTAACAATCTGATACTGCAATCTTCTTCCAGAAAAATCTTGCTTTTTTTTAGTCTTGGGGGGCTCCCCGAGTTTCTTGGCCTCAGGCGGGGACAGTGGGGACCGTTTGGGATCGGCAAGCCGTCCCTCCACGATATCTGATCCACAAGAGATACGAGGCGCAAGGGCAAGGAGAGTCCAGAGAGAGTCCAGAGAGAGTCCAGAGGAGCCCAGGCTTTTGCGAGCTCAGGGGTTGTGGATGCCTTGTGGAAGCGCGCGAATTGTGCCTTGAACGCAGAGAAGGCGCTGTACCTGCTGGGACTGGACTGCAGCCGCCTTCCCTCCGGCTCGGAGCTTCGGGCCGCGCGGGGGCCTCGGGCCTCGGTTCCTGTGGGGTTAGCGTAGATGCTTATCGAAGGGGTTGGCAAGAAGGTGTTCCAGGTTACCTCCACCGCATGTCCTGCCATCCTTGCTCGAGCTTCATCGCTGGTCACACTTGGCCAAATTAAGCCCCAGACAGCACCACCGTTTAAAGGCATCCCAGACAAGCTGTGACAACTACAAGCTTCTTGCGCCATGTGCGGCAGGTATCGCAAGGCGGCGCTGGAGTCGCACCCGGACCGTCAGCAGAACCACAGCCGCCAGGCGCCCCTGAAGAAAAACCTTGCTGGTCAAGCAAAAAATCTCGCCAAGTTCAGCCACATGAAAGCCAGGAGGAGGCCAAGAAGCTCTTCCAGCGTGTCAAGGCAAGGGAGAGTATCAGCAGCTCTGAGTCGTAAAGGAGTCTGGAGTAACTGTAGAAGCCTAGTAGGGGTTCCGGATGTTTCAGGATGTTTGAGGACGTCTGAGGATGCTTTGGTGCCCTTCTCTTGGGTTCTCCATGGGTGTCGCAATGTGTCGCAGGATGCTTTCGACCAACTCGCGGCGGCTGCGCGGTGATGACGCCGCTTGATAACGACCCCCTGCAGCCTGCGCTTCTTGCAGAAGGCAAAAGCGCGGCTTGCAGCCTGAAGCCAGCGCTCAGCGGAAAATGGAGCTGCTTGGAGTTGCGCATAGTTCCGGAAACGGCAATTCGGATGCAGGGAGAGCGGACGGCTCCGCGCGAAGTGAGGTGCGCCAAGTTGGAAAGCGTCAGAGTCAGAGTTCTGCGAAACGGCTGGAAACCAGCTTCGCTGCATACCAAAAGGCTGCGGTGAGAAGTTCGAGAAGATTGAACAGTTTCGAGATAATCGGAGTAGTGCAAGCGGCGATTTATGTAGAGCCGTAGAATCAGGGCCCGGACACACCACCGACAAGTATGGGGGGGTTTGGATGCCTTTCATCCTGCCTTCACCGACCGGAGGTCATGCAAGGTCGGAGCCGGACGCCTGCACCAAATTGCACCAAACCGCCCAAGCCATCCAGAAGCCAATGCTACCGAGCTCTACGCAATCCTCTTGGAATGTGTTAAGATTGAAATGCCACAAACGGTGGGCCGTCAGTGGTGCTGCCCCTCGATTTCGCCTCCTTTTGATGGCAATGGCTCGTTCTGCTCTGGTGCAAACGTGATGTCTCCGGAACTGGGCAATTCCGCACCGGCGCGAAATCCAAGAGCCAAACCTTCAACCGGAAGCGGCGACCGCAATTGAGAGGAGGGCTTCTCCTGCAAGGCCATCGCGCGTCCTGGTCTTGTCAAAGGTTTGGCTTCCACTGGCCGTGGCTGGATTCGCACGCTACGGGTTCATGCAAAACAAGCGAGAGCTGCTTCACTGGGCTGTGCGACTTTGCTGCTTGGCCGGCTGCAGGCCCTAAGCATCAACTCCTTCTCCCCATGCAATGAATGCATTCGCTGGCTCGTGGTGCTTGCGTTCGAGTGACGGAACGAAAAGACAACGCCGTTCCTGTGCCATCTCGCCCGATGCCGGGCACGGCCTTCGCCACTGCAGCCTGACCTCAGCGATGTTCTCGCTGACGAGCACTGGGAACCTTCGCTCACCAACCGCCCCCTCGAAGACAGAGGTGCTTGCCCGGGAGTTTCAGCTAACGCCGCGACACGCAAGGCAGTTCTGCAACGAGAGCGCTGGTCGGCACGCTTGCGCGACCCATCCGATGTGCAGGAGCATGCTCTGCTCGAGAAGGGCGATTCCGTTGCGGCAGTGGGGATGAGGAAGGTCTAGTGAGGGTTTCAACAAAAGTCGGCGACTGGCAAGGGGGCAGATACCGCGAGTGCACGATGCGCTTTGCCAGTGCAGAAGGTTTCGACAAGTAGTTGCATTGTGGCATTGCCCCCTGTCGCGCGTGCAGCGGCACATAAAACTACGAGGTCCTGAACAGCCAACTGAGCAGCCAGCTTTGCGCGCCAAGAAAGGTGAGGGGTGAGGGCTACTAATTTCTAATTGCGTGGAATGAAACATGACAAGACCACGTCGACGTCGTACTGTTGCATGTGCTGTGAGCACACTTCGCCCTTTTTGTAGCTGCGAAGTCCCACAAAGGTTTTGTGCACGCTTGCCTTCTCGTGGTGTCCTTTGGCGACGTTCGTACACGGGAAGCTGCTGTGCAGCCATACCGCTGTTTAACTGCTGTGATGCTGCGCGCGACGATGTCTGTCTGCGCAGATGTTCTTCTTCCTCATGAAGTGAAAGCACGCCACTGCAAAATATGACAGCGGGCAGCTTTGGAAAGCCGCACCGGTCACTTGCGAACGATTGCGATTTCGCTCTGGCCAAGCGGCGTTACGCTCGAAAAGCGCATGATTGTTAGTTCTCTGGAAGTGGCTTTGGCGAAACGGTACGGCCCGTGCAAAAAACACCCTTCCAAAAGAGTTCCAAAAAGTCGTGGAACAAATTATCCAGCATGGTTCGCATCTCAGCAATGTTGGTGGGCAGCACAGTGGAGAAGGGACACACACGAGAGTCCCAGTGATGGATGCTTCGACGCTGGCGCGGATCAACCGCTTCCAATCACGCACATGTCGGACGCGAGAAATCGCTTTTGTGCAGCTGACAACCGAGACCGCGCGGCTTGGCAAATAGCCGATCTCCCCGCGACTCTGGGCGAGTTGGGGCCAGTCTGCGGCGCGCACCAGCCCTGCGGCGTAGTGGGCCTCCTGGGCTGATACGCTCCCCGTTCTGCATGCTCGCGGAACTGGGTTGAACCCTGTAAAGTGACTGAGTTAACTCCTGCTGTTCCATTGCTTGAGTCGTGGAAAATCTTTTGTCAAAAGGCAAGGCGAGACAAAGGTGGTTGTCTGGCATTTTGCCTTTTGGAGGTGGTTGCCCCGAGGCTTTGCAACTTCTGTCAGGCAGATTGACCTACTCGCAGGAACTCTGTCCGTCTGTACGTTGAAGCACAA